TCTGGAATGTCATGTGTGTATTTTAGTGCCGCCACCACTGCCAGGCAGTTATGGGCTGATGGCAAAGAAAAATGTGGATTTTATGCCACCATCACTTTGCTGGTTATAACCAGAGCAGTGCCAGTCAGGAGGTACAAAAATTCTTGAGCGCCACCAACCAAAGTTCTCAATAATGTTTCGGTTCTATGATACATTACTCTAAATAGACTATGAATAAATTATTCTTCGATGTTTTGCTCTTCTGATTCGAAGCCAAATGTCCCATTACTGCCTGGGGTCAGTTGCTCGGATTTTCTGTCTCCATGTGCTTATAATCTGTGCCTCTTTCCTTGTAACATCCACTGTCCTCATATCTCATTTCACCGCATCATTCGATCTCATGTTCGGTCTCCCTCTACTCCTTTTAATTTTTTACATTATGCCCTTTCAAAAAACAAGACAGGTTCAAATGTATAGTTTTCAGGACTGAGGTCTGCAGATTTTCTGTACCCCCCCCCCGCCCCCTACTCGTGTCGCGGTTTGTGCTCTGTACCGGGCTCCTATTGAAATACAATTAAAAAAATATATAAGACAGGTTACATTTGAAGAAAAAAAACCAACACCGATGTCAGCCTATGAGTGATTAAAGTGCTCCACGTGGGAAACGGGGGTGGGAACTTTGCAAATCACAATCCATGTGAGCGCTGTCACAAGGGGAGCAAACACGAAGCCACATCGAAGCCATTAACTTGAGTGTAATCCATCAATTTTATCCATGAAGTCTGTTACCGTACAGCCCGTTTGGGCCAACCCACTGCTGGATGAGGGCCTCCTGCCTCGCTGGCCCTGTAAGGATAATCTAACCATACTTCACCGCGCTGGTTCAACAATTACATTCCCTGCACCCTGCCCTCTACTGCCCATAACGCCTTATTACTCCCGCCTTAGGGAATAGCGGCCCCCCATCTGAGCACAATCCAGGCTCAATCCACTGCTGAATGCGGATGCATTTATCCAGCAGTGGCCCAGGTTTTGCTTGACAAAGAAACTATTGATGTCAATTGGCTGTCACCCGGTTTAAAGCTGATGCGTGAGTTCTGTATACAGTATAAGCAAAACAAATCATAATGTAATAAAACAATGAAAAGATGCCATAAACTTTCTTTTCTCTTAACCGCACGTTTCAAAGTTTACAAAGAACACAGTAACTTATGGTCAAGGGTGTATGCTGCATAGTGTACAGTATTTGCTGTGTATACAATCGTGCCAAATGCTTTATTTAAACATTGTATAATGCACCCTCAAGATATAGTGTGCACATACAAGTGTAGAGGAGTATTGTGAGTAGCCAATGAGGGATGAGCGTAAGGAAGTGCGAGTTGGTGGAGAGTTATGCGAGGCCAAGGATGACGTAACGTCACGGGTTATGAAGGGGGAATCTAGATTTTAAGTTTTCGTGACTGCAGGGATCCATACATACTCTTTGGTTCTTTCGGTAAAGTCACGTAGGTATAAAATAAAATAAATCTGTACTGAATCGGACCTGGATCTTGTCTAAAATGTTAAACAAACACAAGATCCAGGTCCGATTCAGTACAGTACACAAAATCCGTGATCTAATCCCATCTGTGAAGGATGTCATTCCTGACATGCAATATACTGGAGTCTACAAACTAAGTTGCACCTGTGGTGATTGTTACATTGGGGAAACGAAACGTCATGTCTCGGACCGTGTGCGCGAGCACAAGGCAGATCTGAAACACGGCAGAACTAATTCCTCCACCGTGGCTGACCATTGCTATAAGTATAACGCTGTGGGCTCTCATGATATTGTTTTTCCGAGACCAAGGTGCTCTGCAAACCTTCGGGCTACTATCAAAGGTTTGTTCATGAAGCCATCCAGATATATAAACATAGACATAACTTCAACCGGGAAGATGGATACAGATTGAGCAATCATTGGAAGGATGTTATTAACCAAGTAAAACCATAACTGCTTTTGGCCTGCCTTCATATCCGCATCTCCAGTTTCCTAACCCTCCCACTCCCATCCCTGCCAACTTCCCCTCCCCACCCGGCATTTTCTGCTGTGCTTGCGTCTTACTTGTAGCCTCCACTCCCCCTACCCCACACCCTCCCTGTCTCTCCCCCCCCCTTCTCTTGCCTATATGGCCTCTTGCTGCAGCAGCCCCTTTTGCCCACTTCAGCAATGGTTTCTTGCTGTGGTTGTCCCAACTGATGACGGACGCTTGTGTTGCGCCCAAAACGTCGTGATTTAATTAATTTATTTTATACCTACGTGACTTTACCGACAGAACCAAAGAGTACGTAGGGGGACTTTTGGAAAGCACTTTCGGGAAAGTGGGTGGGGCCGAGCTGGGGGGAGGAGCTGCCGAGAGGGTTCTTAAGGGGGACCAGGTGACGGCACGTGGTTGTCATTAGGGAGCCAGGGTAAGGATCGGCTGGAAAAGGTCTCTCCTCATCACAGGGCGGTGTTGGCTGATCCCCCGCCCTGGGTAGGCGGATGAGAGAGCCTAGGGGTAGCCGAAGTAGGCCCGACGTATATAGTTATCCCAGGTCCAAGTGAAGGATGGAGAATCGAGTGCACCTACACTGGTGGTGTGCGTGTAGGATGCAGTGCGAGAACGTGTATTAATAAACAGCAACCAGCCCTGATCGTATTCCTCGTCTCCGCGTGGTTGGACTGCACTACACAAGTATACAACACAATACTGTAATGTAAACAGAGTTGAATCACATGTAGTTACTGGACGTGCTACAAACACACTTCGAAAAAAAAGACACGCGCACAGTATTCTGATCCACTGTTATCATAGTAAAACAAGGGGATGTTTTTACTTTTCTGTCTTGTACAAATGTTTTTACATTCAGTAAATTAACTGCTCCACATGGCGGGTAAATGTATCGCATGAAGGTATCAGTGACAGCAACCCAAGGAGGCACATTTTTGTCCTTAATCTACCACAGCTGCCCTACTGCAGTTGCATCGGCTTTTTGCCGTCAAAAATTCAAACAAAACCAACTTCCACTCCACGCACAAAACCCAGCGACGATTTAACTGTTGACAAATGTACGTGGATATATACGTGTTGTGACATTTCTACAATTAATGATTTAGCATTGCATACCAGCCTAAGATACGTTTTACGATGGTTTCCCGTGCATGAAAGCTTACGTACATAATAATACCTTGATGGCAGTAGTAGTGCATCATCTCCTACAAGGTCAGTGAAAGGTCACGTCTTGAGAAATCTGCGTTTGAGTTCAGAGTAATATACCCTGCTATGTTTCATTCCCATTGCTGCACATGAGTAAACTAAGCATTCCTATTTGGTTGTAAATCTTTCTCTGAAAGGCGCTGCACTGAACAACATTAACGGAAACGGTGACTCTACCAATGATGCCCTTCTCAACAAGGCAGTAAGCATGCGCGTTGGGTATCATATAATCGACAGCTGTAAAACAATAAATGCACTTAACCATGGGGCACAAGAGCAGCAGTTTGGGAACATTATATGCTCATAAATATCTCCTTGACAATAGCGGAGAAGTCGCCGAGTGCCCTGGTCCTCATGAGACTTCCCGAAGTTAAAATAATGTCCTAAGTTGCCGCTATGCAATACGGTAATATAGATCGTTAAATACTGCCAACACAAATGTCCGTTGCACTTCTTTAAAAAGTACAAGCACGAAAAAGCGGTGACCACTAGTTTATCGGCATAACTGGGTTTGCTGCTTCTATACAGATTAACTACGTAAACTTCCTAACGAATCGGCTTCACGATTATACCAAATCCAGTTTTGCAGACATTAGTTTAGATTTCCTGGACGAATAAGACGACTATTCTATATGAATGTGGCACCTACCATGCGTCATTCATGTCTCTTTTTAAAGTTGATTGCGCACCTGAATCGCAGACTTTTGCTCACAAGGAGATACAAAAAACATTCAGTCGAAACCTTGCATCAGTGCCTCCCACCCTTTTTGATTTGTACCCCCCAATCAAGCCCTTTTCCCCACCCGACTTCCCCACGGAACTGTTATAGTTCAATTAAGCGTTTCGTTGCTGCAATGTGGAAGCTTATGTTTCCTGCACAAATTGATAATTTCTCCTGCACGGTTTCAATTCCGTAGCCTGAACATTCACCGAGACACTTTCGGGCTTGGCGACCCGTGGGGCTGACAACCGCTACCTTATAAATTGCACAACACACGTATTCTTGTTTAACAAGTGGTCAGATAACACAAACTAGATTCCATTGCCTGGAATTATTTTACTCCGACAAAACTGATTTTCATCAGTACTGTCGTGTTGCATTACACTGTGACGGGAATATAGATACATCAATGAACCTGGTATGGTAACATCAATGGTTGAACGTATTTAATGAATTATTCAATATACCGCATCTTGAAGGGCTACTGTGCCATGCTGGCACCTGCGCAACATGTCGGAATGCACACTTGTAATCACTTATGCAGCAATCCACCCAAATCGCAAGTAATTGCCTAGGTGTCCGCTTGAGCAAGTGCAGAGACAGTTCATATTTGATAGTCAAGTGGAGGAGAGTTAAGCTGGGTCATGTAAACAGATATTGTTCCATACCCCGCGTGTGCACACATTCACAGCGTATTATTTGAATGCGAACTTTGAGGGTTTTTTTTTAAACAAATCTCAAGACTTAACAGATCACGCGTGATTTTTTTTTACATTCCTGAAATGGATATATTCAGGAAATTTGAAAAATGTTTAACTTTCATCAGCTATGCAGTTATCTATTCTTCCAAGAAACAGGCTCTCATTTCAATATGCAATCTTAAACAGCCATAATTGAATGGCACATTTAGAGATTTGTGTACCCAGCTGAACCTAATAATATTCAGTTTAAAAGCCTGGCATGCAGTGGTAAAAAAAAAAACCCACCACAGTATTATATAAATATAGCCCAAGACAATGTTTAACTAAACGCTTTTAGAAACGCAACACCACAGCGCTGTATCATTTCCCCGGATGTTTATTGGAACTTTCTTATGTTTCTTACAAAGTTAATAAAAAAAAATGCAAAGCCATCCCCGCACACTCCTCCAAACTATTTCACTCAGATATGCGGAGTGGCTTTCAATGTTATACCCAAGAGCCTAAACGTTTTATTTGAATTACAATGTTAATTTCAAGTCCATGCTACAAATTGCTTGTTATTCTAGAGTATATTAATACTCAAAACTTGAGAACAATACATGTCAAAGCTCATACATCTTTATGCACTCAATTAATGACACAGCCACATGGAAACGCCTGAATCAACTTCAGTGCAGTTAACTTCAGAATTACAAATGTCCGGAACAAACGTATGCATATCATGAATGTAATAGGGTGCTTAAAACCGCAAATAGACTGAAGAATTTCAAGTAGACCTGCACACAAGGGTGTGATTATTTAAGATGTTACGCAATTGTTCAACACCGACACATTGGCACACACCCAACTAGCACCCAACGAGAGCATTGTACATGAACCTAATTGTCAGCAGTCGTCATTGGAGAAATAAACGAACACGTGGTAAATTACATTAAAAAGGCATACAACTTGGCCCATACAATTCCTATTCATGCCTCTTAAAAGGTACATGCCTCGGTGTATTGCTTAAGGAAATTACGAAATACACAATTTTGCAATACATTGTGTCATTTAGTAGGCAAAGCATCACTAATCAAAGGAATAATTACTAAAGTGTCATGCACCAGCTCTTAAAATTAAATACAGTGAATTCCAAGTTTCTACCTAAACCCATGAAGTGAATCACAAACATCCCCCCCAACCATATATGGAAAAGAAAACTGCATTCATTTATATCAGAAGATCAACTCTGGCTTGTAGTAATGTTGTAGAAGCTACATGCACAACGAATGAATGTATGAAATACAATCAAGAATATGTTACAGGATTTAGTTTTTAACAAAACTGGTTTAATTACAGCGTACATTCACCGGGAAGTCGTTTTTAATCACTTAAACCAATTTGGCAAACTAGAAAATTGAAATGACAGATCACTTTATTTTAGGATGTATCATTTCTAATCTGGTACATTCTATAAATGAAAAAATAAATCGTTACACTAAAGGGGCCTTCAAAGAAAAGGACATGGGCAGGAAGGTAGATGCAACGATAACAAAATGTTTCGATGGTGACGATAACAGCAAATCTGACAATGGGTGCCCCTCCACACTTTCACAGCAAAAAATAAAATCACACAAAGCTTGTGCTTTATCTCACTGCATTATATAGCATTTTTGCAGTGACAGCAAGACTAAACATTAAACCATTATTTTCTTTATTGCATGCCTTTTTTTATCAGACTAGCTCATTACAAACAGTAACAGTCATGGCTCAGTTGTGGTTGCAATCTTATCACGAGGCCTTTCAAGGGTTTTCCCACAGCGTGTTGTTGGTCTACAAATTCGTGTCTTGATGGCAAGCATGATCAAAACAAAGGCCGGCAGATAACTGCCTAACGAGGAGCAACTCGTAAAACGCTGCCCAATTAACTGCCCAGCAACACGGCAGACTACAGATCCCATGCCATGTGAGTGGTGAGGAGTCGTTGTGGAACGACCGGGCGCCTCGGTGTGCCGCGGGAGGGCCTCTTCTCCCGCTGAGATGCCCGGCGTGTCACAGACCCGCGTCGCCCAGGCCGCAGCGTCGGGGAAGCCTTGGGAGTGTCGGCCGCTGGCTCGGTGTGGGGGCGGCACCGGCCACGCTTGCCCGACGACTTGGTGCTGGAAGGCTGGTTGGTGAGGTTAACCAAGGCGAGCCCGACTGGGGTGCAGGGACTTCCATTTGTTGACTGCGTCTTCAATTGGCCCTGCTTGCTGGCTGACCTCAGCCAGTGAGCCGCTCCGCTTTTTGGAATAAATGTTTCGCTGCCCTGACCTTTTTCGGTCGCACCATGTGCGCGCGCTGTTTTCGTGGCTGCCTGCGTGCTGGAACGCTCGAGCTGGTGTCTTGTCGTTTTGAAGAGTGACTCACCAAGTGGTGAAACGATATTTTGAGTCTTGGGCTTTTGGACTGCTGGAAGCCCCACTTTAACGGGGTCTCTCTTTGCACTTTCTCCCCGACTGTTTGTTTCCAATATGGAAATTATTTGCTTGACATGCTGCCGCTTGGCTGTAGGTACAACGGCTAAAGGCGCTGCTGTGACTCTCGGCCGAGAGAATTGTTCTTTTCCTTTGAGGTCGTTAAACTTGCGGATGCGATCTGCGACACTGGATACATTTGCTACACTGGCGATTACACCACTCTCCTGCCCGGACTGCAAGCTAACAACGACACTAGTTCCAGACTTAAGGAGGCGTTTAGCCTGTCGGCATTTTTTTCCAGTGTAACACAAAGAGATACCTTCCAACTTAGAGCCAAGTTCGGACAAGGGACTTTTTTCTAGGCATTCGATGGATGCTGCACCTTGTCCACCAGCCAATGAGATTTCTGCTTCAGTCGAGACTCCTGTGCTGCTCTCTGAAATGTGCAAATGGCATTCACTCAGCTGCTCAGAATGCGCAGCACCGAGATCCTCATGCACACCGCATTCCCTCAACGGTTGCCGAGGCTCTTATCCTCCTCTGCACCTAATATATCGACACTCTCATTAATGGCTCTACGCAACTCCACCTGTTTGTATTCTTCATAACTCATGTTACTCATTGCAGTATGCACATTATCCTCACTTTTACCATTGCACTTTTCTCCACCCTCACCTTCCTCTGTCACTTTCACACATTCACTCTTACCATCAGCTAACGTTCCACATACATCCGAGCTACTTTCCATCGCTCTCGCCGTCATTAATTCTCCAGCTTGAAATACAGTCTGGCTTGAAATACAGTCTGGGCTATGGACAGCTGTTGTATTTTCATTACCGCACGACACTGTAACCGAACTGCTGATGCCTGCATCCCTGCATCTCGGCGTGAACGTGCTGGTAGACAAAACCTGTGGTGTGTCCTGAATGAGCATGGACAGGATTTCGGCAGACTCGCAGAAGGCTCGAAATGCCTGGCTGTTCGCCTGGTCGGCGGTACGGTCCGGGAGCTCAGGCATCTCGGGGGAATCTCGTGCCGTGGAGGAGAGGCGCCCAGATCGCCTGGCATCTGGGAAGCATGGCGGCTTCCCGGTGACGAGCGCAGGTGCCGACCGGGCCGCGCAAAGGGGGGTGGTGGTGTCTATTTGGGCCTGTTTCACATCGGCCAGGTCTGCGTCGGACACGCTGCCCTGCATGGGACCGGAGATGACTTCACGTATGTTGGGCCGCCCGAGCACCTCCTCAGAGCTGCACAACGACCGCGGACCTGCAAGCATACGACAGATTTGGCACATGACCGTCAAGAGTAGCCCGTGACATTATACTGCACTTACAAACACTTTGTAACCTTCTCAGCGGAAACATTATTGTATTCCTCAAGGTACAAAATGACAAGATTTCCAGAGGTGATGCAAGTTCAACCTTTGCTTGCCTCAAGCAAAAGCTGTGCCGCGTGGCATGAAGATACCGAGAACAATGCATTTATGCTGCATTAATTGCACAGGAAGAAATGTGGCACTGGCATAAACACCAAGCAAAAATGGTTGATATGAGAAGCCAAGAATCAGCGAAATGAATTTGATGGATAGTCAAATGATACTAGGAAGCCCTAACAAGCCAATTTCTAATCAGCCAAAAACTAAAGCCGCCTATATACATACCACATTTACAGTTCCATGTCTTGCTTGTTGATCTCCTCCACTATATTATACGACCAAAAATAGGTAACATCACAACTTATGCACGATTGAGCAAATAGTTTTAAGCAACTGCAGCATCACATCATGATTCAGTGCGACATCTCTTACGTAGCCACAGGGAGGCTCGGTAAACCATCACATCACGTTTGTAGGTGTGGAAAAGTAAACAATTTTTATTTTACCAGGTAAGGCCCACTGAGCTATATAGCGCTTTTTCAGAAGCAACCCAAACACAACGAAGTGGCTTAATATGTGAAAATTTATAGCAGTCAAATACTCCCAACGCATGTTTCTAAATTAAGCCGCATGCTGTAACATCAGCTATGTCAGTTCATCGAGCAGATTCTACAAAAGAGATTTCAATATTCTGGAATGAGAATTAAAACATAACATAAAAAAATAACAGCATATGAACAAACACTAACCCAATGTTGCTACATCAGGAGTCTGTGTTAGAAATATATCCAGAAATGTCTCCCACAGTCGATCCAGTGATCGAACACCCTTGTTTTCAGTGGCCGGCTCGATCAGTCAGACATCTGTACAATCTATTTTGATTCCTCTTAGTGTCACTTTTAAATCTAATTTGACAATTTAGCAAACATGAGGCACACCCTTCTCCCCTCCTGCCACCTTCCCCCCCCCCCCCATCGTGTGCTGCGGCCCGGCTGTACCGGCGTGTTTGCGGAGGGAGCTGCGTGTGCGTGGCGTGGTCATGTCGCCGACTGGGACGTTGGGCTGCCCATCCGTGCAATCGCGTCGGGCGGCCAGGGCCTCCGACCGCACGGGTGCGTCCCTCTCCGCTGCCGGGCCCTCATCGCTGCCCGCGCTCTGACGGGGAACACACGGCACACACCCCGTCCACACTCCACCCCTCACCTCGCTAGATCCTGCACACAACCTCTGCCCTCGCTGAATAAATGGGCTTCTCACAATTTACGTCCCCACAGTTGCAGCTCATTTAGTTACTATATTGATAATGTTTAGTAATTGAGACAATGTATGACTTCAGGAGTATATAGCATAATTTTATTTGAATAATCGAAATTGCAAATATATCCAGTGTTTAGTTTAATGTCCAACTTGAATTTTTTTTTACAGTTAATTGACCATTCAGTGCTTATAATTACTGACGTTTAAGTTAGGATATGAACGGTTATGGCTGAGGTGTTTGCTGCCTCACCCAATGACCCCCTCACATCCGCTTCTATGATGCGGTGATTGTGTACCATCATCGGTGGTAATCCTGAGTGTACAAGCATTATTAATTATTGTTATTAGTTTTCTTTATGTAAATGATACCACTAGTTTACCGAAATAGTTTTGTTCGTTTGATCATAATTTCTGCTTATAACTCGAAAACTAAAACACATGACATGGATGGATAATATAATTCACAAAAAAAGGGAATGTTCCAATAAAAAGCAAATCTACAACTACCATTGGTGTAAAAACTACCGTGCTCACATGGTCACTGCTCGACTTCAGAAGGTTCAAGCGCATCCGTAGAGACTTGCGTATCTTTTCATTCCTCGCTGGAGGTGGGAGGTCTTGCTTTTCCACTTCCACACTGCTATAATCCAACGGAGTGATCACAGAGAGAGACACCCTTTAATATATGACATAGAACCTAAATCTTGCGACAATACCCCTTAGGGAAGGGAAAGAAAATATCAGCCTGAGTTACAACACAAACAGCAAATGTAGGCTGCATCGCAATATCAGAGCGCCACAGCGAGGACAGGTACTCGGCACACCTGCTTGGGGCCTTCTTGTCGGACAACCTTGGCTGCTTGCGACGGCGTCCGGTCGACAGGGTGAGGCGCAGACGCGAGCGCTTGAGCAGCGACGGCGTGGAGGGGGTCCCCCCCCCTCCGTTGGTGCGCTCGCTGGGAGTGGTGGCACGCTCCCTCTGCCAGCCTGGGGTGTCATCCACTGCAGAGCCACAGAACGGTCACATGTTAAACGTCACTCTTTTGGCAACAATCACCGCCCAAGAACCGTGGTGGATTTTAAAGCACCATTTCATTGACTATTCAACTCTCCTCGATAAATTGCCAATTGCCATTGATCCTGGCCACCTCTGGATTGTATCCATGTAGATAGTCAGGACGGAACCACGTGGCCATATGACTGTTTCCAACACACACCACCTTGTAAATAAAGGTCCAGCCATTAAATCAGGCATCACATCATACACATCTGGGCCCATTCTGCAACTGTCTACTGCTCAGCTCCAGCTTTGCAGAACAGACCACAGGACACAGCCATTAAGTAAGGTTTGTCATGGAAACAAAACGTGACAATGAATTACTACTTCAGTACGCCGGTGTGTTGGAGAGTAAACCCACAACATTTACAATTTCAGTACAACTTTTCACTGGTGACTACAACCAGCTTCATCAGGCGATTTACCAGAATTGTGAAGAAGTGTCCCTGTTCCTGGTCTGAAATAGAGCCTATGAGGTACTAAGATCAGAGATGGGTTAATGTAAATAGTGTTGGTTTACTCTCCAACACACCGGTGTGCTGAAGTAGTGAACAATTGGAAAGTTTTGTCTACGTGACAAACCTTACTAATTCGCTGTGTCGGGTGGTGGTGGGTTTACGAGACATTTATAACCCACAATAACCTTTATTATTAATAATTTTGGTCGCGAAAGCCTGCGTTTTAAACTTTTCGGGAACAGGTTCATACTATTTCAACGATGTACGTGGTTAACAAAGCAAGGCTGTGAAGGAATGCAGGAGCACAACGACAAGGGCAGGCAGCACACCTCTGCCGCTGTGCAAGCTGCTCCACACCACAGGTGTAGAGGTGGCACTGTATTGCTGCGAGAGTCCCTCCTCCAAGCTGATCGGGTTCATTGCTCTCCTGGCCACGTGTGGCACAGCCCAGACATCATCAGACAACAACCATTACAGTAGCATAAGGTTAGCAAACACACAGGTGCTCTTATAACAATAGGCTAAGTTTCCAGCACAAACACGCACAGTGATTTTTACCTGTAAGGTCTATTTATATACGTAAGCACTGGTTAGAAATGTGTCTCACCACGATATTTAGTTTTTATACATTTTACCGTGATGCTCATCTTCTGCTCCGTCAGTCTACATCAATTGTGCATAAATGTAGCGACACTCCTCTACATTACTTTATGAGATTGAAATATGATGTTAAAGAAAACCTTTTTTTTCCAGAAGAGTCCAGGTCATCCAAAGAGTCCTGAGATGCCTTCCTTTTCGGCTTAGATGAGCGCGGCATCTGGGGAGTTGTGATATCTGACAACAGGCAGGATTGTTTTTTTTAATTGCATAGTTTCTGCACTCTGCAATGCCATTGAAACAACTTGTAACATCATGATATGTATCGTAATCATTCGTGGCATTATTGGCGGCCACTTTTGTTTTAAAGGCATACCTTCGGGCTGTGGAGTCATTAGGCCACCCCTCCCCGACCTCAGGCGTCCAATGGCCCCACTCACCACATCTGATGAGTAAAGGACAGAGTGTGTCACCGTAATGCTGCCGCTTTCCTGGCAGGCATCATCGACCAGCACCGACAATTAAAAGCCGCTCTCTCGATAGCCTGCTCGACCGAATCAACGTCACCACAAGAATGCACGCAGGTCGAAGTACGTTTTACTGCACAGAGTGCCATACAAACTGAGTGACGAAAGCTCTCAAGCCCACACGCTGTGTGTACAGAAACCGGCTGAGTTAATACTTACGGCGTAAATTAGGTTAGTCAATAATGGAATGGCGTATTCTTTGTCAACCATTTAACTATATATTTATTTTGTTTTGCATACGACTAAAAATAATGGTAATATATTTTTAAAATCCTGTGATATTTTAATGTGCTCTAGTAGACTCCATTATCCACATGCGTTTATCCGATTTGCGGATAAACCGCGCATTGAGATTAAAATATTGTTATTCTTGACAATGTTTATTACAAGTCACATGCTTAAACCGACCAAATATGTGCTCCGGTTAATCCCGAAATCCACGTGATCACCTCTACAGTACAGTCGTTGCATATCTTTACAACAGTGGGTGGAGTTTGATTGATTTTGATTGGTGTGGCTCTACTATCCACTTAGTGGGCAGTCTTCTGCGCAGGAGCAGGAAAGTGTTATCACTGAGCACGTGCATTGTTTGGTCAATCGTTAGTTTTGGCATAGAAATCTGCAGAAAATAGCTATTTTTGGATTATCCGAAATTTTGAATTATCTGCGGCCATCATTATCACGGATAATAGGGTCTACTGTACTTGCTAACAATGCAACCTTTTGTTATACACATTACTCTTGTTAATGTTTTGTGTTCTATTAATTTGAATAAGGAGACCCATGAAAATAACAGTATCTGAATCATTATTTAGACTGGAGGAATCTGATGAGCGATGAAGCTCTTTTTCAAAAATGTCAAGTATGGGCGGGTCAGTAAGTTACAACAGCAAACAATACAAAAAACGGAGTGCAAAATAGATAAAAATAGATAAAAAGGTAAGCAAGTCACTAAATGTAAATAACTAAAAATTTACACGCAGTACGTCCCATTTATCAAGGTTGGGAAAGGCAGCAAAAACGATAACAAAACAGACCCAGACCACACCAAGATAACACACAGTCTCAATAAAATGGCACAACCATTTAACTATCGATACACATTTACAAGTCCATAAACAAAGTGGAAGGTTGACTTGTAATTAATACATCACACACACACACCAATGCACACACACACACATACATCTCTTCAAGAAAGGAGGCCCCCGAAGTAGCCTTGTCTGACCGTTGAAGCTACGCCGTCGGCAGCTCCTCTTCACCGAGCGCTGCTCGTCTCCCCCAGAGTTGAGGGGCGTCTCACTGGTCCCCCCGCTCTCGCCGCCCCGGTCGCCACCCAGGCAGGGCCCGTCTGCCGCCACCAGCCTGCTCACATGTCCTGTGACACCACGCACGGTAAACATGTCACCACACATCTAAAACTCTGGACAGGCTACGCTAATCTGCACATGCCCCATAGTGAAAACGTGACGACAAATGCACATTTGCGGGCAGGCACGTACGCAGCCTTACCTATGTCCTTGGCGTGCAAGATGAGTGTTTGCACCACCATGGCCTGCAGTCTCAGCTGCTTCTCGGTGCTGCTCGATACCTTCTCAGCCTTACTCCCAGAGCCAGAGTGCATCAGGTTGGGAGCAAACACCACGGCGAGGTTTGCAACATCCATACGATTCTCATCAGAGCTACAGGAAAACAGAATAACCCCACAATTGCATTAACACAGTGACGCTTGTTAACAAGTGAGCTCAGAAGCTGTTCGGAGTCAGTGTAACATTTAACAACATTGAGACTACCACCAGTCTTCAGGTGTATAACCAATTATTACAAAACAAGTGGTTATGTATTTTATGTCCGGTTACAATTACCGTGACTAAAGCTGTTGAAATATTGTGAATCACTTTAAGTGACATTTTCTCTTTTCAAAGTTATCCCTATCTAGATAAACAACTATTTGTCATAACTTCCAACAACAAAAAATAATCATTACTATCACAAAACAAATAAAATATCATAAAATAACAATTGATATAAAAGTGCACAGTTTTTCATAACAGCTGGTTTGCCTTTGATGTACTGTAGTGGGAAACCATCACACACTTATCGATTGAGCCAAATGCTTTCACAAAGTACAGGCAGTCCTCAACTTAATTACGAACGCCCGACTTGCGAACACCCGTACTTATGAATCAAAATATAAATCAAAACATTGACTTAAAAAGCGAACCTGCAATTGTGAAATGTAACCGCGGAACTATTTTGTTCAGAGGAGCAATCCTCCGTGAGAGGTAATGAGTTGACCCCGCGCTGGGACTGAATGTTTGCATGTGTGTGCGTGCACGGACATGTGTGTGCGAAAGTGTGTGGGGATCAACACCAGTGACTTTTATCTGAATGTGACTTTGGCCTCCCACCGTAGGTCGACTCAGCCTCAAATGAGTACCTAGTGCAGTGTGTAAACATTGCCACTGGGGAGACAAAAGCAGCCGGGCGTGGTGCTGGCCACTCATCCCCTCGTGTGCCGTGCCGGCCTTCATAGGCGCTGCTCGTTAACAGCACTTGCCACAACAGCCTGTTAAGGTTACATGGGGAACCGTTGTCGTGTGTGTGTCCGAGAGTGCACGTGTGCCGTGTGTGTGCAATTGTGGTGACTCATTGCCCCCTTTTGAATAAAAGCTAGCATCAGGACTCAAGTTTAGTGAAAAAAAAACTGTTTTTCTATTAATGTTACTTTATTGAACGTTTCGTTTACTATAAATATTTTTTTTTACAGTGTTACATGCAAATGTACAATATTTATTTTTAATTATGAGTTTAACAATGCTACCCTTTTTGTTGAACTGTAACACATTTCATAACACTGACTGTATGGGCATTTAAAGAGAGTGTATTATTGTGTTCCAAATTACAAACCGTTTGACTTACGAACGGCTCTCAGGAACACATTAGGTTTCTAACCCGAGCACTGCCTGTACTTGCAAAAACACCCATTCTAGTAGACCAAGCCACTCTCGTACCGGTGCGCAATGTGCTTGAGGAAGGCCATGAGGTAGCGCAGCACTTGCACGTTGGAAGGTGGCAGCAGGCAGGTGAGAAGCAGCGTGGCGTGCAACCGTGCTACTTCCTCCAGCTGCTGGGCGCGGTAGAAGACGTCGTGCAGCTCGCGCGTTATCAGCGGTTCTGGCAGCTCGCGGAAGAACTGCTTGAGAAGCCCAGCCACGTCGCAGGCGGGCGCCGCACACACGCTTGCCTCCCCGCACTGGATCCTCTCCTGCAGCGGAGAGAACAAAGGGAGTCTCGTTAGGTACCGCGAGCTTACGTATTTCCAGCAGCTGCCAGTGGACCAGTGGCATAGTATAGTTGACAAGGACCCTGGTAGACAGAGCGATATAGTGGCCCCTGTCGAATTCCACCACCCCACCCCACTGTCTTGGCTCCATTGGCCAGGGGCCACGGTACACTTTCACTGCATGCGTTTTATAGCTACATCATTGCAGTCGACCTCTATACAAGGATAGAAGGAAATACATTTTCATCACTGCCTTTTCATGTTGAGGTGTTAATATTTGGCAACTAGTCATGGACCAGAAATATATTATGCAATAAATAAAATTAGTATTGACTGAAAAGTGGGAAAAGCAAGCAAGAATGTAAGGTCGTGTTTTATAAAGCATCATTTTGGATACCCTTTCGAAAGAGAAATTCAAGTGCCAATTGGTGCACTGTGCAGCATTCTGACTAACCAACAGTGTTCAGAAATTATGTGAACGCGGCCATGTTGGGCTCAACTATCACACGGGTGGTGAGAATGCAGGTCCATGCAGCGTGCTGCTGGAGGTCACCTTGAGCTCCTTCATGCGGGAGAAGGAGCCCGACTTGCGGAAGAGGCCCTCGGTGCTGGCATGCTGCTGCAGGTACTGGCAGGCCTCCACCACAAAGCTATGGCACAGGAAGCATGAGACATGGGACATGAGACAGCACCACCCAATGCTGACCATTATTACTCATCAACTTGACAAGCAAGGCGATGATCGGTGTCTGCGATGTAAGTGCACTGGGCCTCTGGCTATGATCCATAATAGGAGTTCTAAGGAGGGGTCATGACCCACAGCATTGCCTTATTATTACATTTTCAGTAAATAGGCAGTGTTGTGAAATAGAAGACTACTTATGCGTGGGCTGTGCTTTTTACACAACTAAGAGTACCCTTTAAGTTTTTCAAATATGTTTTAATATGTACATGCATGGCACTCTTCCTAACCGACTGTTGGTTTTACGGCCTCTCCACGTCATGCGGGCCATGGGGTTTTTATGAGCACACTTCACTTTACTGACAAGTGGGGGTTGTTGAAGGCAGGGAGCATATATGCGAGAGCATAGTAGAGTACAATAGATTTTGCTGCACTGCCCTCTGTTGCCCACACTGTGGTATGTTTGCAGAAATTTATTTTTCAATCAAAATTATAATTTTTGTATATGTAAAAATGTGTATCGCCACTGGCAGAGCCAGTGGGGGGGTGAGGTGGCACGTGCCCCCCCAATGATCCGATCGAAATTCCTAATTTCGATCGGATCATTGGGGCTTATTAGTAATACATCGGCATTTTGCGACCCCCACTGCCACTGTGTAGCATATTATTACGTGCCAGGGACTCTATGAGATGATAGGACAATAGTCTGAGTCCATAATTAGCAATAAGTAACGGAAAAGCAGTTATAAGTGGCTCAGAATTGTGCGCAGTTGCGTATACAGTACACAACTTCCCTGAAGGCATTCACCTTCAGCGAGCGCGATGCCGATCACACGGTTCGAATTCGACCCTCGATCGATGGCTGCGCCATCGCCGCACACGCGGCGAATAAAAAGCAAGGGACAAGTCCTTACTTACTAACAACTCCGAATCATTTTTCATTGCTGGAGGGGTTGCCCCCCCTACCAGAAAATCCTGGCTCCGCCATTGTGTATCGCACATACATACAGTATAGTATAATAGATTGTGATATCGTCAAATTGCTCCGTGCAAAATAAGTACTTTTGCGCCAACCATGGTAATCGGAGACCAAGTAGCAAAAAAATCTTGATACTGCATTGGCTGTGGTACACAAAGCTAAATTAACAAATACATATGACAAAACACAATTTCTATTACACTGCACTAACAGGGGGAAAATATTAAAGGTTAAAAGGTCCATTGTTATACCCGTTTTACTTTTAGGCTCGAGTTATTGGTGAATGTGTTGAGTTTTTCGTTATTCGACCTCGTTGCAAATTATCTATCAGTATTATGTTCTTGGGTCTTTCGGTAAAGTCACGTAGATAGGTTAAAAGAAAATAACAAAAATAACAAAAAAACAACGACGTTTCGATCGCAACACAATCGTCATGACGATTGTGTTGCGATCGAAACCTCGTAGCTTTTTGTTATTTTCTTTGAACCTATCTATGTGACTTTACTGAAAGACCCAAGAATATTAACTCCTGCAGTTACGAAAGCTTTAAGTCAAGATTCAGTATTATGTTGTCAACTGTTTTAATAGGAAATGAAAAAAAATTTCAATTGAAACATCACAAATGTTTACGATGCAAAAAAGAGCTAAACTAATTAAGCTTCGACTTGAATGCACAGTAATTATTGTGTTATTATGAATACACCACGGAAAATATGTGCAAGAGAGAGCATTAAAACACACCTTCCACCACTTTAAAATAAAGCATGATTTGTGACTCACACAGTGGCAGTCACAAACATGAATGGGCCACCACATGCACCCCACAGCACCCCACTAGCAGACAAACATATCCGTCTGCCCTGGAGTTACTTATGCAAATGTAACAGAAAACACTGCCGAAACCGTCCAAACGCCTTGGCTGCCGAGAGTGAACGAGGCCTGAATAACGATTCATGGAACACATGACCATTTTGAAGTGAAAACTTGGCTTAGTGTAATCACCGTACTTCGGCACGGCTGCATGGTCTTCATCGATTCGATGCAGTGATAGAGGGCTTCCAAACACAGTCCAAGTCTTGTCCTAAAAAATGCAAATAAACATAATTGTAATCTCCAGACACACCAATGCTGTCACTAAGAGCTTTGTGCAAGCAGAGCCCAGAGAACATTGATTTTGATGGTGTCACAGTGGGATAAAAACCCGTCAACGTTTACAGACATTTGGCATTAGCCTGAGGGCGTGCATAACGATCAGTATAGCCAGAACAGAGCAAAAATGTATGAATGTACATTGTCAAAATGCTGATGGATGAGGGCCTCTTCATGCCATGCAGGTCGTGGGTGATATTTGAACATACATCACCACCGTGGTCAGTGCGGTTGGTGAAGGTGGGGCACATCAATGTAGGGGCATAGTACAGTACAACAGTGGATGTTGTGGGTGCCCCCTGTTCACAAATTAGCCCCAAAGCAGTCTATAACACCTGTTGTGGATGGTGGTCTCTCGTGCAAGCAGAATCCTCCAACCTGATTAGCTTCTAAAATCTGGTGATGTTAGGCATATTAATAGTTTTTAAACCAGTGGCATAATTTTATTTATACTAACTTTGCTTACTGGATTTCGTAAGAAGCCTTGAGTGATAATCATTACCGACGAAAACAAAAGTTATAAAACTTTTTCCTAAAGGGACCTATCCAGTATGTATAGGCAACTCCTTTGCTATGTTTTCCAAGAATGCAGGATTCATGTGGTCAAAATGATGGCTAAATATAATTAACAGCGCTCAACAACACATAACTTGTACCATGGTGTGTACATAGCTTGCAGTCAACAAAGTGGTTACTGATGTATGAAAAATTGAATGTGCCATTCTAAATTCTAAGCTGTCATCAGGCTGGTAATTTACAGGCACCAGACATGAAGGTGCTAAAATCCTGGAACTGTTAATTTTTACAATGAGGTGACAATAGCAAGATGACGTTAACATATGGCTTCGAAATAAATTCCCCAAGGAACCCAGATGCTCATTCACTCCAACCTAACATCTCAAACTTTACTATGTCTCATCATTTAGAATGCAGCCAAACGACCACTTCGGCAAACAATTGCTGATAGGTGAGCGATTTGTTTATTTTCAATACAGGGAATGATTGAATACATTTGACAGGAGGAAAAGCAATCCGACCTCAATAACTCAATAGTCCAACTGGAATATACTCAAAGCAAGAAGGGAAAATAAATGCTTTACAATTTTAAGGATTTTGTCAATCCACTGCTCGATGAAGACCCCCCCCCCCCATGCCACCAAACTGATCAAGGCAAGGCCGTAGCCATGGAGTCAACATTGGGGGGAACCAAATCTTCTAGGGGCTCTGGGGGTCCCAACCCAGAAAAATATCTAAATTTTAAAACTAATTTCCAGCCATTTCCTGCCTAAAATATTATAAAAATTCACTAACACGTGGGATGGACTTTTTATTTATTTTTTACAATAATGTCTAATAGTGTATTGTATTACATTGCTCTGTTTTTACTTTTTACAATTTATTGTTTCAATGTATCTAATGTTTGAGATTAGGGATTAATAAAGTACAACCATAACCACAATCATATAAACAGCAATCTATGCATTGATTTATATGAAGACAAGTCCAGATATTTGGGCCAAGGTTTATCAAATTGTTGTATTTTATTTGCATAGCATAGCAATTATTATTACTTTTAATATTTTTATAGCAATATATTAGCAGGGGACATTTTGAACATATTTGAATATTGGGGGGGGATGTGTCCTCGCACAATATATAATAATTACGGCCTTGTATCAAGGACAGGGTCAGATATCACTCGCCCCTGTTGTTAGCTGTGCCTGGGATTCAAACTCGACTACACGGCAGCCCTCCTGCCACGAGAGGCGGTGAAATACATCACATTCCAAAAAATAAAATCATAACAAACAATTGAATCACGAGGGTGGAAGGTCATCATACTCCTCCTAGTTTTACTTTAACAAATATTTGATCTGCACCCTTTACACACTACGTGGAAATCTCACACCTTCCCATCCCCATCAACAACATATGGTGTCTCCCTGAGCTCAAAGTTGAAAAGCTAGTAAAACATATAACATACCCAATCCTATATGTACCTTTGGCGGTAAACCTTTACAGCTGCAAAAGTTCATCGTAACGATTTGGAAGAAAAAATGTTCAAGCCAAATTCCAAAAACAAGTCCAGACCACGTATGATACACGTCCGGGCACAAACGGCTGGGACAGGCCATCCAACCTGATGTCCAGAACCCTCACACCCCATTGGTAATGAGCAACAATGTGGTGTTTAGAGGCGAGCAACAGCTTGAGACCAAGTGTGAGAAAACGTCATGGGCTACAGCGGCAGAATACTGTTTTCCTTTCCATTGGACAGTAACTATCTTTTGATATTATGAACATGGTTATCATTATCAGCCTTGATCAATCCACTGCTGGATGAAGGTGTCCTCAAGCTACTATCACCTCTCACAGCCCTGTCATATGTAACAAGCCACCAACAAACATACACTGAGCAGGGCGATCAATTTATATATATACCCGACTGAAATAAAATAGTAAATTAACTTGTATTTAAAAGCCTTTACGTATCACCCACTCATCTGACACATTAACTATTTGAACTCATCTGTAAGATAAGATAAAACCATCGCTTTCACAGTATTCAATGGCCTGTTAAGAAACGAGGGTTATTGTAAATGTATAAATGGTACACTGTATTTTGACAGTATTTATGACTTGCACTTACACACAAGCAATGAAGCACATGCACGCAATATAGCTCAACACCTCATAATATACTACAGTATTTAGGTTTGACTTGTACGTTATCTGTAAATGCAATGCGTATTGCTTTACATGTATATATTTGGGTATAATGAAGCGTACCCTTTTTTAATTAACGTATGTTATACATCAGTGTCAATGCATTCATGCGTGTTCTACACATGTAACTTGTGTGCCTGTTTTGCACGTAGAAATATGTTTTGTAGCACAAGTTCGTTGTACGTTTGAGTACATGCCCATATGCATAGAGTTCTGCGTTAATCGACCCATGGCACCTGGGTCTGTCCCGTGACCTCCTGCCAGCAGCGAGCCTTCCCCACACGTCACGTGGCCTCAAAGTGCACCTAGCCTGGCACCAAGCACCGTGGTAACTTATGGGCGAACGTGGGATGTTGTGTGCCACGTGTGGTCAATCCACTGGTGGGTGAGGGCCTTGCCCGACCCCCTACGCCGAGAGGGCCCTGGCAGGGGCTATTATTTGACCAACAACAACAACTTACAAACATCTCGGAGGGGAAGACCAGACTTGACTACGATGGTCAATGAGGGGTTGGTGGTGAAGGTGGAGAAGAGCAAAGACGTGGGATAAACGATGAACAGTACAATATTGGAAAACTGATGCACTGCCCTCTGCCGCACAAGAACATCACACACAGATGCTGAATGCAGCAGTAGAAGTACAAGTGTATAGAGTAACTACAGAACAATAGTCAACGTCTTTCGGATATGATCATCTCCATTCGCATCTCTGGGGAAGCCAGTGTTGGAAATTCCACATTCCCATGACGGGGAATACAGCCATGCTGATAAACATAACTCGTGGGGGAGGACCACATAATCAAGAATGTAAGTTAAACCCGAAACGAGCAATGGCAACTTCAAATCTAGATCGAGCAATGGCAACCCTGAGCGAGCCGCGTTGGAAATTCCACATTCCCATGACAGTGCGCGGTCCATCGGTAAACAAATACGAGTGGCGTTCACACTCGCTCGCGACGCCTACCAACATTAAACAAACGTTACACACACACACGCACGAGATTCACTTGGTGAGTTGTTCATTTTAGTATTCGAATGACTGTGTAAATAAAAAGAATAGCAGAGACAGAGAGAGGTGAGGGGGGTGCGCGCATCACCGTGTGACTCTTGACCAGCACCTTGGCTCGGAGCCCGTACGCCTTCAGCCAGTGAACCACGGCCGCCCTGGCGCTCCGCTCCTCGGCTTCGCTCGCGGTCGCCTTCATGGTTCAATGCTTTAGTTTGTGTCGGTGTTGAGAGCCGTAAAATGCCTACGAGGGCAACGCAGCGAGCGCCGTCTCTACGCGCCGCCGCTACCGCCGCCGCCGCCCGCGTGCCGTTTAAAACGAGCGGCCCCTCTCATTGGTCGGAATTTATTTTTCAAAAAAAATTCGATGACGTCAGAGTAACGGCTTCCTCAGGCCACGCCCCCTGCCCCGCTTTCGAGATCAGGCCACGCCCACTAAGCCCCGCCCCTCCACGGACAGGACACGCCCACCCACGTGCGTGGACTTGGAGGGTTTTGAATGGGCAATTGTAATCCAAACAGGACCCTGCGGGGTGGGCTGGTAGGAATAATACTTAGTACCGGTACAGAGATATCGACCGGGTATAGAGGAGTTAAAGAAAAAATGACTGTATTCTAGTGTAACGTTAATTAAAAGTGTTTGTTTTGACAAGAAACGCTGTGAGATTTAAAGACTCGTAGTCTTTCATTTCCAACACCACCCTCAACACCACCCCTCCCACGGACGGACGGACGGACACATTAATCTATTGGTGGTCTGGTCCACTTCGTTCCTACCAGTATAATGATTTTATCTTCTTCTTGGTTCTTTCGGTAAAGTCACGTAGAAGGGAAATAATAAAATAATAAAAATAAAACATAATGAAATACAATTCTCACGACGTTTCGGCCACAACGCAAGCAGCCGTCCTCAGGTGAAGACCAGGTCTGTCGGGGAGACAGCGTCTGAATGTATATACGCTGGAATTATTATCTCCTGGAAGAGCGTTTCATAGCCTGAATGTATATACGCTGTCTCCCCGACATACCTGGTCTTCACCTGAGGACGGCTGCTTGCGTTGTGGCCGAAACGTCGTGAGAATTATTTTATTATGTTTTATTTTTTATTATTTTATTATTTCCCTTCTACGTGACTTTACCGAAAGAACCAAGAAGATGAATCCCTGCAGTCACGAAAGCTTTAAATCGAGATTGTATCTTGATTTGAAGCTTTCGTGAATGCAGGAATGCATACTCTTTTGGTTCTTTCGGTAAAGTCACGTGACTTTACCGAAAGAACTAAAGAGTATGATATTATCTTATATGTATGATATTATCTTCATATCTTAATATAGAGCCTTTAGCCAATGCGCGTTGCAAGGGTTACGAGTGGTACAATGAGGGTAGCTAAAAGTGATTTGGTGAATAGGGATGGGGTATGTGGGGGGGGGGCGGTTAGTTGGTACGGGAATTACGGGGGTACTTTCGGATGGAGGGAATGATGTGCCAGGCAGGAGAGGCGAGTCTTGAGAGAAGGAGCGGAAACTCGACAGGGAGGCTGCTTGCTGCTTCATGTGGAGGAGACGTTTTATAATAATTCCAGTTATATAGCGCTTTTCACCAAGTATCTCAAAGCGCTGTACAGGACACAGCAGCAGACATTCACCATAAACAAAATTATGTGATCCATTTACTAAATGAAATAAAAGTTTAATCATTGGAAGTGTATAAATAGGTTTTAAGACGCATTTTTAAATTGTTCACAGACTCAGAGATCACTGATATCTCATGGAAGAGCGTTTCATAGCCTGGGGACTACACGGGGAAAATCTCGGTCACCCATTGACCGAAACCTTGACCTGGGAATGCAGAGAAGATCTACATCCCCAGATCTTAGGGGCCTTGAGGGGACATGAGTGCAGCATGTCAATGATGTAGGCTGGGGCAAGAAACGTCGTACTTAGATTATAAATGTTATAGATTTACTCTCCAACACACCGGGGTGCTGCACAGTAACGAATTGGCATGTTCCGTTTACGTAACAAACCTTACTAATTGGCTGTCGGGTGATGGCGGGTTTAACGACACGTTTATATTTACGCGATCTAACCCCCCAAAAAACCTCTGTATTGTGGATGGGGCAAGATGGTTCTCTTCTTTGTATGGAATCTCAACCGGTATTTTTTTCTGTTGCGGCAAAGTCCCAGCAAGGTGGCTCGCGGTATTTTCGAATGGATCATCACACCTCCGATTACGAACTGCAATAAGCACGGTTGGCTACGTACGGTGCGAAAGAAGTTCAACGTACACGTCGAGACAGACGTCAACGAGATAAGTCAATGAAGTGAAACAACACACGAGACATTCTATAATGGATACGAACACACGCGCACTATTTTATTACATTCTTGCGTCTGATGGCATATGTTCAGGAGCTAAATATCAATATCAAGGTCTGATAGCCACGACAAGAGGGCTTGACGAGACAATTCGTGAAGTTTTGCTATTCCTCCTCTGTTGAAGGGGCACAGACTAGTGGTTTTACTATATGGTCCATATTTTGGTTGCACAGCCACAATCACACGTATGTGGCTTGTCAGCGGCCTGATGATGTTCAGAAACGTTTGATGGTTACGCCAGTGTCTTCCTGGAGGACTTTCAAAGCCAAGGAGGTGCGATGTTTGGGTCTTGAATGAGGGGTTTATTCTGGATGTCCGCAATGTTCCGTTCTGTTCTGTTCGCCAGCGTTCTTCCGAATCTGGGCGAGATTCCAGGATGGTGACAGCGCACTCCCAGAAGGGGGATAGGGACTTGCGTCGGGAGCGAGGTACATCGAGGACTTGGTTGATCATGGTGTGTAGGTCGTTGCCGTTTGGCAAGAAAACATGTAAACTCACTTGCAGTTTGCATATTTGGTGGGAGAACGTTCGCCACCACACATGCTCTGACACACGCAAAACACAACCTCGCTTAATTGGCTGAGCCGGGTGAGTTATTAAGCTCGAGCCTGACGCCTCTGCCGTTCTAATTAGGTCGCGACGAGGACTGGGGAAAACGCGGAGATCTGATCACACTGCATGCTTTTCTTGAGACGATTTTTCATAGGCTCTGGATGAATATTTATCAAAATATTCAGCCACCCTGGTGTCACTCACGTTTTCAATCCTCCCAATTTACTGACACATGTGAATTCTGAAGTCTCTTGTACTTGGGTCAGTTAAACAAATTTAACCAAGTGTTAGGATGATTTTGGTAATTGAAAACCTATGGGCAGTTGCACTTATCTAATCAACAGCAACGATGCCATGATTGTTGTTGTTTACTGAAATGTTGTTCTATAATGAGGGCATGTGACCTGTGACCGTTTGAGTGATTTGATAATTTGATTCTAATTGCCCATTTTATATCAGACCTGGGGTCAATTATAATTCCAAAAGCAATGTTAAGTGAAATGGCATTTATAATTACATTGCTATTCATTATGAACTGCACAATTACACCTGACCCCAGGTGTTCTCAATGCCCCTGCTTTTACATATTGTAGCTATATTGTTTGCATTTATTACTTTTAATTCAGATATTCACACATCTTTTTATTCTGAAATGAATGTGCAATTCCACCAGTTCTTAATTACATATTGTTGTTCAGATGTTTTACCTATGATTTAGCAAATTTATTATTTAACACAGGACACACTTGCAAATGAGATCATGTTTTAAAAGAATATTTTCCATCCCTTGATGAAATCACTCCAAAACTACACTTTGTGTACTTTTTCATACAAACTGCAACATTTACGAAATAAAGTGCTTACCATGATATTTATTTGAAGTGCATGTCTTTCAATGTCTCTCACGCATAACACATTTAGCCAAGTGATAAAATATTACACTGCAGATTTGAATTTGGATGAGCAATGCCGTCTCAAAACAATGAAATTAAACCGTCTTTACTGCACATTTTACAGTGGTAACATAAAATCCAACAATGCAATTCCCATTCCATTTCACAGTCTGTTGTGCAGACGGTAATTAGAAACAGCATTAAGGTCAAATAAACATTATTCAACTTTAAATTAAAATGTATAGACCAAAGTAAATGGGAAAATAAGCTCACAGGGAGTAAAATTGTATTTGCTCAATGAATCTCCCGATATGACTTTCAGATATTGGCACATTTGAGCATGAATGTATTATCACTGTGCATTGTGTGGCAAAACCTATGCAGCAGGCTCAGAGCCCTGCAGGAAAGCAGCAAAACGTGCTTGTTAGCTATAATATTGTCTCTGGGTAAAGCCTGTCTGGTTGAATTGTTGACCTCCTTGTTGGAAGAACTGTTCGAATTGGCCACCACCAGTGCTGTTGTTTGTCGCTCCACGTCCCCAACCTCCACCTCTGCCTCCACGCCCTCCACGCCCTCCACGAGCTGCGGCGTCGACGTGCGGAGCTCCTCCACCAGCAGGCACGTACCCACCTCCACCCTGCGAACCATAGCCTGCTCCACCTCTTCCTCCACCCTGGGTACCATAGGCTGCTGCTCCCCCTCTGCCCTGGCCTGTGTATCCACTTCCTCCTCCACTGCCCCCCTGGCTTGTGTAGCCTGCTGTTCCATCCCCACCCTGGTTTGCGTAGCCTCCACCACCTCCTCTGCTATGGCCTGTATAGCCACTTCCTCCGCCCTGGTTTGCGTATCCGCCACCTCCTCCTCCGCCCTGGCCTGCATATCCACCTGCTCCTCCACCCTGGCCCGTGAGGCCTCCACCTCCCCCACCCTGGCCCATGTAGCCACCACCCCTGCTGGCCCCTCGATAGCCACCACCTCTGCCCCGGTGAAAACCTCCTCCTCCAGGCTGATCACCATCTGGGGAGCACGGAAAGTTGCAGCATTCACCAGACAATTAATGCACTGAAATAATATAAAGAATACGTAATTGAAATTAATATGGTGCCTCAAAACTGATAATGAAGAAGACGTACTGTGGTGCGCACCATCAGACCAGCCTCCTCCCCCCCTCCCGCCTCGGCCACCGCCACGCTCATATCCTCCTCCACCTCGCTCATACCCTCCACCACCCCTCCCGCCATGATCATAGCCGCCACGCCCTCCTCCCCTGCCACCCTGGGGCTGTCCATCTGGTCTCTTTTGCCACGATGGCATCTCGGGAGGGGGAGGTTCGCTCTCTTGTGGCCTCCCGCCACGGTCTGGCACACGCCCCATGAGTACCTACAAGATGCCAAAGACACACACACATGCAGTCAAACCACAAACCTGTGAACCACAGGGGTTAATAGTGAATTAAGCAAATCATCAAGAAATTACACTTATACAGGGTTTCATGTTTCACTATATATTTTCAGGGCGACTGGTAGATTGGAGTAGGCATGTGACCAGTATCCGCAGCTGTAGTGAGCGGTATGCTTGATGTGGTGTGCCAGCTGTATTTAAGCTCTGCACTCTCAATCCATGTTGATGTCATCAGGACTGCCAAAATATTTTTGGAGAACTGTGGCAAAATAAGGAATTGTAATACAATTACAATTCCTTATAAGGGAAACAAATACCAATGATAACAATTGAATGATTACCAATCTATATAATTACAATACCCTCCCCCTCTTTGCCTCGAATCACTACACCAGATTGAATTAAATGATGACATCACCCTGATGCTGCTCTATTTAAGACTGGAAGCAACAGGAGAGCTTCACCATTCTTGCCCGATGAAGCTGATTGTAATTATCAGCGAAACGTCGTACTCAAATTTTAAAATGCTGTTGATTCTCTCTTCAGCACACCGGTGGGCTAAAGAAGCGAATTATTTTGTCCTTTGAAAAAACGTGACGCAATTGTTTACTGTTTGGCCGTGTCGGTTGGTGGAGGGTTACGACACATTTATAAATAACGCGATCTGACCCAAAAACCTATATTATGAATAATATTGGTCGCGAAAGCCTACGTGTTAAAAAGAAGTCCCCTTGACCTTTTCGGATCTGAGGCTTGGAGCACACTGCACAACCTGCCACACCCCTCCCCTCTCTTTGGCCATGTATACCATACTACTGTGAATCGTAAAAATCATAGGCATAGTGTAATATGTACTTATCGGTAATTTCATTTTGTTTAAATTAAGTACAACTTATTATATATTGATCAAAACATTAAATTAACTCATAGCACAACAAAAATTAAATGTATCGCTTTATATTTACACAATGCTACTGGCAACTCAATTGTGTCATCCCACTAAGTTCTCACACTCACCACAGCCGGGTGATGACCTGATCTTAGCATTACAAGCAACTTGAAACTAAGGTACCTTGTTGATGGCACAGGAGGTGTGCTCGCGCTGTTCCCCACTGCTCGTTTTGTAGAGACGGGAGAGGTCCTCGCGTGCAGCTAGTAGGTGAGCGATGTTGATTCCGGACTGTGTTAATAGTGCATGCCGCTTTGGAAGGTACACTTTCCCCATCACCTCCAGTCTGGCCTGTCAAACGACAAAGAAATTCAACTGCTAATAACTGGTGTGTTTTTAATATCTTTGTTTAAAAAATTATATAAATAAAATGTCACGATTAACAATGTCCAAGGTATTATTATTTTGTAAATGTAGGAAATACTTAAATTTTGTACACAAAATGGCCATTAAACATTGCAACAAGAGACGCTGGCAGTAAACCGAAACCTCACCTTGGCTTTGTCAGACCACCCGAATGACTGTATCGTCACATCAAGTCGCTTCAGCAACATCTTGCGGCGGATCTCGTATTCATTCACAAGTGCCTGGTTTATGATTTCTAGTTTTTCCTGGAAAAAAAATTTGTAACAATCAGAATCTTTATTTATCCTGGAGAAATACAATGAGCTATGAAGTTCTTGTTTCACAGATCTCCAGTAGGGGCGGGTCAGAAAGTTACAACAACAACAACAATACAAAAAATGGTAGGAGTTTTAAGTAGATGCAAAGGTAAGAACAATATTTAAAAATATATTTTACAAAAGGTCACATGCAAGCATAAATCAATACAATAAAACATTCTCTCCTTACAGAAGTTATCAAACAACATATAAGGACAACAATGCAGAATTTTACTAAATATCACTCACCCAGTGTAGCAGGTCCAAGGGTTTTCTTAAGCAATGGCTTTCCTATGTGAGCTGGAGATACTTTTGCCATGGCTTCCTTAAGCTGTGAACACAATAAATCCAATTATAAAACAGTGAAAACATTGTTTTGTATCAACAGCATAATGCACGGGCATAATATGACTTTGAACCCCCCCCCCACCTCCTACGCATTTCACAAGTAGTACTAATCACATACCTGCATTTCCCATAAATATGCTAAATTCTTCTTGATATGCAAATTATTTTGTCAAGGCGCCGTTCCCCCCTTCCAACCCAGCTTAAATAGACGCTCCAAGCATGGTGGTGTTTCATTCAGACGCTGTCTCCCCGACAGACCTGGTCTTCACCTGAGGACGGCTGCTTGCGTTGTGGCCGAAACGTCGTGAGAATTGTATTTTATTTTTATTATTTTATTATTTCCCTTCTACGTGACTTTACCGAAAGAACCTAAGAAGATCAATTCGATGTTTACAGCACAAGCCACTTATCCCATTTCACAGATTAATCTCCTTGTTTTGTTCATTTACTAAGATATTATTGTTCAATAAACAACATTAAATCAATGCATCTCCCAACAATCAAAATTCAAAAACCTTTTTCTCAATGCCGCTGAAGAACTGGAAGACTGAGATGTTGGGTGGAGGCTTAGACATTCCAAGGATGATGCAAATAATCTTGAGTTCCTGGAAGACCTCCGAGCCTTGTGCCATGGCCTGTGTTTGTGGGCTTCGGGCGGTTGTCATGCGCACTGCCTGCAGCTCCGATGTCAAGTACGCTATCCCACACACAATAACAAGCAGTTTGATTAAAACATTTCACCCCTGACCACATGTAAAATAAAATCACATTTATTTTGAAGAAAATAAAAGGCATGCATTCTTGCATCTAAATATTTAAACGTTTGAACTTTGTAGCAAACTTTGTAGGAAAGTTCAAAAAGTGCACAAGTTAATTTCCCTTGATAAAAAAAGCTTGGGCAAAGGTGCAGCCCTGCAATTACTTCATGCCACTGCTACCGGAAGGGCCTCTACTGGGCGGTATATTGGTCCTCTTCTTCCACGTCGGCCAGACATCTTAGAAGAGGTGAAAGTAGCCACACTATGCCTCACCATACATGACCTGCCCATTCGACTGCGGTGTACCAATTATACTTCTGAGGTGGAGAACGGTGGGGGAATTTAACAAACTTGACCATATTTTTAATTGATGAACATTGAAACAAAAAAAACAAATGCGGGAAACTGATTTTTCTTCTTATGCAAATCTTCACACTAGTTGAAAACCTATCATTGATTTTCAGAACAGCATATGAAAGACCATGCAGATTTGTAATGAAACAACAAATGCTGACACCCTGAAAGTCTTTCCAGTCATGGCTGTGATCAGTATAGGCTTTCTCCGAGAGTCTGTAAACTGTGAGTGTTGCATTTGTGTCACATACACAGCAGGAGCAGGCAGTTGTGCTTGTTGAGCAGACGCTTTGTTACTTCACCGCTGGTAAGGGAGGAATGCACACAACCCAGCTCATTCAGGAAGCCGCTCATCTCCAACTGGAACGTTTCTGCCTCCGCTGGGGCTACAGGTGGACACAAAACAAAAATACAGTACTGTACATGCTCTCTAAGGATGCTCGACATAACGCATTCAGAGTGTTAAATTGCTTGACATGTTTTTCCTTAAAAGACAATTGTCAATGAGCATGAATTTCTGAAATCATCAAGCAAAATCAGTCTGACTTTTGCACGGAAAACTTGACACACACACAATTTATGATGGAATTGAAACATTAAATAATGACATTAGAAATAATACTTGACTCCTTAAAAGCATTAAAGGCAAATATATACAGTTCTGTGAAAGCTGTAAAATAATCACACAATGAAATGCTACGATACACTTTTACCCACCTCTGTTTGCATAATGAGAAAAAAGACAACTGTAGTAAAACACGGTGAACATACATTAAATGTAAAAAGGTATACAATTCTATTGCAAGCATGAACAAGAAAAATAGTAATATGATTACTACCCACGATAGTTTTTATAATCGTTGTTACGTAACAAAAAAGCACAATGTTTAACGTTGGTGTTGGCACTTACTGTTGGTGGCATTGACGTTTTCTACCAAGTTGCAGAAGGCCTTGAGTTCGGTGGTGAGCCAGGCGCACACTTTGGTGAACTCAGGGCTCGTGGCCCCTTGCTCCACTGCCACATCCAGCGCCCCATCGTCCAGCAAGGGGCCCTTGTAGCTGTGTGACATAAATACATTCAGCATCACTTTAAGGGTTGCTATGACATTGCATCTCCTAGATTGCCTGATAACATCCATTGCTCTCTTTAAGGGGTGCCACGGTGGCGTGATGTTATCTTCCTCACCTGGTATGCAGGAGGTCGGGGGTTCGATTCCGACTCTGACCCTTGTATATTTCGAGTTTGCACGTTCTCCCCGTGGTGGTGTGGATTTTTTCTTCGGGTTCTCCGATTTTGCCCTCCACATTTTAAAACATGCATTTAGATTATTTGGCTGTTATAAATTTCCACATGATAAGATACTTCGGTCGAGCTATTATTTGTGGCCAGGTCACTTTTGAAAACAAAGCTAATGGCTCAGTGGGCTTTACCTGGTAAAATAAAAATAGTATGTTTTAGTGATTTGCTTTCTTTTACTATACATTGCACTCCTATTGTGTTTTTGTACTTTTTGTTGTTGTAACTTTCTGACCTGTTCCGACTGGACATCTGTGAAAAAAGAGCTTTATAGCTCATCAGATTCCTCCAGTACAAATAAAGATTCTGATTCTCTACGAAGCCTTGGATAGCAATGTCCTATGAAATGTGGAGGCTCAAACAAGAACATTGTAAAACCTGCAGCCCTTTAAAATAAAGTGTGTGCGCAATGTCATCAAAGTCAACTGCCACGAACACATTACTAACAAAGAAGTCACAGCTCATGCCTTAAAGACCAAATACTATATCATTAACACTGTACAGAAATGGCAAAGGAAATGATTAGAACACACCCTATGCATGGGAGTCTGCACACCCAACACAGGCTTGGCAAAAGCTGCAGAGGAGGTCCCTTAACAAGCTGGGCCAAGACTGCTCTTGAAGGCATTGGCATCAATTTCAACTTAGCCATCTTGTTGGCAACACACAATTGTGACGAGCATAGTTGTAGCTGTAAAGACGACACTCCTTGTTGAAAAAAATTCGTGAACCTTTAAATATACCACATGGAACCATGGTCACAGGGCTCAGCTCACAATCGTGATACTTTTGTAGCAGAGTCGGTGGAGGCCGCTGCACGACGCATAAGCCGGCCTGTGCGAGGCACAATGCGCGCCGCTCACAACAGCCCCATGCAGTGCCAGCCTCTGGCGGTTAGGGGGCGAAAGCGCCAGGGACGGCTCAGGGGTTCGTCTGGGGCCATGGCACTCCAGGTGAACCCGGAGGCCTGGTGACCGGGGGTACCAGCCAAGGGGCCCCAAGGAGGGGGCTGGGGGGGAACACGATACCAGGACCAGGTCCCTCTCGAAGGCTCGAGAAGGGAGGCGTGGCCTGGGGCGGAGGAAGCCCTGGGAAATATAAGCCGGACCCCTCAACGGGTCCGGGGGCTGCTGCTGTGACAAGACTGAAGACCGAAGCCGTCATCCGGAGAAAACCTGCCTGGCGAGCCAGGGTCCGGTCCGATCTAGCCACCCCGTGTGAGCTCAGGTTAGCTAGCCCGTGTGAGCTAGGGATAGCCACAGTGTGGGAGCTCAAGTTAGCTAGCCCGTGTGAGCTAGGGATAGCCACAGTGTGGGAGCTCAAGTTAGCTAGCCCGTGTGAGCTAGGGATAGCCACAGTGTGGGAGCTCAAGTTAGCTAGCCCGTGTGAGCTAGGGTTAGCTAGCCCGGAGGAGATACCTCCCTAGGGTAGCTGCTGAAGGGGGCAGCTGTACCCCTTCGTGTTTATCGTAATAAACGTGTTGCCTCCAAGAAGTCTCTGCCTCCCTCGTGTGAACCACGACACTTCTATTTCAAAAACTGGTTGGGATGCCATAGCCCACCACCCTCCAGAGTATATGAGGACCACTTTGTGGGGAGTCATCATTGGGTATTTTTGGCCTCATCCATGGGAATGTGCCATTTCGAGTGCTGATACCACACTGCTAAAAAAATGGACCCGGAGATGTTCTATAAAGAGGAACCCCCCTCATTGTCATCTCACGGGGCTTAAAGTAGCATTAAAATAAAATAAAATTCCAAGTTTGGGCTTAGGTCAGTTCCTTCAACGCATGCTTGCTCTTCAGTTTGTAATGTATGGTTTACAAGTTGTTAAACTATGCCTATTATAATACAAGCGTGTATGAACAGATGTGCAATCACGACCTTATGAACAAGCACATCTTACAATATAATTAATATTCTATTAAATATGAAGGGATTGTGTTGGCAGCAGTGAACAAGCACAACTTAAAACAAGTCACCACCTTCACAATTAATAGCGCCCTGTAACAGAAAGCTTACGCAGTAGAGTAAGTAGGCTAACGTCCTAGGCAATAGCTCTCTTCTTCAGAGCAGAAAGAGAACAAAAGGATTGTTGCTCTTGTAGATTCTCGTATAGAGTAGATGGACTGTATAAAAGGCAGCAGAAGCAACGTTTACGGCTCTTATGAAAGAAATAAAGCAGGCAAAGAGGAAGACCCACTTGAATATTTTGTTATTTAAAAACTGTTTATACAAAACTGGTTTCTAGGCGTCAAAGTGCCAAATCTGATCTTCTACCAGATGTCAATCATATAATCAAGATGGGCTATCGCACAAAAGGCTATCAACAGGGGTTGGCAGCCAAATTAACAAGAAAAAGCACTCAATACTTCCAGAGTCGCAATGCATGCGAATACGAGACGGTGATCGTAAATAAATAACGGTCACGTAGCAGTCCTTCGGCTGTTCTATGATTAACATTTATCGCATATATACTTCTGTTACAAGTGAATGCCAATGAGGAACGAGGTTGCTTTTTAAAATCCTTTATATTAAGTTCACTTGCTTGCGCGCTTACGACCGTGCAAATCTTTCGGTCGTTTTTTAACCCACTTCCCGTGATCCAATCGAGCTGACATTTTGCACACAGACTCGTTGTGCGTGACAATGTATTTTCGTGAAAAAATTTTCCTAAATTTTACACTTTTTAGGATTTTTTTATATATTAAATTACCAATTGCTTAATGGTGGCAGGCAATCATCTGACCCATAGGTGGCAGCCATCTCAAGCCAGAGGACGAGAGGACTCTAGCCGCCACGCATATAGAGGATTTATAGTGAAAAACTTTGTTTTTACGGGTTAATTTTTTATGTCATCGCACTTGACGCAGAACAAAGTACAAACCCCTTGGTGCAGTGTTCACAGCTGCGACTGCGCCCTGTGTATCAACAGCAAGCGCTTTAAGACACAACCCAGGAATCAGCACTCATCTTATAGCGACAACTCAGTTGCTTGCATGCCGGACTCTACGATCCGAGCTGGAATCTTTGTCCATGCAAAAAACATACCGAAGTCACGGTCCAACCCCCCGTCATTGTCAGTCTCCGAGTGAGCTCACCGTAACAAATATCCCAGTACCCCATATACGTATTAGTGTAATACGGACAAAACAGCGGATGTCACTACTGATGGAGCGCCTGCGATGATACAAACACAACCCAAACAGATTGAACGAAGCGGCAGCCGGTGACCATCTGGGTTTGTGTCTCTCTGCCAAGGCGGCTAACGTCAGTGGCACGTTGGATCTAAACATGTTCGGGCCCCCCTCCCACCTTCACCACCAAGCCGCACCGACCAGAGTGGTGAAGTATGACCCAACTACTCCCAGCAGCCGATTGACAAGAGGGCTTAAAGTTACTACTCGGTCGTCATTCATTATGTTTCGCAACGGAGCCGTGGTTGCGTGCAGCCTAAGCCGCAACCGGTGTTGCTTGCGTCTTGCTTTCACACGGCAGCCCGTCGACGTGATTATAAAACTACGAGTCGTAACTTTAAAATCTCCCAACCTCCCTCCACCCCTTCATTTACGAATCTTGCAAGTGGAATCTACAAGAACCTTCATTAAAAAAAACGTCGCTCACGTATCCCTTAGCAATTATCATGCACCCAAGCACCCGCATATCCTTGTCAAGCAAACAAATAAACAAAAGCAAGCCCCCCAACACCCGAACTGCATTTAATTGACGAACATTCACGACATTCGTTTCACGCCTAACACCACTCAGCTGTCAAAACGACAAGGCCGCACTGTACGTACAGTGCGGCTCCGCTCGCGCAGGCCGCTGTCAGGGGAAGGTTTATGAACAATGGAGTGGTTCGGGGATTGCCAGGCGATGAGGGCGAGGAGGAGGTGGTGGAGGGATGGGTGGGGGAGAGTGTTGACCCCAGAAGCGCGCCGGGGTTCGGGTGCGAGTCTCACCCCAGGTCGTCCAGAGACTCGGCGATGTCACCCTCCATCGCGGCTCCGAGGCGCGGCACTGCGCATGCGCGGGCGGCTCCTCATTCACGTCTGGGTGTGCCACGTGGGGGGGGGGGGGGGGGTGCCACGTGGGGGGGGTGTGTGCCACGTGGGGGGGGGGGGGGGTGCCACGGGGGGGGGGGTGTGTGCCACGTGGGGGGGGGCAGGTAGGGGGGTGCCACGTGGGGGGAGGGGGCAGGTAGGGGGGGGCATGTAGGGGGGTGCCACGTGGGGGGGGGCAGGTAGGGGGGGCATGTAGGGGGGTGCCACGTGGGGGGGGGCAGATAGGGGGGGGCAGCTGGGGGGTGCCACCTGGGGGGGGCAGGTAGGGGGGTGCCACCTGGGGGGAGGGGGCAGGTAGGGGGGGGCAGGTAGGGGGGTGCCACGTGGGGGGGGGGGGGCAGGTAGGGGGGTGCCACCTGGGGGGGGGCAGGTAGGGGGGTGCCACGTGAGGGGGGGGCAGGTAGGGGGGGTGCCACGTGAGGGGGGGGGGGCAGGTAGGGGGGTGCCACGTGGGGGGGGGGGCAGGTAGGGGGGTGCCACCTGGGGGGGGGCAGGTAGGGGGGTGCCACGTGAGGGGGGGGCAGGTAGGGGGGGTGCCACGTGGGGGTGCCACATGGGGGGGGGGATGCCACGTGAGGGAAGGGGGCAGGTGGGGGGGGTGCCACGTGAGGGGGGGGGCAGGTAGGGGAGGGTGCCACGTGGGGGGACGGGGTTGTGACAGCCCCCAACCATAGCAGCCCCAGAACCTGGCACTGTGAGCCATAGCCACACACTATTAGCTTCTATACACTATTAGCTTCTATACACTATTAGCTTCTATACACTATTAGCTTCTATACACTATTAGCTTCTATACACTATTAGTTTATTATATACACTATTAGCTTCTTATATGCACTATCAGTTCATTCTATACACTATTAGTTTATTATATGCACTATTAGCTTCTCCTTATGCACTATTCGCTTCTTCTATACACCACTAGCTTCTCTACACTACGAGCTTTATCTATACACCACGAGCTTAATCTTTACACTAATACAGTAGCTTCATCTAGACACTGCTAGCTTAATACTGGTAGGAACCTCCTGGTTCCACCAGCCCACAGGGGATTGTTGTGTCCGTCCGTCCGTCGTGCATCCAAAAATGGGAGGGGTGGGGCTGGGTGGAGAGGGGAGGGTGGGGAGGGGCTGGGTGGAGAGGGGAGGGTGGGGAGGGGCTGGGTGGGGAGTGTGGGGAGGGGCTGGGTGGGGAGGGTGGGGCTGGGTGGGGGGTGGGAGGGGTGGTGCTGGGTGGGGAGTGGCTGGTCACCCCATGATGCCCTTATAAAACTCAACGTTTAACCTACTCACGCCGGCTTGTGCCCGCCCTCACACTTGGGCATATTTTCGGAATACACCGCGCCGCCGTTGACCCTGGCCATTGACCGAACAACCCAACGTTCCTCCCAGCTCCCTCCGCAGGAATGTGTTCTATACACTATTACCCCTATCTATACACTCTTATCCATAGCCATACGCTTAATTGTATACACTATTAGACATAGCCATAGCTCTTGCTATATAAGAGAGCTATATTGTACGATACACATTATATGAATACATCTTCGTTTGATGGGAAATTGAGAACAGTCACCTGTAGAGCAACTTTATTTTAGGCATTAACCCTAGGCACACGAACATCACGGGGAACTGCACAGTGCACAGAGTTGTATATCCATGAGTTACAAACATTTGAGCTCACATTGGAGTTATTGAGATTTTATTGTACAGGGCGGAGGTGTAGGGCAGTGGTTACGAACCCGGCGACCCGAGTTCGATTTCCACTCGTGACTAATAACAGTGGCAAATAGGTCGACCCGATCCTGGGCCTCCCCGTACGTCGACTCAGCCTTAAATGAGAACCTAGGTGCTGTCCATAAATTACGTCGCGCATCTGGGGGGGGGGAGGGGGGTCAGACATTTGTGACGATGTGTGACGAGGGGGGGAGGGGGGGTTTGAGAAATGTGACGTCACATCAAAATGCGCAACTTTAAATACATATTTATTGAATAGAATTGTTATAACAACACTAATTGATTAATTTTCACGATTAACTATTTGATTATTTAAATTTACTAAGGTCACCTTTTATTTATTCCATGAAGGAGCATTTTGCTGCTCCATGGGAGAATGGAGAAGCGTACATTTTGTACATTTTTGAATGATTGTTATTAAACATTTTGATTCTAACGATTATACCACGGCTTTTCATTCCGTGAAATGAATATGTGATTGTTATAATTGTACTCTCCATTTTGCTTCGTTCTACTACAAAGTTTAAAAAATCGTCCTAAATCGCGTGACGTCATTTATGGACGGCCCCCTAGTACTGTTTCTAGATTTGAAGCTTTCGTGACTGCAAGGATTCATACTCTTAGTTCTTTCGGTAAAGTCACGTAGGTAAAAAATGAAATTAAAATTAATAAAAAAATAAAAATCACGACGTTTCGGGGGGAGGAGCCCTTCCTGGCTCCTCCCCCCTTAACCTCTATATAAGGTACAGATATTTTGCTGTGACGGTTCCACCTGAAGACGGAAGCTTGTGTTGCCTCCGAAACGTCGTGATTTTTATTGTTTTATTTTTATTAATTTAATTTCATTTTTTACCTACGTGACTTTACCGAAAGAACTAAGAGTATGAACCCCTAGTACTGTGTTCAAAAAGCAGCTCTGGGGAGAAAAAGGCGGCCGGGCGTGGCATTGGCCACCCCGCTCCCTCTCGTGTTCCGTGCTGGCCTTAATAGGTGCTCGCTAACAGCACTTGCTCCAACAGTCTAACGAAGGCTATTCAGGAGGATCTTTGTGAGAGAGATGAGGGAGAGCGAGAGAGATGAGAGAGTTGAGCAGGGGGCTGGCTGGGCTATGCGGATGAAACGTAACGAGCGCCTCTCTCCATGCTCATCGCGTAGCGAGTGAACTCGGCCACGATTCTCTTCTCCCGCAGCGAGCGCGCGTCCGAGCGCTGGGAAGCGCGCCTCGCCGTCCTGCGGAACGCGCGTTGCCCGTCCAGGAGCTCCCTGGCAGCGGAGGGGTCGGGTCAGAGAGGGAGGATGGGGTGGGTTGGCTTGGGGCAGCGTTCAACAGATGGTACGGTAACTCGCAGGTCCAGCTGAACTCAGGAAGAGTAGTGTTATACACCGCTCACCCAGTTCCGATCTACATCCAATGGCCATTTTGCCCCAGCTACTACCTCGTTTAAACTGAGAGGGCATACACATAACTCAGCGGGGGGCATGGTTGTTAGTGACTTGACTGCAGTATACGAATTTAGAAGGCTGGCTAAGCTTTCAGTCGGAAGGGGCTCAGATGGCCTCGCAGGTTATGCGAGCATAGAAGTACCGCACAACAATGTATTTCCCAGCGTTACCCTTTTCCATCCACCATGCATCCCCACAGTCTATAGCCTACAACAATCTCCTATTCACGGTGATTGCCCAACCCAAGCATCATCCAGGCTCAATCCTGCTGCTTAGATTCCGAAATATGATGATACGGGCACATTCCGGGTGATTGGGCAATAGGCATTGGTCTTGTACCTGTAGCTAATCCAGCCACTTCCGTCTCTGTCCAGCGCCGAGATGAGCTCCTCTAACGCCTGCTCCTCCAGGGGTGTGCTCAGTTGCTGAAAAAGCAGATGTCATCATTATCGGCACGCAGAGATGTCAGAGGCCTCCACAGGTGATGAGCAGGTGGTGTCAGGCGCGTGTTCACCTGCATGGCGCTCCTGAAGACATCCTGGGTCACTGACATTGTCCCGCTGTTGTCCATGTTACGGAAGAAGTCCCAGAGACGCAGCTTATTCTTGAGAAGGTGCCCCTGTTGTGGACACCAGAAAGCGAACACGATTGGCACGTGAGACACATATGATACCAACACTGACTGTTGGAAAGTAGAAAATGTTCATGTCAAAATAATTGTGCAAGTTGCACTCGTCACCAATGATTGAGCTGGAAACATGAAACTCCCTCCACTTGCAAAACCACATTCTGCTTCTTATCTTTTATTTAACCTCAATAAAACTATTGAGATGGATATCTCATGTCCAGCAGGTCAGTCCTGACGTGATGGTCAAGATAAATCAGTTCCATGGCAAACATAACTGAAAAAATCATGCATAGCGCAACCAATGTTCAAATAAAATAGAACAGAATGTGGACTGAAGCAGTGGGGCAGTGGATCGCGTGCTGCACTGTTAACACGACGACCGAGTTAAGTTCCCGGGCACGGCTGGCATTAGTAGCGAGTGATATCTGAACTGGACCTGTCCTCCTCCCTTCACCAAACAGCACTGACCAGCACGCAAAGCATGCTCAAAACAGCCCCATGTCTGACATGGGCACGCGGAGACCTTCATGGCCGTTGTGGACTTTCTGAAAGAAAGGAAGCTAGCCAAAGCCATTGCCATTCTGAAACCCGGAATACCGCAAGACTTCCCCTTCATTTCGCTCCTGAACATATTACCCACATACAAGAATAGAACGGTGGATCGGGGGATGCCAGGTCATTTTATGTATTTATTTAAATCGCAATGGGGGTGTCGAGATTTCACGGATGCTTCGCCCCAGTCAATGTAATCCCGAGACAAGTATAACCCGTAAAAACAAAGTTTTTCACTATAAATCCTTTATATGCGTGGCATCGGGGGGGCTAGAGTCCTCTCGTCCTCTGGCTTGAGATGGCTGCCACCTATGGGTCAGATGATTGCCTGGCAGCATTAAACAATTGGTAATTAAATATTTAAATTTTAATCCCTAAACAGTGTAAGATTTTTGAAAAAAAAATTCACGGAAATGCATTGTCACGCACAACGAGTCTGTGTGCAAAATGTCAGCTCGATTGGATCACGGGAAGTGGGTTAAAAAACGACCGAAAGATTTGCACGATCCTAAGCAAGCAAGCGAACTTAATATAAAGGATTTAAAAATACCCCGGCATGTCCTGTGGCCGATTTACGAAACGTCGTGATTTTCATTTTATTTTTATTAATTATAATTTCATTTTTTACCTACGTGACTTTACCGAAATAAGCTAAGAGTACGATTTACAGCAACACAAACGAGGTGCTCTGACGGTCGCTACCTGGATGGCTTGCATGGGGCTGACCCTGGGCTGGAACGTGCGGCGCAGGCCGCTGCCGATGCCCCCGTGCCGGACGGACAGGGGCCGTTGGCGCTCGCCTCGCACCGCGCTCAGCAGCTGCACAAACTGCTCGTTCACCACCACATTCTGCGGCCCGTTACGTTCATCAGACGGTGGGGGGGCGTCCATAAATGACGTCACGCGATTTGGGACGATTTTTTACCCTTCCCCCCCCTCTTCGTCACACGGCGTCATAAAAAGTCAGACCCCCCCCCCTCTCAAATATGACGTCACAAAGCTCTGCCCCCCCCCAACCCCAAAATAAAACATGCTTTAAATCTTCTTGGTTCTTTCGGTAAAGCCACGTAGAAGGGAAATAATAAAATAATAAAAGTTAAACATAAAAACAATATTTTATTATTTTATTATTATATTACTTTATTATATAATTTTTATGTTTTATTTTTATTATTTTATTATTTCCCTTCTACGTGACTTTACCGAAAGAACCAAGAAGATGAATCCCTGCAGTCACGAAAGCTTTAAATCGATGCTTTAAATCGCTATAAACTATTGTCATTGTAGTGCGTATTTAATGTGGCGCTGCACTCTGATGTTGCAGGACAAAAAATTATTAAAACGTTTATTTAATTAAGTGGAACGTGTTGTCTATATTTATTTAAAGTTGCGCATTTTGATGTGACGTCACATTTATACCCCCCCCTCGTCACACATCGTCACAAATGTCTGACCCCCCCCCCCACCCCCTAGGTGCGTAACGTCATTTATGGACGACCCCGTGGTTAGCGAACACCTTTAACTAATTGGCTGTGTCGGGTGGTGGTGGTGGTGGTGGGTTAACGACATATTTATATTTACGCAATCTAACCCAAAACAAACTTTGTGGTCGCGAATGCCTACGTGCTAAACTAACCTTCTCTACGGTTAAGGTGCAGCCCTGCAATTGCTTGCTCACACCATTGCTGGCGGAAGGGCCTCCGCTCGAGGGAGCTCCGTAGAGCCCCTCTGGGGAGGGTATCCTCATCTTATTCTTCCACGTTGGACAAGCACCTTGGGAGAGGTGTGAGTCTCCACACCTTACCCCGCCGCACACGACCTGTTGAATGACTGTAGTGTACCAAGGTATACTGTTCGATGGAAATAGGCGATGGGGGGGTTATAGAAACTCGCCCCTTGTTTTAACTGCCATGCCAGAAGATCTAACGGGTGATCTCTGGTATGCAAGTGTATTGTAGTAACAATTACACCACAGTAACATCCCTATCCATAAATATGTTGATATATGAGTAGGCAAGACAATTAACGAGACGCTATGCCCAATACAGTATACAGCCTCTTGTAGTTCAATTTGGCCAGGTTTTTTACTTAAATTTTACGTATTGGGGAGCCTTCATCCAATAGTCTCATTCTAGCACTACTAATAGTTGACAGATACAACTTGTATATGGATACCCTGGCTTGTGTATTATTGATGGCCAGTTGCACAAATCAGCAATCTCAAAGTCGACATTTGTAAATTGCATCAATGCTGTCATACGTACTGGGTGTCATTTTGAAATAATTCTCCAAATTATTTGGAAAATATGGGTTAAGTATTGAAGAAGTAAATGGTTTGACACATACAACACACAGATAACTTCCCATTACAGTATATGAACATTTTTCCCTCATCAGGAAAGGCCAGTGAATAATATCAATTTGAAATAAGTGTCCTTGATTGGTTGACTTAAGATGCCCAAGTATATAACACTGCTTCGTGATTTTATTCACATTTTACCACATCTTTAATGTATCTGAAATGTACGTGTAGAATCATCGATATACCCTTATGTAATTTTACGTCATTTCAGAACTGACTGAAATGTTGACGTCTTGCATCGTCGACCTCTTGTTCTTCTGGATGGCGGAGAGCAAGGCGAGGGCTCCCTCTGCCATGATAGGGTTCAGTGTGAGCTGCAAACAGACCAGTTTCCTCCAATTAGCTAAACCCGCACAAACGAATATCAAATGAAACATGTTAGATGAAAAAACAACTCAAATTGATTATAATCATGAATAGGCTTTGGCAGAACATGTCACTAGAAGGGATGTGAGATAAACATATTACTTCTTATTATCTATTACCCAAATTCATTGGGTCTTTCGGTAAAGCCACGTAAATAGAAAAAATAATAATAAAAATATCACAATGTTTGATCGCAACACAAGCAATCGTCATCAGGTGAAAAAAGCGCTAGTTTTGCACCTGATGACGATTGCTTGTGTTGTGATTTTATAGTTTTTTCTATCTACGTGGCTTTACCGAAAGACCCAATGAATATGAATTCCTGCAGTCACGAAAGCGTTAAGTCAAGATTTATCTATCACCCCTTTTATAGCGCTGTTTTTTCATGGCCGTTTGACTTGTTGCGCCTTTGGGCCCTGCGCTCGGCGACCGCGATAAAAAACAAAATCCACAATGTGGCCGCTTGGCTTGACGATCACCTTGAGGCTGCGTAGAGCCAGGTTCGTCTGCAGCCCGGCAGCCAGAGCCCTCGCGCCCCGCTCATCCACGCGGCAGGAGCTCAGGTCCAGGTGGTGCAGGGTCCTGTTCCGCTGGAGAGCCTCTCGCAGTGCCAGGGCACCCTCGGTGCCCACGCCGGTCCATGCCAAGCTCAGCCAGCGAACACTGCGGTTCACCTAACACAGTGAAGTGCCGATTACAGATATTTTCGTGGGTGGACAGACGGCACTAGTTATATATCACACTGCCGTATCACACTGCCGCGGCTGTGTTGAGTGTTAGCCTCTCATGTGCTTGGGTTTTCGCCAGTTACTCCGGTTTTATTCCCACAAGCCGAATAATCGTTGACGGAATTGGCCAAACTTTCTTCAAACAGTCTTGAGACTTTGGCGTTCTTGGGTAAATCATTGGCATTCTTTTCCTGTAACATGACACTGGGATGGTATTTGTAAACGTTCTTCAAGGGAGAGTTGGGGCCACGTTTTGGCTCGAGGCACACATTCTGTTTCACTGCCGTTTTCTCACAGGCAACCGGTTGTGAGCAAAGCTGGATTAAAGTAGGGGCCACAATGCAGTTCTGCAGGAACTGCTAATGGTTTTTGCTTTACGCACAAAAATGCTGCATGCTTTTTGTATACTTTTTTGTGCTCTTTAAAATAGGGGCTTCAGTGAATGGTGAGTGGTGTCTCGTATTTATTTTGAGGGCCTCTGAAGAATGTGTGCACTTTACAATAGCTGGAATGCAATACTTTAGCACTATAATTAATACTATTGGTTATTTTGTAATAAATCCATCACATACATACATGTATTACTACCAGTATTGTTCTGAAAATATAACTATTTAGAATTTTAACTGAGTTCTCTAGTTTTGCTCCTTCAATCCACATATTCATTGATGGAACGGGACCAAACAAAATCAATGCAGGGCTCTCCTGAAAACAGTCTCGAGACTTAGTGAGGCTTTCTTGGGTTCTAGTCTATTATTGCGCATGATGGAAATATGCTCAAGAGCTAAATACCAATGTCGAGGTCTGCTTTCCATGTAAGGACTTCAGGAGAGAGTGATTGTAGTTTTACTACTCCCTTGAAAGAGCGCAGACTGCAGTGGTTTACTACGAGATCCATAGATTGGGAACATGCCCACAATCACACGACTGTGGCTTGTTTTTAATTTCCATTTATAAAGGAAATGTGCGCAGCTGCCTGTCGATGTTCTGATGCGGTTGTGGGTTACACCAGTGTGTTCGAGGAGGAATGTCGAAGCCAGGAGGTGCGATGTTTGGGTCTAGAATGAGGTGTATCCTGAGTGTCCACGTTGTTCCACCATGTGCGTCAGCATTCTTGGGGTATATCATTGGCATTCATTTTTAAATAACGAGCACTGCTCGCGCATTTGCGTGGGCAGTGCACGTCCGGTGTGGAGGGTGCCTGGGGATAGGCGTGATGTCAGTGCAACGCACGAACCCGACTGTGGGATGCGGGTCACGCCATCACGCACCAGCCAGCCAGACAGCCTTGCAGCCAGCCAGCCAGCCAGCAAAACGTTGTGTTCATAATTTCGTTTGATTGCGAAGTCCCCGCGTTGGACTGAAGATGGCGCAAAACTCACGCTGATGGCTGCTGCGATGGCCACGGAGCCGTGGCACCTCCACAGACTCCACGTCAGGTCCAGCGTCTCCAGCGTCGTGGAGTTCGCTGAGCCGGGGTCGGGCGGAGAGGGAGGGGGGGGGCAACCCCGTGACGACATCACGGCGCACACCACATCCAGTATCATTTAAAGTCAATCTTAAATAATAAATAAATGCTGCTGTGTATTCTGTGTTGTTTACAAGCCCTTCTCTTTCATTCTAGATTTGAAGCTTTCGTGACTGCAAGGATTCATATTCTTAGTTTTTTCGGTAAAGTCACGTAGGTAAAAAATTAAATTAATAAAAGTAAAATAAAATAAAAAATCACGACGTTTCGGAGGCAACACAAGCTTCGGTCTTCAGCTGAAGACGGAAGCTTGTGTTGCCTCCGAAACGTCGTGATTTTTATTTTATTTTTATTTTACTTTTATTAATTTTAATTTCAATTTTTTACCTACGTGACTTTACCGAAAAAACTAAGAATACCTTTCTCTTTCAGTCTACCCCCCCTCCCAACTTAACGCGAACTCAAACAGGTCGCGACCCAGGGATATTGGGAGGGTGCCACGGTGACGAGATGTCATCTACCTCGCCTGGTATACAGGAGGTCGTAGGGTTCGACCCCGAGCCTGACGCCTGCTGCTGTACATTTGGAGTTTGCATGTTGCTCCCGTGGTCACATGGACCTTTCTCCGAATCCTCCGGTTTGTCCCACATGCATTTAGATTGTTTTGCTGATATACATTTCCACGTGGAAAGCCACTTCGTTGAGCTATGATTTGTGACCAGATCGATTCTGAAAAAGGGCTATAAAGCTCAGTGGGCCTTACCTGGTAAAATATAAATAGTTAAGCTTGCGTTTCGTATTAAAATATTTGATTGACAAAGACTACAAAGCCAAACGTTTGCCGAACGTTCCATTTTCACTGGGGACTTGTTTAACTGCTAATTGAAACGTCTAGTTTATATATATTTTTAAAAAATCAATCGGTCGGTGTTTGCTACAACATGTTGACAAGTGTTCATATTTTAATTTGGAGCTTTCGTGACTGCAGGAATTACTCTTTGGTTATTTCGGTAAAGTCACGTATAAAGATAAAATAATAAATTAAATAATAGCATACTACGACGTTTCGATTGCAACACCTGATGACGATTGCTTGTGTTGCAATAGAAACGTCGTAGTATGCTATTATTTAATTTATTATTTTATCTTTTTACGTGACTTTACCGAAAGAACCAAAGAGAGGTGTTCATATTCCCAGCCGTCTTCGTCTGTGTTCATGAAATAACGTGTGTTCATAAAAATGCCGAAAAATGGTTTGATAATAAACATTGACCTTGGCATTACCTATCATATGGGCCACATGCATGGCACCTGCGTCTCCAATTCTGTTGTGGCTCATATCCAGTTCTTTCAGGCTTCTATTTACCTGTCAACACAGCAACATCGTCATTACGTTTATAATTGGTCTCTTTTGGATGAGGTCGTGTACAAATGTGCGACGTAAACCCTCCTCCACCCGACGGCCAATGAAATAAAAGTATCACGTGAATCAAAACGTGGCCAAATACATTGCTGCCTCAGGCACACTACGGGTGTCGTGAGCTGGAGATACATTTCACAATATTTAAATTGGTACTTTGACGTTTCGTTAGAGATATAATCTATCATAATCAGGTTGTATAACAGCTCAGATTCTGTTAACAGGACCCGGGCTCTAAATTTTCCTAAACTACACTCCTGGTGACTCACCACATTTCGCCTTTGTGCGTTGACTACAATCTCTTCCGTTCAAATTTAAATCAAATTATTACACGCTGCACATGCCTGATGACTGGTGATCCCTAACGTCATAATGTAACTCGAATCATCGTTATATGTCACGCGGAACATAAAAAAACAAAGGACGCCGTATAGCCTTTCACAGGCTGTTTGGGCAAGTGCGGTTAAGCGAGCATCTATGAAGGCCAGAACGCCACAGGAGGGGGGGTAGGTAGCCAACATCATGACCGTCCGCCTTTGTCTCCCCAGTGTTGACGTTTAAACACCACGCCAGGTACTCATTTAAGGCTGAGTCGAGCTAGGGGTGACTGAAATATTCGTGACTGATGTTGCTTCTCAGCTGGAATCGAACTGGGGGTGTCCCAGGTTCGTTGTGCAGCGAGATAACCACTTTACTACCGCTCCGTACATACAAACAGCATCTCGCTCTAATTTGAATCGTTGCTTTATGCGTCACACGAAGCGTGTTAAGCTAAACACCAGGTGCCTTCAACGCGTAGACACGTCATGCTTATTTGAACGGAGAAGATCGGTCATCGTCAAGAGATGGAGGACGGGAAAGGATGTTGGGAAACTCTGCACGAAACATTAATTAAACATAAGAAATCACAGGTGATCATGATTAGATGTTTGAAGAGGTTATCGTATATAAAAATGACCAAAACGTTTTCCAACGTTGACCAACATGCTTCTTACAAGAGACAATGAGATGGCAGAGAAATCACCGGTACAATACATTGATGATTTTGGGCGTATTGTGAATTTAACTGCACATTTTTTCGGTGACATGTACTTTAACTTTTCATTGTATCAGGTACGGCAGACTGAGCTATATAACATTTTTTTTCAGAAGCGGCCTGGCCACAAATGATAGCTCAACAAAGTGGCTTATCACGTGAAATTTTTATATCAGCCAAATACTTTAAATGCGTGTTTCTCAATGTGGAGGGAAAAACTGGAGGACCCGGAGTAAAATCCACGCGACCACAGGGAGAACATGCAAACTCAAAATATACAGCAGGCGTCAGGGTCGGGATCGGGATCGAACCCATGACCTCCTGCATACCAGGCGGGGGATTTAACATCTCTGCACCGTGGCATCCCTGTAAACTCTAGGCTGTGGTTTCTGTTACCTAGTGAGGCCGTTGTGTTCCCTTCACGCTCGGCAGGGCTTAATCTTCTCTCGAAAAATATTTTCCAAACATTTTACGGAGCTCAGCCTCGGACAACTGCGACTGAAATTAAATCCTGCCGCGAAGCAATGGACAGCACAGTTACTGCACTGTGGCTCTTACTAAGCGGTGGGCAGGAGTGAGAACCAGCAGCGCATCATCTGTACATCAGCATCAGCAGCGTGAGAATACTTACTTTCGTGCCCAAGTGCCTTCCTGTCTTGTATGTATGTTGAACTTCTTTCGCACCGTACGTAGCCAACCGTGCTAATCGGACGTGCCATGGGGCTATCGACTGTAAGAATGTGACATCAGCAACGCCGTATGCACGCGTGCATGTACTTATGTTTTAAAGCAGTCTTATGGTTTTTAATTATTTATACACGCGGTGCTATGCACAAAGGGCTTTTGTACAAAGGGCTTGCCCACATATCAGCACTTTGAGATTACTCATTTGAAAGGCATACTTTATAAAACCGACTTTATCATTAGTATTATTATTACGAGGCTAGAGTCACAAAGCATAATGAGTAGACAACAATGGTCTTACTGTGCTGATGTTTCCTAACAAGAATAAAACCGATACACGGTACAATTGTCTCGCTGCATTTTAAAATGTATACAGCCACAGTTTTGACTCGTCCCCCCTCCCCCTTGTTGGTAGTCTAAAACAAGGCAGCGAGCATTATACACGCAGCATGATCGTGTGACCTTGTATCGCACCGCCTTAGAGTTCGCTCACTATCGTGGAGAGACAACGCCTTGGAGAGAGAGGCGTGAGGAACCACAGACAGGCAGGGAGGCAGCCACGCGATGGACCGACGCCAACAGTTGCCCAAGCTCTGCTGTCCTCTCTATATCGAGGTATTATCGAGCAACTAGTGAGTTTAAATTTTGATTTAAAGCTTTCGTGACTGCAGGGATTCATATTCTTAGTTCTTTAGGTAAAGTCACGTAGAAGGGAAATAATAAAATAATAAAAATACAAAACAATACAAATTCTCACGACGTTTCGACTGCAACCCAAGCAATCATCATCAGGTGTGAAATCCACACTGACCAACTGCCAAATCGCTGTCTGTGGTGCTGATGTTTGGAAAAACCGCCACTTTTTAAAAATTTTCTTGCTGTGGATTTCACACCTGATGATGATTGCTTGTGTTGCAGTCGAAACGTCGTGAGCATTTTTATTGTTTTATATTTTTATTATTTTATTATTTCCCTTCTACGTGACTTTACCGAAAGAACCAAGAATACAACTAATGAGTGATTACATGTGGGGTGACACAAGAGCACGCAAATAAAATCCACGCATGCGAGGGGGAAACACTCTATCCCATCCAGATGGAACAGATGGAATCCACAATTTTGTTGTACAATACTGCATTCTCCTGGCGAGCCAGGGTATAGGCTCCTCTTCGACGCCCTTGGGAAGGGAGTTTCACAACATTTGTGCGATCCACGAGCCCTCACCCCCGCAGTGCTGGATGATAGGCATGCATAGTCACCGACGGCCCAACTATGGGGTTGTGATTGTAATGACAATGCAAGGTATGATGGAACGACCGATCCTCTGGTCACTCAAATGCCTTGTCCAGTCTACAAATCATCTTTTGCGTATAATATTCCTCTTGTTTGTTTCCAGCGTGCACACACTTTGTTGTCTGGCGAGTTTCCCATCATTTTCAGAGACAGTGTAAATTGCTACAAAGGGGGGATTGTGTTATAACAGAGTCTGTGCTGACGATGACCAAAATAGAATATTGATTTCATCCATCACCAGTGCAGAACCAATTTGCACAACACAGTTTCCACAAGCAGAATCATAATATGTATTTATACTGGAAGCTATGAAGCTATTTTTAACAGATGTCCAGTGAGAATGTTACAACAACAAACAATACAAAAACACGATATGAGTGCAAAGTATAGGAAATGTAGGCAAATCACAAAAACATACCAATAAAACTATTTTTATTTTACCAGGTAAAGCCCACTGGTAAAGTAAATACAGGCAGGAAATAAGTAAAAGACACAGCTTGCCGATGTGAGTTTTCAGGGTGTTGTTCCGTACAATTGTCCGACACTTTCCTCCACGTGCTGGGAGCTTCCTATTCAAGAGCTGCATTTCAGTTTCAGTTCCTGAAGAAGCTGTGAGTCAGCTCAGCAAATTTATATTACATTCCTGAACAAGCTCCCGGCACCGTAGAGCGAAAACGTCGGGCATCATGCCGAGCAACACGCGATGCAACCCGAAAACTCATCAGAGAGCAGCAGAGCACAAATGCGAAGAGCTACGCAGTAAATGCTTTGTTTCAATTGAGCTACCCATTAAAGTGGCCGTGCCGTGTTAGATGAAAGCAAACTATGAAACAGTTATAGGAGGAATTTACATCAAGACGCTCCATACTTACCGACATGGCGTTGTGCAAATGTCTGGCAGCTTCATCTGTTAAATTGTTTCCTACCAAAGGACATGCAATGTGGTTCTCCTTATACACTTTTTCGAACAGACATGAGCTCACATGTTAACACCATCGTTATCGTCATTGCAATGTTCATCACATATCTCGTTTATAGAAACAGTGCCACTAGGCATGAGTCACAATAGGTGACAACTTAAATTGTTAGTACACAAATTACCACGAGTCCAGATCTAGAGGTTACGTTTGATTAATTTTGTATCACCATGAGAAAGTCATTCTTGCAACAAGGCTTCTTCGTGGCAACCAGTTGTATAAAACACATGGATGCAATTTTATTTTAGTTTGACATCCAAAGCACTGCACAGGGGACAGCGGTGTCACTTAACGTGCGCTCTGGATCAATGTTGCCTTTAAAAGTATTTGTTTGAATGCACAATTTTATTTTACAACATTGATGCAGTCTTTATTTGCCATTAAATCCAGAAGTATACCTGAACCTTTCCTCCGCAAATTGAAACGCTGCCACCTGCGCAGCGGAGATTACTCTTTCTCTCCGATGTGTCTGTAGCTTGCACCGCATGCTGCGCGGGACATGACCCCCGACGTTTGGCTTCACATGCTGGGAGCTTCTTCAGGCACTCAATTCAGTTCTTGAAGAAAATCCCAGAACGTGGAATGAAACGTCAGACATCGTGCCGAACGACAGACAATTCTTCACAGTCCGAAAACACCGCCGGAGAGCCGTATAGCGGCACAACCGCGAAAACCTACGCAGTACTGGAGCTACATACTATTAACATTCCTTCCATTTATTAATGCTAACCCTATCCCCTCCCTTTGATGCTGCTAATCCTGCTTAATGCACGGGCATAATATGACTTGAAAACCCCCCGCCCACCTCCTACACATTTCACAAGTAGTGACTAATCCCATATCTGCATTTCCCATAAATATGCGAATTCCTCTTGATATGCAAATTCTTTTGTCAAGGCGCTCTTCCCCCTCCAACTCAGCCTAAATATACGCTCCAAGCCTGGTGGTGTTTCATTCAGACGCTGTCTTCCCGACAGACCTGTTCTTCACCTGAGGACGTGACTTTACCGAAAGAACCAAGAAGATGAATCCCTGCAGTCACGAAAGCTTTAAATCGAAAAATAGTACTGGAGTAGTTGCAGCAATTCTCAGTCATCGTTCCACACACACACACACATAGAGGCCCTCGCACCGGACAGGTTGAGACTGGTGACGGTGGAGTTCTCCCTCAGCGCAGAGCACAAGGCCATCGTTCCTCCGTCTCCCATGCGGTTGCTCGACACGTTCTGTGAAGGGTCAGACCGGCAAACAGACACAGCTCACACCTCTACGTGGCGGCGATGTGGCCAGATGGCAGTGCGGAAATACGATCTTGATTCGATCTGCGTGTAGCTTTGAGTGTCACCCTGTCGAAAGTGTGGTGGTAGGTTTTCTCCAAGATACTCGTTTTCCCCCTGCCCCCCCCCCCCCAGGAAACGCAAAAAACTGATGAATGTACATGGCCCAACATCCTATTGTAGGACCATACATAAAACTAGTATTGAGACTCACCGAGGCTTTACTGGGTAAATACACGGCATTATGTTTAGAATTTTATCTCTGTGTATTGGCAATCCAAGGGCCGATTTCTGGGTTGTATTGCATTTTGTTTGGCATGATGTCCGACGTTTTGGAACTGAAATGCTCCCAGTGTGTGTAGACACGACGTATTTGCCACGCCTCATATAATCATGGGTCTCCTTACCAGCTCTTCGATGTAGCAGTTCTCTTTCAGCATTCGCGAGAGGTGGTGGCAACCCTCCTCCTGCAGCCAGTTGTCCGTCAGGTCCAACTTGGTGACCATGGTGTTGACCTGAAATATTAAATTAAGTCAAGTAAATTGTTCACGTTGATGGCCGCCAAGTTGTGTGCGTAATGGATTGACTTACAATAATAATAACAACAATAATCATAATAATTCTCAACTTGTGATGCGCTGCAGTAGTTTTGCTCGCTCTACTAGAGAGAGAACGACTCAGATGCGCGAGGAAGCACAGATCAGCTGGAAGGCAGCCGCACAATAAGCCGACGTCAACAATTGCCCAAGCTTGGTGATCCTCTCTATATTAAGATGTTATCGACCAATTAATGGAAGGAAACCGGAACACCCGAAGAAAACCCACACGTGTGGAGGGGGGGGGGGCAACACTCTATCCCATACAGACGGAACAGGTGGAATATAAGGATATTTTTTACCCTTTGTGGCAATAAAACAGGTGCTAAGATGTTAAAACACCAAACAGAAACCTTTTGCAAGGAATCCCGTCTGCATTAACCACACGTACTTGTGGTGAACATGCAAAAAAACATACTCTGATAATATATGCATTGTCTTTGAAACTGATTGGTCCACACCAGAGACAGCTTTCTTTAGTCTCAACGTGTTAGACCAGAGAACGCCAAAAGGCGAACAGCACGATCAGGGAAATTATAGCTCTTGGTGAGCAGCTACAATATGGGACCTTTCTTGCCATCATCAAAATATAATAATATGTTTCACCCTTTCTAGCAATAAAACAGGTGTTAAGATGTTAAAACACCAAAATAAACCTTTTATGATTGAAGGCCAAAAAGTGCTTTCAAATACCTTTGGCAGGCAATCACACACACCTCTTGGCAGAAGGGACTGAACAACACTAAATGTTCCTCTCCAGTAAGAGATTAGTTTGGCAAAGATGTTCGTAGTGACAGACAAATTTAGTTTGTTGGAATTTTGAAATGGTAGGACGTGCCTCGGGCCGTCGAGAATGCATAGGTAGGTTCTCCGCACTTGACTTAAATGTTACCATGTCGAATAATAGCGTGGTTGCCTCGCCAGAAAAAAAGTTGAACGCCGTTGAACGCAAAACCAGTGTATTTGTGTACGCTCGGCTAACCTTTCAGAGTGCGCAGTGTGTTTCGATTTAAAGCTTTCGTGACTGCAGGGATTCATCTTCTTGGTTCTTTCGGTAAAGTCACGTAGAAGGGAAGTAATAAAATAAATAAAATAAAAAACATAATAAATAATTCTCACGACGTTTCGGCCACAACGCAAGCAGCCGTCCTCAGACACTGTCTCCCCGACAGACCTGGTCTTCACCTGAGGACGGCTGCTTGCGTTGTGGCCGAAACGTCGTGAGAATTATTTTATTATGTTTTTTTTATTTTTATTATTTTATGACTTCCCTTCTACGTGACTTTACCGAAAGAACCAATAAAATGAGTGCGCAGTATGTTTCGTCGTGTTTGATTTGAAAACACGTTTGAGTAGCGTGGTGGTTTGGCTGCTGCAGCTCCTTACTATTAAAATTCCTTCCCTTTATTACTGCTAACCCTACCTCCTCCGTTTATTGCTGCTAATCCTACATAATGCACGGGCATAATATGACTTTGAGACCCCCCCCCCACCTCCTACGCATTCCACAAGTAGTGACTAATCCCATATCAGCATTTTGCATAATTATGCTAAATTCCTATGTTGATATGCAAATTCCTTTGTCAAGGCGCCCTTCCTCCCCTAACCCAGCTTAAATATACGCTGCCAAGCTTGGTGGTGTTCATTCAGACGCTGTCTTTCCGACAGACCTGTTCCTCACCTGAGGATGGCTGCTTGCGTTGTAGCCGAAACGTCGTGAGAATTGTATTTTATGTTTTATTTTTATTATTTTATTATTTCCCTTCTACGTGACTTTACCGAAAGAACCAAGAAGATATCGTGGCACGGTCAATTCACTCCGACAAAACTGTTCACTCGTCCACCCCAACATCTTAACTCGTGATCTTACTCACGCATGCAATATGTTTAACGCATGCTTTTTGCATGCAGTTGTTATGCATCCAAGGCGCGTAAACATTATTGATCGGATACAAAGTATTGACAGCTGCGAACGCATGAACACAGATGCAGCTGTACCATTAAGTAACCAGATCTCGTTTGAATCCTGGAGATGAGAATGATTAAAGCAAGAGTCATAAACAAATACCGTATATATTATCTATGAAAGCTGTACTCAGTCCTCAAGTCTTGTTTTCAGGAGGGTCTTGCATTGCAAGGCTTGAGCAATTACACCAATTTGTGTTTGGCTTGTGGCAGGAAACCAGAGTACCCAAAAATTGGAGCCAGACCAAAGGCCAGACGGGAGACACCAGGTCAAAGAGTCTCTGCTTGGGGTTGCTGCCTGTACACCGGCATGCCGTGCATCGCAATCAACTACATCTGGACCAAACTGCCACTGGGCACCACGTGGCACGCGACGTTACCGTGAGACAGCGAGCGAGGGGCGCGGCACCGCGGGGTCCCAGGGCTCGGTGCGCGAGGCGCAGCTGGGGTCGGGAGCCCCCTGAGCCCAGGACCCCCGTGGCCGGGCAGACCCCCGCGGTGCGGCACCCTTCCCGGTAGCGGGGGCCCCAGCCCAGGTCTTGTGACCGCGGGCCCCCAGGACGGAGGAGGGCTTCGTCGCCATCTGACGCGGAGAGACAATTGGAAGGAACGTATGTGGGCATCCCGTGTTGGTGAATTGGCAAAACGACCACCAACATCATCATCATCGTCATCATGATCAAAACCACCACACGGTGGTAGTGAATTGTAAGACCAATAATCACCATGCAATTGATTAGGCACGTGACGATTCCCTCCCACCCCGCCTCCCCCCATAGAAACAATGAGTCAATGAATTGTAATAATTCGTGGTTGATACAAAAATACTTTTTGTCGAGTTATTACAATTTTTTTGTTTATATTATCTCGCGTTTGTTTCTGTCCCATTGGTACAGTTCTGTCTGCCGTCTGCGTTCGCCTGATTGTCACACGAGCACGCCTCTTCTTCAGTCCTCCAACTAAAGGCAGGTTCTTGGCTCGAGCCTTCTCCGTAGAGTGAGATATTGTGCTTTAGTTTCCATTTTCCAACTCTTCTGTCAATTTTTAAGTCATCTAACAACCTCTTTCTTCCACACTGACCAGACGTGTTGGTGGAGGTGGAAGCTTACACACACTTTTCCCCACCACACACCTTCCTATCGACGAACTGCAGTGTATTCATGTTTATACTGCTGGCTGAACAGAGGCGGGGGTGAGGGTTGGAGGAGCATTTAAGAAACCTGCAATATTGTTTCAACTGTTATGCTAGGAGATCGAATCGAACGAGTGAGTTCTGGATTACAAGGCGAGTGCGCTAACAGTTACACCGTAGCATCTACCCGCTACATGGTGTGCCACACAAATCCACCTCGGGGAAAGTGGATTATCTTGCCTGCAACAGCTGATGTCAAAGGGCCAAAGCCCACGTTGCAATGTAACCGCATTGTCAATGCACACGGGGTGCTGCGTAATGGATTTAAGTGCTTAAAGTACGAGCGTCCATCACGGTCATCAGGGATCCATCAATCACACGCACTGCAGGGTGAGGCGTGACTGGGTTAGTACTGAAATCATCGTCGCCAATTGCAGCTGGAACGCTTCAGGAATTATATTTGGCACGCCACATCTATCTCGGCCTGTTCTGTCCCAAACGTATTCATGTAGGATGATAGGAATACGGTATAGGATACAATAATATAGGATTGTTATGGATAGGAGTATCTTGTACTCTCTAGTGGTAGTGTCTTACACTGATTGTCCCTACTCAAAACCGGCCGCTATGACAGTGTTCCGGAAAACATCGAGTGGGAAATGATTCCTTGGCTGTACCGTCCTCCAAGTCCGTGTCCCATTCGGTTCCCTCTGGTCCGCACGGGGGTTCCATCTCGCCTTGTAGCGTGACCTTGTTTTATGGGGGGTCGTGGGTATACACAAACCGACTCAGTGTTAAACAAACTTGAAACAAATGTTAACCGCCCAACACAGTGAGTGACAATTAACATGATGGTCATCCGTGGCCAATCCACTGCTGGATGAAGGCTTCAAGGAGCTGCCTCCACCTGCAACAATCTTGCGATGCAATAATCCGCCTAGCACCTGCACACCAACTGATTTGATTTACTCCATCTCCGCGGTGGATGGCCTATCGAATGCGTTTCATTCCCTGGGTGCCATTCCATTATTATTCTTGAACATCGTGTCCTGTGCAATCTCATTTTTCTTTCATCTAAAACTATAAACTAAACAATTGTTTTACTAATTTATTTTACCAGGCAAGGGCCACTGAGATATATAGCTCCTTTTCAGAAGCGATCTGGCAACAATTAATAGCTTAACGAAGTGACTCATCGTGTAGAAATTTATAGCAGTCAAATACTCTAAACGCATGTTTCTAAATTGGACTGGAAAACACCGGAGGACCCAGAGAAAAATCCACGCGACTACGGGAAGATCTAAAAGCTCCAAATGTAGTCGTCAGAGTCAGGAATCGATCCCACGACCTCCTGCATAGTAGGCGCGGGAGTTACCATATCGCCACCGTGGCACCATAGAAGTGCCTCCTCCTCCTAAAGGAGGGTTTTATCACGTGTCATCTCGTAAATGTGGGACGCGGTTGGGATTAAACTGCGGATCATTATCATGCCACTCAATACACCCACTTTTCTATAATTTCACTCAAACGGAGTTATAATACTTGAAATGCTCATCAGATGCAACACAACGCCTATCCTATCATGGTATAATTTAGGACTGTGAATGCTTTTCTTTTAACTATATACATGGCTTAACCAAAATGGGTTGATGATGAGTACTGCATTAAAATGTGCTGACCTCTGATTACAATATGTATATACTAACACATCAGTGACTGTCCGTCCTATGGATAGACTCACCCCCGTCACAGAAATGTGGAATGTCGACCACTGGCTCAAGATGTCTATAAATAGATAAGCACCAATACCTCAATGCACATTTGAGCAGACCACTTTGACTACGTATTCACAAGTATCTGACAGCAAATGCGTTGGTTACTATCAAATGTTCGTACAGAAGTGAATTCTAGTACGGACATTTCAAGCGCCAAATTTGTGCGTCCATGCAAACAAAACAAAAACAGACCTCCAAAAATAATTTCAGAATCCTTACCTCGCGAAGGTCGTTGATCTTCTTCTACCTCGCCATGGCTTAGAACGGAACAGACGCAGGTGACCGCAGTGCGCGTGGCTCACGTCCACAGTGCCCGTGGTCTCTCTCTCTCATCTGTGCCGGGAGTTACGAGTGGAAGGGCCTCGTAAAAGGCCATTCCATCTGCTCCCGAGCAAACAGATAGTGGTGGTGGTGGTGGGAGGGGGCACGTTTATCTCCAGCACGCATGCAGAGGCAGCGATTGTCCATTGTGCCCTCCCGAGCAGGACTTTCATTACATGAGGCTGTTTGCACTTCTCAGAGTCCCATGGGGCCCACAGGTGTCTCAGAATAATTTGACGGGATACCTGAGTGAGTTGTTTTCCATCAGGGTCAACACCGAGACCCGGAGCACGCGCGTGTGGGTGCGTGCGTTCGTATTTACGTGGGGAGCGGTGGGGCAGTGGCCAGCTCACTGCGCTAGGAACCCGGCGATCCGAGTTCGATTCCCGCTCACAGGCAACATTGGTGGCGATTATCTGACCTGATCCTGGGCCTCTCCTAGGTCAGCTCAGCCTTAAGTGAGTACCTGGTGCGGTGTGTAGACATCAGGAAGACAAAGGCGGTCGGGCGTGATGCTGACCACCCACCTCTGCACATGTGCTCGCCAACAGCACTTGCTCAAATGGTCTCTTTAGGCTACACGGGGGATCGTTGTCTTTGTTTTTAAATCCTTTATATTAAGTTTGCTTGCTTGCTTGCTTGCGTGCTTGCTTGCTTGCTTACGACCATGCAAATCTTTCGGTCGTTTTTTAACCCACTTCCCGTGATCCAATCGAGCTGACATTTTCCACACAGACTCATTGTGCTAGACAATTAATGTTCGTGAAAAAAAATTCCCAAAATGTTACACTTTTTAGGCAATTTTCTTTTATTTTACATATATTCAAATAGAACTCATTCATGGCTTTGGCTGAACGTCACAGTGTAAGAGCCCAGAGCGTAACTCCTCCACAGGCCGTGGCGGAGTAGCGCAGTTGGTAGCGCCCTCGCTTCCCATGCCAAAGGTCGCGGGATCGATCCCCGCGTCCTCCACAGGCGAATATATTTTTAAAACCTTTATATTAAGTTCGCTTGCTTGCTTAGGACCGTGCAAATCTTTCGCTCGTTTTTTAACCCACTTCCCGTGATCCAATCGAGCTGACATTTTCCACACAGACTCGTGTGTGACAAATAATTTTCATGAAAAAAAATTCCTAAATTTTACACTGTTTAGGGAAAACAAATTAAATATTTAATTACCAATTGCTTAATAGGTGGCAGACAATCATCTGACCCATAGGTGGCAGCCATCTCAAGCCAGAGGACGAGAAGACTCTAGCCGCCACGCATATAAAGGATTTATAGTGAAAAACTTAGTTTTTACGGGTTTACTTGTTAAATCCTTTATATTAAGTTCGCTTGCTTGCTTAGGGCCATGCAAATCTTTCGGTCGTTTTTTAACCCACTTCCCGTGATCCAATCGAGCTGACATTTTCCACAGACTCGTTGTGTGTGACAATGAATGTTCGTGAAATTTTTTTTCCAAAATTTTACACTTTTTAAGACAACAATATTATATTTAATTACCAATTGCCACGCATATAAATGATTTATAGTGAAAAACTTTGTTTTTACGGGTTATACTTATTTCGTGTTTACGTGGTTGGACAGGGGTGCATCAGAAAGGGCTTCACCTTGTTTTGTGAGGGACAGAATGAGCACAAAGCCATGGCTGGTTTACCACATTTTGCCCCTGCCTCTCCCTGGACGTGCTCGTGAATATGATGGCCGAGGGGCAGCATCTATCTGCACGAGCAGACCAGCAGGCGAGTCAATACAGCGGCACGAGGGAAGATAACACAGTGACCCCCACGATAATTCACGTCCTTCCATTGCCCTGAACCGCAATGTTGTACTGGCATAGCCAACGACCCCGAACGCGAATGGCAGAACTTGGTACAATAGATGTTTTTATTCAAATAAACAGAACATCTAAAGGACGTTTCCTTTTTGTAGCAGATGCACCTATTCATGAGCTGTGTGTTTACAGTTACCACATCTAGAAGACTCTATGCGAATGTAGATGTGCGTAGCGGTTTTAATAAGAAATACAGCGTTCACACAATGGACCCAATAACATTGAGTAGCACAAACAAAAAAGCACAGCAAATTTGTTCCAGCAGCGCCGTGTCCATTCAATCACTCACCTTGGAAACATGCAAGACACTAACACAGGGACACACATCACGGGTGAGCTACTGTGTTCCACGTTAAACATCAAGAAAGCTCCACAGGTGTACAGATTAACTTACAGCCACCGAAAGGTTTCCGATTTAATCCCCTGAAACACAAGATGCCTGCCATCACTTATGCAGCCTTAAAACCAATCCACACTAACTCCATCACAGCTCCCCGAGTATTAAAAACGTACATTCAAACCCCATATTGATCACATCTCGATGACAATCTTAACAATTTTTTTTATATAGAAACACTGTTTTCCCATTCGATTACGCCTGCAAATTGTTGAAGCTATCATTCTACCACTGTTTGACTACGGTGATGCTGCTGAATCACTAAACAGACTAAAACCGCTTCATCATTCTGCCCCGAGATTTGCTCTGGATGTGACATACAGGACCCACCAGTGACATCTACTTAACATCCAATCTCTCATCACTTGATGCAATACATTGGGCCCTGTTCATCCATAAAACCCTTATTGGCAAATCTGCGCTATAATTAGCTAATTCATTAACCCCATTGTCAAATCCAAGAAACCTAAGGAGTCCCTCTGATTGCCTTTTAATTATCCTAAGAACAAGAATTGGAACAGGTGACAAAGACTTTGCCATTGCGGCACCAACGTTTCGCAACAACCTTGTTTACTCACTTATCACAAACATTCTGAAGCAATGTATTGAGAGTAAAATGTTAACGTGCAATTTTTATTAAGGGACTGTGTTTTGTCTTGGTGTGTGGTCTGGGACTGTTTTTGCTGTTGTTTTACTGCCTTTTTAAAGCTTTGGAATTGATTATGCAATTTGAATACATATACTTTATTTATTTAAGGGGCGCCACGGTGGTGAGATGTCATCTTCCTCGCCAGATATGTAGGTCGAAGATTCGATCCCGACCCCAACGCCTGCATATTTGGAGTTTGCATGTTCTCCCCGTGGTCGCGTGGATTTTCTCTACAGGTCTTCTGGATTTTCCATCCTCGTTTAGAAACATGCGTTTAGACCATTTAGATGTTGCTGCTATAGATCTCCAAATGATAAGCCACTTTGTTGAGCTATCATTTGTGGCCAGGTCGCTTTTGAATAATAAGTTGATGCATCAGTGGGGCTTTGCCTGGTAGGATGGGGATGGTTTAGTTTAATTTGCATGTGCTTGAGTGATTTGTTTACTTTTTTGTACTTTGCACTCCTGTCGTGTTTTTGTACTCTTTGTTGTTGTAACGTTCTTACCCGCCCTGACTGGACATCTGTAAAAAAGAGCTTCATAGTTCATCAGATTCCTCCAGGATAAATATTCTAATTTTGATTCGATTCTGCACTTAAAAATTGGACATTCAGCGTACTCTATGCATAATTTTGGTTGAGGTGAGGGCTGAGGAAAAGTCCCATCGCAGGTCAGAGGTGTGGGACCTGAGAGAATGCTTGTTGGTGGAATGCAAAGTGAAACACGCTCTCTAGCGATAAGTGCCAATTCTGGAGGAGGCCAGCGAGTGGCAATGCAAAGATCGCAGGGGGAGAAGTAATCGAGTGTGGTTCAGTGGTGTAGATTTCAAGTGTGCAAGCAGTGCAACTGCACTTGGGCCCAATGGGCCCAGGCACTGGGCTATAAAGAGGAGGGGAAATTTAATATGGGCACCCATTTAATCCCGTGAACCAGGGCCCATGCCAACTACTCTAAATTACTGCTGGAATCTAAAACATTCAAAGCCAACAGAGAGCTTTGAGCATTTGGATGGAAACTCTAGTCCTGTATAGAAGGAACAATGAAGTCCTTAGAGTCACACGTCAACACGATGCCACCAATCGGCACAATAAGATAATTGCTTTTATTATTATATTGCTACTGGCACAAAATCATTCTTTAATAACCACACACAGCGGTACAGCTTGGGAGTAAATTAAATGACGTAAAATTCATAAACAAAGAAACATCAAGTATTCTAAGCACATATTAACGAACCGTCTACATTACATAATCTAGCAGAGGATGCATATATTTTTATATAGCATAGTAGATCGTTGATTGCATACATTGTAAACATTGCGTATATGTTTTAAATTGTTCCGCTTAATGACAGCGCTCAGGTTTCAACGACAATTAATAAAGCATTAAGCTTGTACACTCACTCCTTTCTCATGCTCACCGCACCTCACAGGCATTAGTTACAAAAAAGCACAGAAATACATATGAAGGTCAAAACAATGGAGAATGTATACGCAATTAAGGCAAGGGCTTTACATTCAGCGACATTACATGTAGAAATCGTGCAAATATTACCCACACACGCAGTCGATGTATACGAAATAATCAAGTGCATTGGTCTGCATTTTTTACATTCTTTTTTTTTTTACCCCCTGCAACCAGTTTGGTTTCGTTAACATTGCATCCAGTGTCTACGTTTGAGAATATACATTTTTTTGAGGAATGTATTTAAATGGTTAAAATTCAATCTCCTCATGCTGTCGGATTCTACGTTGAAAGAGACGCACACAATTAAGATAGTGCATTCGTCACCGTACTCAACAGCCCCTTGCTTTCACGTCTTGTCCTTTCGGTACTTTCATACCAAACGCGGTCTCTCGCTCAACATTGCTCGAGGCTTTGCAGTCGGGACTCTCGTCGCGTGAAAGCGTTTCGTCCAGAGCCGAGTGTCAGCCATGCGTGTCCCGGGTCAGCGACCCAGAAAACCACTTTCAGACCCAGCACACCACCGTCCAATATACCTCACGCTATTGCTGTGGCTTTGGTCGTATGCCACCTCCTGGTCTTTCAGTGGCCTAGAAAACAATCTGTGAGTAAATTAAAAGCCCTCTGTTTGATCTCAAGAATCAAAATCTCATCTCGGTACACATGCCGCCCCCACGTGGTGCGATTGAGGCCAACGTTTGCAGGATCTCTCTTTGCGCGTTCTTGTTGCTACCTCTGTCTGCAGTTTGGGGAACTCGTTATGGGGAGGCAGGCTTGCGTTGCGTCTTAAGGCTCCAGCGACGCACGCGGGCGGCCACTCTTCCTTCGGCTGCCCCGGCCTCTGCCCGCTCAAGCAAGGCTCTCGCGGACGGTGGGTGGCTGGTAGGTGGCACACACACCATTGGGCTCCATCTCAGTCAGGGCCTGCTTCAGCGGCTGAAGGGGGGAGCAGGAGGAGGAGGGCATTTTGGTAAATGGGAAATTGTACTTTACAGCTGGACACGATTTGGCACCTCGATAATATAAAACAGGAAAGGTGCCGCCCAGAAGATTCTTGGTCACGCCACTTCTGCCAGCATGGCCTCCAATGGAGACAGCGACAGAGGCCCTTTGGCCTATAATCCCATCCTGGCCAGACATCTTGGAAGACGCAAAGGCACCCACAAATATTTTTAGAGAAACTCGTACGTTGCTTCAACTGCCCCGCCAGGAGATCGAATCGGCGACCTCTGGATTGCAAGTCCAGTGTAAAAACCATTACACCATGGCAGTATCCTGCCTGATAATAAGTGAACAAAATTTAACAAGCAATGATAGGGTGGCAGTGGGAGTGCAGTAATTTTCGACTAGTCCTATATCATTTATCACATCGGTGGCGAGTGACAACTGAACCGCTTGCGAGCGTGGTGAACAGTGGTCAAACAAGCCGCATGAAGGAAGCCTTCATCCAGCAGTGGATTGATGAAGGGCAAAAATAAAGTGTTAGAATGTATAAATAATCATTAAAAGAACCGTATGTACCACTCTTAACATTATAAGCCGTCCAAAATGTGTTACAAATAATTAATTTGAGATTCAATGTAACTTGAAGCAGCGCTTCCTGCTGTGTCCTGTGACAATCCTTTGTCACGTCCCTGTTGAGAGCAGAGGGAGTAGTTATCTGTGGAGGTGTTGGACTCACCTCAACCCCCTGTATCCCAGCAAGACTGGCTTTCTGTCGTCGCAGGTCAGACTTGATGAACACTGCAAGGCAACACACGTATACAAACGTCACCTGGAATCTCGGCCCCTGAGCACAAGCACATGTACATGAATGCCATTCATGTACATTAATGGAACTTCGAAATATCAGGCCATGACCACACGCATATGCACAAACCTTACTCATAATCTCAGCCCAAGAACAAAGACAAAGATCCCCCTTATAGCCATACAGGCTGTTGGGGCAAGTTTTGTTGGTGAGCACCTGTAAATAAAGTGGTTAGGCTGGCACTACGCTCGGCTGCCTTTGTCTCCCCAGTGCTAATGCTTACACACCATGTAATCATTCAAGGCTGAGTCGATCTAGGGGAGGCCCAGGACAGCTATTCATTACTGATATTGGTCTTAAGCAGGAACTGAACTGGGTTCACCGGCTTTGTAGCAGTGCACTAATCACTACACCCCGCTCCCCACCGAGATGAACACACAAAGACATCTACACCAACGCAACTTACAATCAGCCCGAGAACACGCGTGCTTTACACAGACCCTCCCTGTAATTTCATCCAGATCCCGCAAACTGGCACGCACCGGTCATGATGGTGCCAATCAGCAGGAAGGTGCACAGGAAGATATTCCCAGCCTTGGGGGAGAATTCGGTCACCAGCCTGCCCTGCACAATCGTGAAGATGATCCCAAACCCCTGCCAGGGTGGACGGTGAGAGAATAACATCGAGGTTGGAACCGGTTCATATTCGTCGCAGCACAACAGTGAGTGACACTTGGGTAACATGCACATGTACAGCCTGTGTTTGCCAGTCCAATGCTGGATGAGGGCCTTCCCATGCGTCGCAGGGTTTTTTGAGGGATTGACTCTTTTTTTACGAAGCCTATGTGTTAAACTATACTTTACCATGATCATCAGTGCGGGTTGGTGAAGTTTGGGGGACAGAACGATAGCAGAGTTTGTCGAGTTTGCTGCACTGCCCGCTACTGGTCACACTACCTACTACACCTGTTTCTTTACTTCATGGCGGTAATCAATCCAAGCATTGTCGAGCCTCAATCCTGCTTGGCTTCCGAGATCTGACGGGATCGAGCAAATTCCGAGTGCTTTAGTCCTATAGTTTAACACGAAGAAGGTAATTTTAACAGAGCTCGCACAATGCTACTGTGTGCTCTGCACTCGTCAGCACGCAGTCTCGTCAACAGGTCCCTAAGTTTATGTTGGACTTATTTCGCACCGCACGTAGCCAACCGTGCTAAATCGGAGGTGCCTTGAGGCTATCGACTGCAAGAATGTGCCATCGGCAACGCCGTGTGCACACGTGAACGTCCTGTACTTTAATTTAAAAGCAGTCTTATTGTTTTTAATTATTTATGCACACGATGCTATGCACAGAGGTTTTGTACATAGGGCTTGCCCACATCTCGGCACTTTTGAGGGACGGGGGAAAGACAACAAACTAAACAGAAGAAGCAATTCTACAGAAATTAGTTTTCAATCTCGATTTAAAAGTGCATAGCCTCCAGTGGCTTCCTAATATCGGAAGGAAGAGCGTTCCAGACGGCCGCAGAAGCGCACCTAAAAGTGCGCGATGGAGTGACCGTCATTGAAGTACCGCGTTAATTTCATCAACTTGTTTGAAGTTGAACATTCGGTGGCCCCATTCCCGCGCTGCGGCACCCACCCTTTTCGTAACGGTGGAAATATTTCACACGACGACACCCTACCGCTCTCCCTCATCTCGTCTCCCTTCACACGGCCCGACTTCCCACCTGTACCTGGGCCGACACGTTGAGCAGCCCGGACGAGGTGCCCTCCGACTCCGGGTACGTGAGCTCGGCCGCAAACTCAAACCCCACGGGCAGGTACCCCGCGCAGAAGAAACTTTTGTGGAGGGGGGGGGGGTGGGGGAGGTGGGGGGGATGTCATTGGTACAGAGGGAGTGAGGGATGAGTCACACGGGCTGCGTTCTTTCTCTCAACACGGAGCCACCGCAATGTACAGGCAAAGTCCACGTTTCTTTCCTGCACAGTTACTTGCAGTGTGACGTAATAGTGAGATACAGTCGTGAATACAGAGAAACGATCGTTATCCACCGCCGCTATTATCATCATGATACTGTCACCCCTGCTCGATTCGTGGAGACTCCTAATATCTGCTTTTTATCGTCGGTTAGAGAAGTTGCGTGTGGCTCGGGCTAAGTTTTTTGTGTGTTTAGTTTGTTGTCCTTCCCCCGCACATTCAATCAGTATGGTTGGCTACATATGGTGCCAAATAAGTTCAACATACATCCATTTATTCATTTAACACGTAGGCTTTCGAGACCAAAATTATCCATAAGAGGATTTTGGGTTACATCGCGTAAATATAAATGTCAACGTGAAATCCGCCACCACCCGGCAATTAGTAAGGTTTGTCACATAACGTGCCTATTAGTGACTAGTTCAGCACACCGGTGTGTTGGAAAGGTAAACCCACAACATTTATAGATAGGTAAGCGGTGCACCTGGAATTGGTCATCCACAGGTGCAAAATGTATCCCACTATCCACGAGTTTTCACGAATGAGAGAAGTTGTGCAAAAGTGGTGGAAAATTCACCCAATGGGCAACGATTATATTATCCGCGGGTAACCGCGAGTGGACATTCTGTGTGTGAAGCTCTTTTTCACAAATAAACACGGACAGGAAGGTTCTGCCAACAGCATCCTCACATTAATGCAGGTAAAAGAGGAGTTTCACCATCTCGGGAATTTTGAAAAAAACAAGCCTGGTTTTTAGACTCATTTGTCACGCAAATATAGACTTTAAACACTAAGACTGGAATCTAAACTCTCACACACAAAGACAAAGTATCGCCATGAACTGACTATTGGGGCAAGTACTGTTAGCAAGCAGCACCTATGAAAGCCGACACAGCACACAGGGGGGTGGGTGGCCACAGCACCATACCTGACCGCCTTTGTCTGCCTAGTGGCGATGTTTACACACTGCACCAGGCACTCATTTTAGGCCGAGTCGACCTAGTGGAGGCCCAGGACCAGTTCACATAATCGTCACTCGTGGTGGCCGTGAACGAGAACCAAACACAGGTGGCCGGGTTTGAAGCGCAGCGGGCTAACCGCTACACTACCGCTCCCCACACACACCCACAAGACACTCACAGAACACACTGTCACACACACATGCAAACAAGCGCAAGTGCTCGCACTCGCTCGCAATACGAAGACTCACACTGGCTCTTACCCGAGGGCCCCACCAGTGATGAAAACCACCCAGATGTAGCCGAGATCCAGCGTGAATGTGAAGATGACCATGGTGACAAACGAAAGGCTGTACACCAGCAGGGTCGTCTGCCTGCCCGCACAATGAAAAGCCAAAACAGCAACACTCTGCTTAGGCAGTGAAAATGGTAACACTCGCGAGCAAGCGAAGTGAAGAACATCGACATGGCTAATGTTTAAGTTTTTGTAAAAAAATAATTGGTGTTAAATAAATTCGGAACACATGGCAACAAGCTGAAACGCATGCGGAGAAGCACGGAAGAGATGCGTATTTGGAATTACACTGAGAGAGACCGGGAGAGAAGTACATGGATTGGAGAACAGATGCAAGATAGCGAGATCATATTGATTTTCCGAACACAGCGAGTGGGCTTCGGCAGAATGCATCGTTAGAAGGGATGGAGGCCTGTGGTCGAGCATAATGATGGAGTGGCAGCCAAAGGGGTAAAAACACGCCGAGAGGATCTGCACAGTGGAGATGGAGCGAAGAAATTAGGTCACGTGTGGATGCTAGTTATATATTGTCACATCGCCGGACTGCGAGATACAGCGACAGCTTGGGATGGCCTTCATCCAGCTCTAAATTGACTCGTGATGGCACAAGCAGCACGGAAAATATATAGAGCACGTATCTCGACATCGTGTAGGAGCGTGTGCGTGCCGATGAACGTGTGCACGGGGAGTGCAGACGCGTACTTGTAGGTCTTGGTGCGGTCAAGCCAGACGCCGCACGCCACCGAACCCACCATGCCGAGCACGACGATGGTGAGGCCAATACGCCCGGCGTTAATCTCCTCGCCCTGCCACACGGGTGCGCACACAACGCAGCCCAAGATAAAGAGAAAGCAGCTGTACTCAAGTGGGATGACACGGAGAAACATTGCCTCCCACTGTGGAACGACTGCAGACTCTGTCTGTGACACATAGCGTCTTCGTGATAGTCTTGGCCTGAACGCTAAATGTACCAAGTTGTCCACAACAGAGGTTTTTTTTGGGTTAGATCGCATAAATATGTGTCGTGAACCCGCCACCATCCGACAGCCAATTAGTAAGATTTGTCACGTAAACAAAACATGCCAATTAGTTACTAGTTTGTTGGAGAGTAAATACACAAAAGTACAATTCGAGTACGACGTTTTGCTGTTAATTACAACCAGTCTCATCAGGCGACAGCCATAATTGTGGAGAACTTCTCCTACTTCAGCATTAAACAGCGGGGGTAAATGGGGGTTAATGTAGTCATATAACTTACAATGGTTACTTATTATTAGTTTCATTATCCACAGCTAATCAGCAAACATTACGTACATGCATAATGTATGTACATTATGTATTTACATCATGTTAATCGACGTATAGTAATGTGTGCAGGCATGTAATTCATCAGTATATTACTTAGAGGCGAGCCGTCAGGGCCAGCCAGGCCTTCCCTGCTGGCCTAGAGATTGTCAGAATCAGAAAATTATATTTGTAAAATATTTTCATTAATGCTATATGTATTTTACAAAGTTCGTTCCCATCAATCCATTGAAGTCATTTCATTGCTACTCTCTCCCTCAGTTCCATTGCTTCCAGTGCAGCTCAGAAATTAGAGCTTTTATCCTATCAGATTTTCCATCTGTGCCGTCTCCGCCTCTCCAGATGAAAAATCTACCCTGAGGCCTTCAAAATGTCGAGTGAATCCCCTCTGCTGTTGAAGCAAATGAGGACGATGTTGTTGATAGTCATATTCTTTAACCAATCAGATGTCGAGTTTGCCATGTTGGGCATATTCTTTGACACGCCTGAGCCTTCTAGCTGGCCTAGCCGCCTACGTTAGGCCTTGTTCGTGTGGCGTGATCGGAGAGCCAGTTAGCTAACTGAAGTAAAACTAGCTATCACGTAACGTAGCATCATCTAAGATTTATTTAAACTTTCTTTCGTGACGTTTACATTTTTAGATGTAGTACTTTAGATTTTTTTTTTCTGTGGGGAAGCCTGTTGAATCCTGATTGTGTTATTTGTGTTTTTATGGCATTTTGCTTGCTTGATGGTCGTAGGAGTAAATGTGACTGGTTGTTGTGAGTTTGTTCTTGTTTCTTTGGTAATGACATTGATTTGGGTTATGCAATGTCTATTTGTGATGCAGCATCCTGTCATACTGCGTAATAGTGGTACATCCTTGATGGTTTCAGTCACCATATATTCATGTCTCTGCAATTAGTGTATTGTAACTCTCATAGGTGTTGAGCCTCGTGATTTAATTGCAGGAGGATAGCACTGAAGGCCTAGGTGTAAAATACACAGCCCACCACTGATATTACTTGATAATACGCTTCCACGCAGCACTAAGCCTGTAGCTATCAGCTCTTAGTACTAAGTTATTATGATTATACCCAGCACGGGCACATCTACGTCTTCCCCCAACAGTAGTTCTGCACAACTGAAGCGACTGCATCACATGCATTACTGTTGGGAGGGGAGCGGTGATGCAGTGGTTCGAGCTCTGTGCTACGATCCCCGCAACCCGACCCGAGTTCGGTCACGGCTGACACCTGCGGAAAGTGACATTCAAACCGGTCCGAGGCATTCACCCCCACCCCCCACCACCCACTTCCACCCGCACTGACCAACGTGGTGAAGTACGGTCAAACAATTCCCATTACGGACACAGGGTTGGGGGTGGACAACATCCAGACGGTGGATTGACAAAGAGTTGCAAAGTATGATTGGTTGACAAGATCGTAGCGCGGTTCATCACTCGCTGATCCGCAAGCACACCTGGGTATTATCCAAGAGTTATGCTCATAAAACTAGTTGGGGGGGGGGGGGAGGAAATATTCACAGATAAGCCTGCTTATGCAATACATGGCAGCTGAACAAATTGAATGATACTAAAAAGTCAGCATTTCAGTGAATGAATAAACAGCAGCAGTCATAAAACCAAGGTAGGTTAAAGAAATAACTAAAACTGTGAAGAAATATTAGTGGGGCTTGCGCAGGACACATCAAGGCCAGAAGAGGACGACAGTCAATGGGGAATGGAACACATCTGGTCGAACGGACATCCACCGAGGAGATGGAGTGAAGAAACTCGGCTCACGTGCAGGAGTTCGTTATTACACGGCAGGATCGTGAGAGGTGGCAGTGTGGATGGGTCGGGGAGGCCTTCATCCACAGCACTAGATTTGAACACGGCTTACAGTTTAAAAACACGTAGGCTTTCACGACCAACAGTTGGGTGGAGGACGGTTTATGACATGCACATTTTCACGCAGTGCCATCCGACCCAAATAAAGGCAATTACAAATCGTGGCCGATGACCATTTTCGACGGGCAGCAACAAACAGGCAGCGTTAGTAGGGCGAGCCTAGCGGTAGGCGGAGAGCCTCACCGGGTAGTGCTCGATCAGCATCTGATTGAGGAGAGTGGAGATGGCGTAGAAGACGCCGGTGATGATCCCTGCATGGACAGAGGAGCGCAGGGCGGGGAGGGGGTGCGCGGTGAGACTCAGATCGTTTTTAGTTTCGCGTCCACGATGAACAGGCAGCGGTTAGGGCTGGAGGGATCGGGCAGGTGACGCAGAGTGCATTTTTCCGCCTCAAAAAGCACTGCACGTTACACCGATTATAATTAAGCTGAGAACACCAAAAAGATTGTTAATCGGCACAACAAAAACTGTTGGTCATGCCAAACGTTTCAAAATAACACAGTATTTGTAGGTGTATACTGTATATATGTTTAACATCGGTGGCGTGAGATTTCTTCAACGGTCGACGTGGGTGCTCCCCTCTTCACGAACCCCACGGTGACCAGCGTGGTGAAGTATGGTTAAACAACGCCCCCTCATGACCGACATGGCAAGGAAGGCGTTCATTGAGCAGTGGACTGAAAAAGGGCCGTACATAATTACAGTCATGTCATTTTCTATGCATACATTTATATATGCCTCCTCTCCTTAATGCACTTGCATTGAGACACTTATGCAAGTCAAAAAATGTCATTCGAAATGTATTGTAATGACCGTACAGTTATCTAGGTTTGTGTCTAATGAACACGAAGAAATTGCTGATCTCATGATGAGATCAGCAATGCTTTCCCAGGCCTATGCTTCATGTGAATGCGTGCGCATTTAATTAAAGACATTCCACTACTGGAGCCTTAGAAGGACACACATGCATCTCTCTTTCTCTCCACACAATCTACCTGCACATTTGAACACTTGCACTTTGGAATCCTCTTGTATGATTTTATTAAGCAGGTTCTCGCTATGTTTCCAGGCACGCGAAGCCAACATAAGCCTCGATGGAAACAATTTCACAACAACTTGTTGCGCTTCTTACATGAACGCACGGTTAGTGCCAACAATTGCACACGCTACATGATAAGGAGCACATTACATAAGTAGGAGAAATGGTGAAAAGGCAGCCCTGCATTATTTTGCTTGGTCACGGCACTGCTGGCATAAGGGCCTCCAGAAACTCGAGAGATTACGCACAATTTATGCCACCACACACGTTCATACTGCTGAAGGGATTTAAGAAGCTTGTACCAGTCGCCACTGCCATGCAGGGAGATCAAACCACAGCGACCTTCAGATTCCAAGTCGACTTTGGGCACCACCACAAGTTTCCAACAACACACAAAAAAAAGTGTTAAAAAAAACAGCCTCTGTGCGTTACACAAAAACCCGTCAGAGTTTCCTGAAGGAGTGCAGTGGCCTTCACATCTTAGATGACCATCAACTTTTTTTTTTATGTGACGACTGACAACAGTCGCAGCAGCGTTGTAATGCGACACAACTGCAGAGTATCATCACCTCTACCTCACTGTTGCAAAGTCTGCCGCTGGGAACTGTGGATTCTCTCAATATTTACATATTTGATCATTGCACCACGCCAGCAATCCCATGCAAGTTCTCAAAATGTGAATGTTTAAACGTGTATTATTATTACTACTACATCAGTTTTTAGTCTCACAATCGTTTGATTAAAATCATGGAAGCAAAATGATTGATTTGCTGATGACTGTCTATGCAATATACACTCGCCACTCTTTGAGATGCAGTCACATTTATCCCCCCCCCCCCCCTGTCTAAATCCACAGCGTATTATATTCCTGTGACTGTTGTAGTGCCCCTTATGTTCTTCAATGCCGCCTGCCCGCTACGCCTTATTATTTCAGCTCAGTAGTTGCTGGATTTAATAACTATGGACATTACAAACGAATTAGGGCCCCAGAAACTTAATGCTCATAATCCCCAACGTTCTGGCACGCTTATTAACTTGGCTCTCCCAAATGCATGTATCGTCTCAAGAACTCCATACAGGTTTTTAAGCAACGCCAATGTAGGACAAAAAAAGTAGTCTTTTCATTTCCTGCATTATATTCCAACTGTGCTTTTGGCATCTTGCCATCACGAAACCGCACACAAGCAGTGTACTACTTGTGACAAGAATAGCCAATGATCTCACAGGATCTTCTGAACAGGTCCTTCAAGTGGCCCTTTTACTCTTTGCATCGTAGGCAGCGCACTTTTCCACATGGTCCACTCACTACGAGATTGTTGCATGACAATAAAATCTATAAACAGTTGATCATCGATTATCTGGTGCGCGATTATTCCGCTTCCAAAATTATCTGGCTGTCCCGGGCCGATCCGGCAAAACCGGCAAAACTGCTCCAAAGGCTGTAACCAGTCCAGCGATCCTCAAACACATGGTTGTGTTGGAACAAGAGCATAGAAGGACGTACATCACCCAATCCAGAGTCTTCGAGATTAGAGTGGTAAGTACGGAACAGTAAATACAACACTTTTTCCAGTAGAATATTTATTCGTCTATTTGTATGTTTAGTTATGCCAATTTAATGTAATGAAAACATTCTAAACACTAAAAACAACATATACACAACACCTACATAACATTATGCCAGAATGTGCATATATAAGCTATTTTATATAATGATGTGATTATCCAGCATTTTTGAAAATCCGGTGCCCCCTTCCTCCTCAAGCTGCCGGATAATCGATGATCTAATGTATATCTTTAACATTTCAGCGCTTGATTTGAGAAAAATCAAGTGCAAGACCAAACTTAATGTGTGTGTTTTGTGTGTGCAGGCAGCTATATTGGTGACCCGGCTGAGACCATCAACACGCTACACTTGTGAGCCGGTTTTAGTATCATGGACGCCTGCCTAGATTCGAACCCAGGGTGTCTCAGCGTTGCCAAATTAGTTTCAAAAGCGAGTCATTATGGGCAGCGGGCCATAATTTCACCTCTCCTTGGAATGTTCTCGACGTGCCGATCAGAAATTTCCACGAATGTTTTTGTCCCTCTCCTATTGAACACACCGTCCTGTTGTACCTACCAGCGTTTTTGTTACAAAATAAAAACACTACAAATAAACAGGCAGTAATTCTAAGCAGACAGTATGCAGTGTATTGTGTTGAATGATGCTATCGCTGTGGTGGTTTGCGATGGATTTGTCACTGGTAACAAATCATCTCTCGTCCACCCTCCTGCCGCTACAGGATTCGGTGGCTTGGGCAGGCCTGCATCCAGCAGTGGATTGACCATGGCTGAAGATGATGATGACTTGGGCTACGAAGCACCTCCAGCCTATCAGTGACATGGAAACCCAACGACTGAATTCGCAGCTTGTGCTACACGTCTGTCAGACTTATTTTCATGTTGTGCTGCGCATTGTTCGGCATGATGTCTGACGTTTCGCTCCACATGCCAAATTACAGAAACCAAGCCGTGATCGTGATGCTTACCATAGGTGATGGCGAGAAGCACAAAGCTGCGATTGTACATGAGGCGCTTCAAGGAGCCCAAGTAGGAGTACTCATGCTCGGGAGGGTTGTACCATAGCAGTGCCTGTGCTGGACTCGGAGGTAGTGAAGGTTTTTCCCGGAACACTGTGCAGACAGCACATCACGCGCACACACACATCAACGCACGTCCGATGAGCACGGTTGGATATGTACGGTGTGAAAGAATTTCAACATACATACAACGCACTCACCGATGCACGCGCCGCGGGTTTGCTGCCGAGCCAAATGCGACATGAAAATGAGATGCGATTAGAGGCGGGCAGGTGGCACAGAGGTTAGAGTGGAAAGAGCTGCCATCACGGAGGATCCGTGGGTTCGAATTCTGGTTTCAGCCACCTGTCAATAAACCGGTCTCTGTCCGGAACAAGAATGACTGCACAAAGCAAGAATCACTCTGCCCTGAATATGGATACATTCCAGCAATGGCAATAGTAAAACTGGTTTTGACATTTATACAAAATCTTGACTTAAAGGTTTCGTGATTGCAGGAATTAATATTCGTGGGTCTTTCGGTAAAGTCACGTAGATAGGTTCAAAGAAAATAACAAAAAAACTACGACGTTTCGATCGCAACACAAGCGGTCGACGTTTCTTTCCCCCTGGATTTTACAGTAAAAGTTGGAGGTACATCTTATAATCCACTAAGTTTGTACACGACCAGATTAATATGTTATCGACAATGGGCACGAGTTTGGAGTTAGTCGTGTACGCATGTTATAATAGTCTCAAGAATGTAGTGCTTGCTTGGCTTTGTGACGTAGAATCTACATAGAGCAGGACCGGTCTAACAGGGTAACAGAGTTTTTTAGGCAGCGTCACTCACGCTACTCAATAGTCTCAAAAAACAACCTCCTGTGTAGCAGCCGGCTTTGTTTATACTAATCATTTCATCTCCAGTCACATGACTCACAATGCACACATTTTTCACATGCAGATTGTTAACATAATTGTATGTCATGTTTAAAGTTAACCAAGGTAATGACCGTTTTACAACTGATGAACACGTGAACGGAAAATGTATTGGAAGGTCGATTAAATGAGCCATGAAGACTTGAATTAAAAAAAAAACATGAAATGCAAGCAGTGATGGTTTGGGAAAAACAAGTTCATTGCAGTTAAATCAACTAGTTTAGATTAAAATTTCGATTTAAAGCTTTCGTGACTGCAGGGATTCATTTTCTTGGTTCTTTCGGTAAAGTCACGTAGAAGGGAAATAATAAAATAATAAAAATAAAACATAATAAAATAATTCTCACGACGTTTCGGCTGCTTGCGTTGTGGCCGAAACGTGAGAATTATTTTATTATGTTTTATTTTTATTATTTTATTATTTCCATTCTACGTGAATTTACCGAAAGAACCAAGAAAATAGTTTAGATTTCCCAGATGTTCCAGTTTAGCTCGTACGGTTAATAAGAAAACTAGCTTAGAGCTTTTTCTGAAACTGCTGCTGACTGAAGAGCTCCCCATGCCGTGCCAGTCATGGCTGCTGTTTGACCATACTTCACCATGTTAGTCCCTGCCGGTTGGCGAAGGGGAGGCGGAGGCGAAAAACGTGGCAATACCGATTGAGATTTCACTTGCCACTGATGGAAGCCATGACTGGAAATCAAGCTCAGCTCGATAGGTTCATCAGGCAGTGTGGTAACCACTGTTACCACTCCCCCACCCCCCCCATCAATATGTTTATACGTGCATGGTACAGATATCAGAGTTGCTTGGAAAAGGTATTCAACATGAAATAAAACATCTGGCATATGGCACCAAATGTACAATTCGGTATTGATTAACATCAATCAAATTGTCTAAATATTTCGATATAATATTTAAAAGCAAGAGCTTATGTGAAGAACGTACATTTACGTAAATATATTATTTATTTGTGTACAAAGTGCACTTGCTGAGAATACAATTTAGGCACGTGGTGTATAACCAACGCCCTTCTTTTACAATTATACCAACCTCGCTAAATGTATTTTGGGTTATTATTCAAGGACAGTGGAGTGGTGACACAATCATTATCAAGTGCGCCCTGAACCAGATTTCAGTTCCCAGTCACTGATCATATAACCCGAGTGATCAGTGATATCTGGTATGGTTCTGAGCCTGCCCCACCCTCTCAATGACCCCTTCACCAATCCACACGGACCAATGTGGTGGAGTATGGTCAAACAGCTCTCGTGGCCTACAAGGCGGAGAGGCCTTCATCCAGCAGTGATTCGAAAAATGGATGTAAATGTTTAACGTTTAATAAAGAACATTGTGGATGACATTCATAGTGTTCCATCTACCAAGCCTGGAGGCAAAGGACGCTGTGGGTATATCAAGATGAACTTATAGAAGAAGTGAATAATTAATTGTATGAAACACGGCAGCTGGAATTTAGTGTTCATCGTAGTCGTCACAGCAAGAGAAGGTGACGGGACGTAACGTGTGATTTAGGAATGGGCAACTATGATGTACCTGCTGTACAGCAAGGTGTTTGTAAGAGGAAGCGCAGTAAGTAGGTTACTGCCTATGATGTAGGAAGTGTGGGTATTCTCTGCTCGCAAGTTTGGGATTTGTATTTTTCCATGCACACAAGTATTTTGTTTCTTATTTTACCATGTAAGGCCTACGGAGCTAAACAGTTTATTTTTTCAGAGGTGACCTGGTCACAAATCATAGCTCAACGAAGTGGCTTATCAAGTGGACATTTATAGCAGCCAAATACTCTAATCGCATGTTTCTAAATATGGAGGGATAAAACCGGAGGACCCAGAGAAAAATCCATTCAGCCACAGGGGAGAACATTCAAACTCCATATATACAGGCGGCAGGGTCGAGATCGAACCTACAACCTCCTGTATACCAGGAGAGGAATGTTAACATCTCGTCATCGCGGCGCCCTTTCGCCACCATGTCAAAATGTTCATTAAAATAAAATGTTTAACCACTCACAGTAGCCCCTTGCTGAAAATGTGACTTGATACTTGTGTCATTGTCAGCACAAATTATCAATATTATACATTTTAGGCATTTGGTTCAAACGGACATCTGAAAACTCACAATTGAGAATGCAAAAATTGTTAGAAAAGGACGTTTTCGAATTTCTCACATTTAATAATAATTGTTCATAACCGTCTGATGTTAACACATGAATGTCTGTAATGTACTTGAATGTTCAAAGCCTCTTTTGACTTTATTCTTTAAATTATTTGTAGCGGCTTTCACCAAATGTATTTGCTTCAAAATGCGTGCCCGATTCAGATCAACCATGGGGGGGGGGGGGGCGACGGCGACGTTTTTGTTTGTTTGCTATTTACAATTTTCCGAACACAGTGCTCAATGATGCACACCACCTCGCAGCCAGCGACAAACAGCACCGAGGGTAAGTTAACACAGATGACTGCAGCGAAGTGTGTGTGTGTGAACGGCCAGTGGGGCGGGGGGTGGAGTTGGTGGGTGGACGCCAGCCAGTCCTCACGTAGGGTGACGAGCAGGAACACCGCGGTGGAAACGGCCGCCGCTCCGTAGAACATGCAGCTGATGTTGTAGCTGAGCTCGGAGACCTCCTCCGAGTAAGGAACAATCAGGGGTGGCAGAAGAAATCCCAGTGCGATCCCCACCTACCGCCGCACACGCAACCACGCCAAGACAACAACAATCCCTTGTCAGCTTCGCATTAGAACATTTGCCGCAGGTTCTGTTATTAATGAGGCGGGCAACGACACGTGAAGTGACGCAGCCTGGCAACAGCGCCCGGCTGCGCATGCCCTCCCAGCGGTGATGCTGACCCGTTGGCAGACGAAGCACTGGCTCTTCGGACTGTCATCTGGGGAGAAGATATGGAACATGTTCCGATGCTAATTTAAACTGGTATTGTGCATAAATATGAGTCATTTTAGCTGGGCTTCTGATAATAGCTTAATGTGCTATGCACTGTTCCGCCACTCCTCACACACAATGTTGATGACGATGTGTATTAAGAGCAAAGCAATACCTGAACACATTAAACCACTTAAAATCACATTTACAATACCTTAATATATTTAATCAAAACCATTCCCACCACACAAAGCCACTTCCACATTACAGCTCCAATAAACTAAACTCAACTTTTTATTTTACCAGGCAAGGTCCACTGAGCTATATAGCTCTTTATTCAATGGTTTTACTTAACTTGACTCCTCTGTTTGTCGTGGTCGAATCTTGTAATCAAAATTTAGTCTACTTCCTGTTGTCAAATCACTTCCAAATTTCGCACACGTACCCAGATCCGGTGACAATGCATGCCTTTATCAAATTCGGCATAAATTAATCAATGAATTCGCTACTTTAAAGCAATTAACATTTTGTATGGACGCCTTATTATTTATATATATGTATTTGTGTAGGTAAAAAACGCTGTGGTCCCTAAACTCTCGAATCGCCTGCTCCGTGTGAACCAGTTACGGAAGTAATCAATTAATTCAAGTAAGCGTTGATGTGGGAGCAGTCGCCGCACCATCGACGTACTTCTCGACCGTGAGATAAAAAAAGTTGTTAATAAAACCGTTGTTTAAAAAAAATGTTAAGGAGTTTATTTAGAAGTAATATGGACACTAAACCACACGCTTGCTGACCATTTCACACAGCCACTGACACTTGTGGAACACGTATTGTTGACTCTAAACTGGAATCAACCCATGCAGAACAGCGATAAACGGTTTTAGGCAGTGTAAGGCAACGCGGTTATTTGAATGGACCCACTGGATTTATTGGATATCAACCGCGGTTTCCGACAAAAGTAACATCGCATTGGTTTGCCTACGTTTATACAAACGCAGATTAAATGAAAAGTAACATCTTTGTATGTATGTTGAACTTATTTTGCACCGTACATAGCCAACTGTGCTATTCAGGTGTGGGGGAAGGATAACAAACTAAACACAAACACCAGTTGTAAAGAAAATAGTTTTCAATCTAGATTTCAAAGTGGATAGCTCCAGTGGCTTCCTAATATCTGAAGGAAGAGCATTCCAGATGGCCGCAGAAGCGCACCTGAAAGCGCGCCATGTAGTGACCGTCTTTGTTCGATGGTTATCCGAAAGCAGCTGCGAGGATGATCTTTATTAAATGACTGCACTTAAGAGACCCAGAAGGTCAAAACTAATCCGGTTTGCCTGCTGAAACTAATTCTGCCGTTAAACATCGGTCCATGAGCCAATCGGCTGATGGACCCGCAATTTGTTAAATTTTTCTGAAATGAAATGGGCTTGTCACTTATTCATTTATTAACATTATAGATGACTCTTCAAACACAGTTAGTTGAGATGCTATACATTTACTTTCACATGTTAAACTCACTGAACCTGAACATCCTAAAGGGTCAAGTAGCTTAAACATTAAAGTTTGTGCGTTCACACAGAAAAACAAGAGGTCAAAGTGCCTCTGCTCGAGGGAACAAGACGTCACGTTCATCTGCATCGGCTGCTCTGAGACAGTGGTGGAAACTCCCTATTCCTATAGTCTGTGCGTGGAATAAACACTAACCACGTCTCGCAAAACATACGTACAGCTCTTTGTTAATTTACGATTGGATAAAATCCACTCCATGCTACGTCAGTCAAGGGGATTATTTAACCATATTTCACAACACGAGCCAGTGCAGGCCGGTGATGGGGGGCCCAGGCCTGTTTCAAATACAGCTTAACACTAATGTTGGCCACAGCCAGCAATCAAACTCAGGTCGCCTGGTTAATAGCAGTGCGCTAACCACTGTGCTGCTGCTGCTCCCCCTTTCCTCCCCATAATTAATGAATAAAATGTGTCACACATGTACAGATTGATCGAAACAAGGACATTCAGAGGCGTGGGAGAATAAATGCAATAACATTCTTAAGATTCTTATAGAAGTGATTATGCCGATGGGTGGTACAGTGCAAGTGGAGGAGGGAGTACGTTCTAGACAACTTGAGCTGTGACAGGGTCTCTATGAGAGTCGATGGGCATTAGTCTATGGAGGGACCGAATTGCTAAGAACCAGAGCTGTGAAAAAATTAACCCGTAAAAACAAAGTTTTTCACTATAAATCCTATATATGCGTGGCGGCTAGAATCCTCTCGTCCTCTGGCTTGAGATGGCTGCCACCTATGGGTCAGATGATTGCCTGTCTCCATTAAGCAATTGGTAATTCAATATAAAAAAAAAATCCTAAAAAGTGGAAAATTTTGGAAAAAAATTTTCACGAAAATAAATTGTCACGCACAACGAGTCTGTGTGCAAAATGTCAGCTCGATTGGATCACGGGAAGTGGGTTAAAAAACGACCGAAAGATTTGCACGGTCGTAGCAAGCAAGCAAGTGAACTTAATATAAAGGATTTAAAAAGAAGCGACGCTTGTCTAGTCTAGTTTGAGAGACTCATGGCTTGACAAGGAGGAGGAGGCCACTTGAGACCAATCGAAGGTTGCAAGGTGGAACTTACGATGAGACGGCAAAATCCAAGCAGGCGGGTTGACCCAGAAGGTGTTTTTCAACAGAAAATATAACTTATATCCACCCTGGAGGAATCATGGGCCGAGTCAACCACCTGACCGAAATTCAACTGAGAGCGGAGTGGTCTGCGAGTACCGCAGTGCAAGAAACTCCCTTTAGATGCTGCACTTTAAATAATCTCTTTCACCCTCCGCCGTGTTTTCGGGTTATACCATGTGTTGTTAGGCATGGTGTCTGACGTTTTGCTACACACGCTGGGAGCTTTTTCAGGAACGGACTGTGAAACAACACGCGGTACAACCTGAAAACAACCGGAGCGGTACAGCACAACACAACGATGAAAAACGCACACAAAGTACTTTACTTGGAAATCAGTGAATTGTTGCAAAGCAAACACACGTTCCGTAAACGAGGGAGCCCTGTTTAATCTTATCTAATGTGCCAAATGGCACTTCTGCACAACAAACAGTCCTGCCACTTCACTATTTAATCAAATCTAGTGTGTCCTGGCAACCAGCACTTACATTTACAACACAGTCTGTGCCATGCGAGCTTTAGGTCACAAATTATGTTAGCAGAAAGACTCATGATCACGTTTGTGAAAGCAGTCGGGCTTTGTCAGTCCAACTTGAAATCGGATCTGCTTATATGAGGGTCATTTTCTGAAAGCCGAGTGAATGCAATGGTCACTGGAAATATTCACAACAGTGGATTAATTTAGAAGTTTTTTTTTTAACAATTATGCAACGTAAAAATGCCATCAGATGCCACGTATTTTCTCTCTCTCTCTCTCTTAAGAAACCATGAGCTCTCTCAACACTCAAGGGCTATTAATTGACAGAGCTGTGAGAAACGTGAAGTGAAATGCTTTTATAATGCAGTCGTAACAAGTTTATGTACGTATATACTGGATTGTACCAAAAGGCAACAATGAATGTGCTTTAGTGGAACAATGGGTTGGCATCCTGCAATACGAACCCAGCGGGTCCGAATCCCGGCCAGGGCCAAACTCAGTGACCAGTGATATCTGACCCAATCCTGCCCTCGTCCCTCCTACATCAATCCGCACTGACCAGCATGGTGAAGTACGCTAACAACAAAAAAGACCCCCATGGCCCACATGGTATGGGAAGGCCATCATCCACTGATGGATTGAGAATGGCTGGAATTTCTTATTTTACAGTATTTCATTCATTACAGTGAACAATTGTGGCCGTGTAGCTTGGAAAATGAGGCACAATCCCAATCCGTAAACGATAAGAAAGCTCATTACAACAGAAACTATTATAGATTTAATGACACGCAAATGTGTGCAATATTGCATGTACAAAAGCTCTCCGCCTTATCCAGAATACCAGCTGAGAAGAACTGAACGAGTGTGGCTAGTTTGTAATTTCAACTATAAACGCAACATTTATGTGCGGTTTCTTGTCAAATACAGACTTTGATGTATTGTTCTCTTAGGCAAGTGTGAATGGGGTCCAGTTGGTGTCAATATATGGGGCTCCAAGAGGCATACGGTAGCAGTGAACATAGATGACAGTACAGAGTCAAAATATGACTCTTTATTTATCCTGGAGGAATCCGATGAGCTATGAAGATCTATTTCTCACATGTCCAGTAGGGGCTGGTTAGAATGTTACAACAAACAATACAAAAATACCATCGGAGTTCAAAGTATAGGAGAGGTAAGCAAATCACATCAAATAGATTAAGTATATTAGTTAAAATTGCATAAATACACAAATTGCCAAGCTTGGGCAAGGCAGCAAAACAACAACAAAAATAGTCGCAGACCACACCAAGACAACATGGAGTCCCTCAAAAAAATTGGATATTAAAATTAAACTATTATTACATGGGCAAGGATGAAAGTTAAAATTCCATTTGTAAATGCAGTTGTATCCAGCACTAATCTTCTACTTCAGCATATTTTTTAAGGGAAGATTAGCGATATTAACGGAGAAAACAAGGAACGAAATAGGGGGATGTCTCCACAAATCTGGCTGTCGCCTGATGAAACTAGTTTTAATTACTGGCAAAGCGTCGTAAACAGATTGTAAATGTTGTGGATTTTCTCTCCAACACACCGGTGTGCTGTACTAGTAACGAATTGGCATGTTTGGTTTACGTGACGAACCTTACTAATTTGGCTGTCGGGTGGTGGCGGGTCTAAAGACACATTTATATTCACGCGATAGAACCCACAAACCTATATTATGGATGATATTGGTCGCGAAAGCCTACTAGGTGGTAAACTGGAGAAAACAAGGTTGTTCCAAAACGTAGGGTGCTGAAACGGCAAACGCTTTGTCACCTAATCTTGGCCTTGGGATAGATACAAAGAAATTAAAAGGACGTCTTATGTTTATTGGGTTTGAGTTATGAGGGTGAAACCGGTCTATAGTTAGGTCTTTGTTTCACTGCTGCATGCTGGGATGACCGCAATTTTTTAAATCCTTGGGCTAGACTACGTAATCCATTGTGACCCAGGCCAAACATCAATAATAATGAATCGTTGCTAAACCCATGATTTAGATACAAATCATACGACAATCTGTACGTGACATTGAACAAAGCCGTGAAACCAATTTTTGGGATAATTGGCAGAGGATTTCAACTGTTACCTGCTCGTAAAAACAAGCTATTGCTGCTGTTTAAAAGTCGCATGTTTATTTTGGGAGTGTTGTTTTCTTGGTTGCAGGTTTTAATATCAAAGGTGAACAACGACTCATAGTTACGGAGGTAGTTCAAAAAAGCAACGTAAAGTTAACTTTATCTGAACACTATTATCCAGTTTAATACGTAGGCTTTCACGACCAATATTATGCGTAAGAGGTTTTTTTTGGGTCTGATCCGTAAATATAAAAATGCGTTGTTAAACTATTATCCAGGTTGGGCAAAGGGGCCGTCCATAAATGACGTCACGCACCTGGGGGGGATCAGACATTTGTGACGATGTGTGACGAGGGGGGGGGGGGGGAGAAATGTGACGTCACATCAAAATGCGCAACTTTAATTAAATATAGACAACACGTTCTACTTAATTAAATCGACTGTTTTAATAAATGTTTTCTCCTACAACATCAGAGTGCAGCGCCAAATTAAATACGCACTACAATGACAATAGTTTAAAGCGATGAGGCATGTTTTATTTTGGGGGGGGGGGGGGGGGGACAGAGCTTTGTGATGTCACATTTGAGGGGGGGGGAGGGGTTTTGACTTTTTGTGACGCCGTGTGACGAAGGGAGGGGGGGATCAAAAATCGTCCAAAATCGCGTGACGTCATTTATGGACGGCCCCAAAGACAATGAGTCCTTGGCTTGGGAGTTCTTTGACTTAGAAAAGGAATGCGTTCCAGCGTCCGACAAGTGACTTTTGAACCACAACTCTAAAACCTGTTGTCACACCATCAATCAAAACATTTCTCGCTCACGAGTGCATCAACACAAATGCTTGTACAGGTAAAGGGGCAGCCCTGTACTTACTTGCTCATGCCATTGTTGGTGGAAGGGCCCCTCCACTAAAATGGTATTTTGGCCTCCTGGTCAGGTACCTTGAAAGCGGTGAGAGCACCTACACTTTACCCCACAACATGGGATCTGCCAATTGACTGTACCCATTTACACTAAGTGGATGGGAGCAGATTAAACAAATGTGGCCCTTTGCTTCAACCGCCTCTCAGGGATATTGAAAAGGCGACGTCTCATATAATGATTCCGGCGTGTTAATCATTCACCATGGCAGGTTTGGAATGCGTACGCGGTTAAACGTCTTAAATGCCAGTAGGCGGGTGCATTACATCCCTTGGGAAATATTTTTTAAACGGATGCTCTATTATGTCACATCCAAAGTTTGGCGAACTTAATGTGTTGATGTCTCCAACACCAGCAATGTTGACATGTTTCAGTCATTCCATCGAGATATAAGACTGGTTCTTTTTAAGTCAGTTTCACCTTAGTTTGGCAAATATGCAGCCCTGCATGTTTTTGTTCACGGCCATCCCTGGCGGAAGGGCTGTCATATAATGTACCACTTTAAATAACTAACGCAGGGCTACTTTGAATCTCTAACGAACCATCGCAAAGGCTTCCAAATTCCAAACTTTGCCCTAACCCATTGTTTACCTCCATATACTGTACTATACTTACACGGAACATAAATGGACACAAATGGTGTCAACAAGCCACAAAATGTTAAAATATGGCCAGAGTGAGTGAACACAGAAGTGGAATGGTCAGCTCTTTGCTATTACGGGTGATAAAATAAAACACGATTTCTTTCTGTCTGTGCGTCTCTATCAAATTAACATTCTTTGTTTTACACAACTGCCTATAAGCTTCCCAGACAAATGCTATCCTGCAGCATTTATTGAATCAAATTCTGGTTCGGATTCAATCGTATAAATATCAGCAGCAGTATTCGGGCTCATTAAACAAATGCATCCTCACGATGGGGCCCTACCAGCAACCCGTGGGATCCAGCTAGAAGATGGAGATTACGCTGTCACTAAGAACTTGTCAACCCAACAGTTACAAGTTCTCGTTTGTACAACCAACAACAAGGCAACTCCTATGACTAATTGGGAATGGGACGCAAGCGTAGGATTGATCACCCTGTCGCTGGCCGCCTTTGGGGAGGGTGTATAGTATGAAAGGCCGAAACACCCTAGGAACCAAAGGGTCACTACTGACGATGCGCTCCCCAAATTTCACCAGGATCACTGTTCATGAACTCTTGGAAGTGCTTGCACAAAGGATAGTAACATCTCATCCTGTGTTCTTTGGAATATTTGACCGCAGACGACAAAACCGGTCACGTGCCGTATTTGCTTTCCTAAACAAAATACTGCGAGATATTATTGATCCGATGCGCTAATATATATTTATTGGCAAGACCAATGGAGGTCTATTTATGTCACGGTATTTGTACATCACAAAGGGTTATAAATTATTAACAATACATGAGAGCTCCTCTTCCCCGCGACCCTTTGACCTAAGACTGCTATCATCTGCGGGAACTGTAAGGTCCGTGAACACTCCTGTTATCTGCGCGGCTTATCTTACGATGGCCAATTATTATCCACGGGGGTTTTCGCGTCCTCTGTTGTGGAAACCGGCTTCCTATTATCCACAATTGTTTTTTTTTCTTCTTCATGAATAAGAGGAGTCGCCACGGCAAAATGCGTCTCGTTATCCGCGTGACCCAAGCAGATAACTTTGTGGATAATAGAATCCACACAAAGTCAAACAACAACATTAGTATTATCTTTATTGAGAGGCCCTTTCCAGTCCACAGATATCTGCTATTGTAGCTCCCTCAATTAGTCCATGCGCCCAGTCCAGGCATGTCACTTATCAATACCACCAGAGGTGACATCCCTTTTAATCAGGGTCAGATTAATGTTATTGTCGGCACTTTTGTTTCGAAGGACTTCAGTGATAACCTTCTGCAGTTCGTGCTGCTGTTGCTGCTGCCCATGTTACCCCGACCGCCGCTGTCACCCCACTTGTTTTTCGCGTACTTTGTCTAGCCGTTGGACAGATGTCACCGATACGATCATTATTTAGTCTGTGCCATAATTCGATGGGAGCGCGCTGTGTGTGTGTGTGTGCCGCAGATACGCAGATTGAATTTGAAATCATTGTTTAAAAAAAAGTAGCAAGCCTAAAAAATATTGCAAGCGAAAATTTCTTCCACTAATTTTTTTTTACTATGATTATCATATCGGATGACGCAGCTTTAAAAGGATGCTGTTCATTTTAATCGATAACAAATTCAGTGTTCTGACGGGACAACCGCATGGCTTGTGCAATGTTGCTTTACTTTCGTTCAAGCTTAAAGACTTATTGTAGGTGTGTGATGCCTCACGAGCCAACGACTTGTTACTACTGTAAATAAATTGCAACGAGCAGCCACAAAAAAAAATATTCAAGAAGATAACTTGGTTACATTTTTTAATCATACAAAGAACAATGGCAAAATGTTTTTTTCGTTGGCCCTTTAGTTTTCGTAGACCCTAGGCACAGTGTTTACTCTGCCAATTGGATCATACGGCCCTGTCTTTGATGGTTCCAATCTTCTCTCTTTGGTTCTTTCGGTAATGTCACGTAGAAAGAAAATAAATTAAATAATATAGTACGACGTTTCGATTGCAACACAAGCAACCATCATCAGGTTAGAACTAAATTTGAGAGAGACACAAAACACAGATACGGAGACACACAGACACAAGCAGAGAGAAACAACACAGAGACACACAGAGAGACACACAACATAGACTTCTGTCTGTCTGTGTGTCTCCGAGCCTGTGTTTTGTCTCTCTCTCAAATTTAGTTCTACCTGATCGAAACGTCGTACTATATTATTTAATTATTTTCTTTATACGCGACTTTACCGAAAGAACCAAAGAGTATTTCCTGCAGTCACGAAAGCTTCAAATCAAGTTTGGTTCCAATCTTGTTTTGTGGCCCACAACAGTGAATTATGTGATGACAATTTTAAATGAGTGTCATATCAAACGATTCAACCTCATTTAGAGCCGTATCAATAAATCCCATACCTGTCAACCCCTTGTCAGTGCCTACCGTATTACACTCCGTTCCTTTATAAATCCCTACAAAGTCCCATCACAAGGGAGAAACACACACAAATAGACGAACACATCGGGGTTTTTGTGCCCGTATTGAAACGTCTGTACGCTGTAATGGACCTGAAAACTCAACTTCTCTGCACAAGCTCATGGCTAAACCCGTATGGTTCCACAGCCGTGACATCGGCATGACTCGAGCATTTTCACCGTCTTGACCACAGCAGCGAATTCTGACCCCACCACCACCACCCCACTCTGAACTCCGATTCGTCCACCAACTCGCCACTCGAACCCTCACCTGGTTCCCGAAGACGCCCAGAGCGCAGGCTGTGGACACCTCCTGAGGTCCGAACCACACGGCGGCCACTCGCGAGGGCATGCCGATGATGAACGCGTTGGAGATGGCGCACACGGTCTGGGCCAGCACCGTGACCCCGAATCCCAGGCCATCGGGCCTCACGCTCGCCACCTTGAGCCACGCGCCCAGGGCGTCGAAAGCCGTGGCCAGCAGCGCCGTGGTGCGCAGTCCGTAGTGGTCGAGAAGCCAGGTGATGGGGAAGATGAGTGGGATGTAGGCAAGCATGTAGACCATGGACAGCCAGTCCACGGCGCCCGAATCGACCCCGTAGAAGCGCACGAAGATGTTGTTGATGATGCTGTACTCGATCCACTGGAAGGCGTTGGACAGCGAGTAGATACTGAAGATTGTCACGATGACCCAACGGCGGCAGTAGAGTCTGGTCTTGTTGGCGTTCAGTGGCGTGGAGCTGCTGACTGCAGCTGGCTCGGTGGTCGACGATGCCGCTGCTGCTGCCACTGCTGCTGCCCGTTCGGATCCCCACACCAACTCCACGGGATCCTCGTCGTGAACTTCATCTCGACGAAGGAAGGACGCGCTGGAGGTCCTGCTCCTGCAAAGGTCAACAGCTGTTGACCCCACGGCTTGCTGCGGGTCCTCGTCCGCCCGCTGCTGCTGCTGCTTCTTCTCCTGGTCATGATGGACATCAGGACCTTCGCCACCGTGGTGGTCACCTGCGGGCAGCTCGAACATCTGTGTGGCGTGGTTGGCTGCCATGTGATTCTTCTCACCCACCACGTCCGATGTGATGTCGTTCTCTTCCTCACTACCGCCGGCTACGACTCCCCCACGGTCACCCGTCTCGCCGCTGCCGGCAGCCACGCCTCGCTCACCTGCCTCCCCGCCCGGGGATGGGATGGTCTCGGTCTCGGTCATATCACCGTCGAGTGAGATTCTAGAGCTGCCACCCACGCAACAGAGCGACAAGAAGAAGACGAGGAGGACGAGGAGGAGGAGGTAGAGGGGAGGCAAAACGAGGTTCGTTTCCCGGTCTATAAGTTAGCTCTGTGCGAAGTCTCTGCTGCTACGCCGGGCATTGACAATGCCCCTATCGCACCAGCACCACGCCTGCCTGCTCTCGATACGCGGTCCATCACTGCCGCACTCGTCCCTTCCTCCTCCTCCTCCGACAAAACCTCGCGCTCACCTTCTGCCCTTGTTCACGTCGTCAGCGTGCCAGCGCCGCACAACATTGCTTCTGTGACCACTCGATGGCCGGGCGACAGAATGTCCGTGCTCTCGATTTCCTGCTTTAAAGAGCACCTGCGCGTGGGTTGTTAGGTGTGCGCGCGTGTGTGTGCGTTTAATGCCAAGTGCCCCAGTGAATAAAGCCATCTGACTGCAGCCACGAGGGGGCGAGCTGGAGGTTTTCAGCTTTTCCCGCAGTCCACACGTGACATGAGCTAATGTGATTTGCTTGGCTTTTTTTGGGGGGGGGGGGGGGGCTCAGAAAATAGCGAATTTTTTAAATATCTATCTAAATTTCACGCAAAAAATTAAGCCGCAACCCGTTTTTATGTTTGTATTATTAGAACTGAATTGGACATGACGTAGCCCATCCTTCATTAGACCTACAATTAATGATAATAACCAGACGCTTGTTTGGAAGGCACAGTGGAATAATTTATTCACTCATGGCTTGCATGTCAAAGTGGACTTCATCATCATTTAAATTAATACACGCTGCCTTCCAATCTTGGGAGAACAAATCCTGTGACCTGGCATATCGTAATAAAACCACGTATCTAGGAACGCTCGTCAATACTCTATATTTTTAGCAGTCCTGCAATGGGATCTTTGGTCAATCTTGGGCAATTCTCGAGAAAGACGACAACAGCGATCTTGCAAAAAAGTATTGACTTTGTTTTGTACGCTCACAGCACACATTAATTTTTAATATCGCATTATGAATAATAATTGCCGTAACAGAAATATTGAAATACGTGTGTGGACTTGTTCTACGATATAGTGTGCTGGAGTTTGTAACAGCAACGGTTGCTTTACATGTCAATTTACAAAGGTAGCAATGAGTAAAGTGCGATGGTAAAGTATTTATAGCGTGTGTGTCCTTTGGACAGGCACAGCCTATTAAAATTTTGGTTGTTAAAAGTTAGGTGTGCAATACCCATAATGACTTGTTAGGTTTCGGATACAGGAACACCTTGCACTTGCGTCTGGTTAGGAGGGATCAGAGCATGGACGAATATCAAAGCAGAGCCTTTATTTAGCCTGCACATTTATTTTGGCCGCCGAAAAACGTACATGCAGATAACAACAGTGAATATAAAAAGGTGCATGCAAATAACTACAGCAACTATATAACACATGCGTGCGTTATAACACATTCCTGCGGAGGGAGCTGGTAGGAACGTTGGGTTGCTCGGTCAATGGCCAGGGTCAACGGCGGCGTGGTGTATTCCGCAAATATGCCCGACTGTGAGGGCGGGCACAAGCCGGCGTGAGCAGGTTAAACGTTGAGTTTTATAAGGGCACCACGGGGTGACCAGCCCCTCCCCACCCAGCCCCACCCTCCCCACGCTTGGCTACGTACGGTGCGAAAGAAGTTCAACATACATACACACACATTGGCTGACAAGCACGATCAAGTCATATGTGTCGACACGAAGGGGTTCGTTATAAAATGTAGGTTAGGTAATTAAATAAAACATGCCACATGAAATGAACGACTTGAGGTTATCAAACGGTGTATTTAGAATGTACATAGTCTTAAGACGAAAAAGACGGTCTAGATTGCATCACATGCAATTCCTACAATACACATACAATTGGAAATCGTAGCTTACAAAATACAAAGGAGTTTGGGAGTTTTTGATAATGCAAAGTGGGTGCCTCCAGCATACGCTATCAGCTTTTCGTATCTTAAACTTCTTTTGTAAGGTACGTAGCCAACTGCGTTAATCGTAACACCAAAAACACACGCTGCTCTGTGCTATATACCTAATTCACGACTCTTTCTTGATGACACAAAACGTAGTGAACACAGACGTTGACACAGGAAATAGTGAACAAGTTGGCGTATAGCACAGAGCAGTTTATGTTTTCGTGAAAAAGCTGCCGGCAGATACTGGAGGTAGCTCGCACATTGCGTTATTTTGCATAGTTATATACTCCCACTCATTGTGTTTTATCAGTGATGATTTCAAGCTACTTGTGTATTATTTTAAGAAACACATGTAATGAAACCTAAAGCATCGTTTTATGAATACCCTGTTCATATAAATGCATGGTAATGTGCACACGGGGCAAATTTAGCTCATATTAGGTACCACTTTTCAGCCGTATTTATAGCGTGCTTATATAATTTCCTGTTACTTCCATGTCATCAGCAAATATAAGATGGTTAATATTTGTATCAAATAATATTTTTAGCTTTTTCTACAACCGAATTTTTCCCCAAAAAAATCTAAAGTCAATGCGAAATTACTTTGGCGAATGCAACTCCTCGTGTGACTACTCCGTTGATGTGTACTCTGTTACTTTCTATATCATATCTCAGTGCATCTGTTAAATGCTTTGAAAAGACATTTATTTTATGCTTTGATTTGTCGCAGCCTGAAGGACTGTCAGTTTTAACCGAGTCAAATGCATTTCCATAGTCTACAAATTTGTCAGACGACACAATTGGATACTACACCAGAGGATGTACACTTAGAACAGTTGCTGAACTGTCAGGCCGTAGTGGTGCACGCTTATAATCCAGCCATGTATGTATGTATGTTGAACTTCTTTCGCACCGTATGTAGCCAACCGTGCTCATCAGAGCCATGGAGGCGAAGGTTTGTGGATCAAGGCATCGTAACCTGGCTTGCCAGAAGGCAGAAAACATGTGGACTCTGCATCTTCTGTCTGTACGGGATAGAGCGTTTCCCCCTCACGCGCGTGGGTTTTCTCTGGGTGCTCCGGTTTCCTCCCACATGTAAACACTCATTAATTGGTCGATAACAGCTTGGGCATCGCGTGGCTGCCTTCTTTCTTGTCTGTGGATCCTGACACTTAAAAGAGTAAATGGATTGTTAAGTCATGTTGCCTGTTAGGAAACATGGGCTTGGACATCACACATCATTGGAAGGGATTTTGGCCAAAGGTTAGCAGTAACTACGAAGGGAAGGACCAAATATACATGCGCCACGGAGATGGAGCGATGAAATCAGCTCATGTGCAGGCACTAGGTGGCTTGTTATATTGCAGGACCATGAATATGCAGTGGATAAATGATAGGGGATGAAAATAAATGCATGTAACATGATTTGCAAAATGTTCCCACTCACTGGTGGAGAAATAAGGACTCTGCAAGTGCATCATTGGCACTGCATACGCGAAAATTACATGCAAAAAAACTGGCACATGATCATGCTGTAGTATGAACAGACATGCCAATTTCATTGTGTAACCGTGACAGTTTGCACCACTCTCATTAAAAGGAAATTCTGCTCTGCTAATTATAATTCTGGAGTAATCAACCTGATGGTCACGAAATAACATGTAAATATATTGTGTGTACAAAACATCGCTCAATGTATTTGTAAGTTAATGTTTCAAACACACTAATGATATGCACAAGTAATGAAGCAATCGTTACTGAAGCGCAGTTTAACTGGGATGACCATGTTCTTCACATTGTCCGACTTCAGGCTTCCAAAACAACTTAATCGATATTCTCAACTAACCAGTGGCCGAAGAAATGTCAGTGGTCACAGAAAGGGGGATAAAAATACACATTGAGAGCACGCTTGAAGAAATATCAAGAGTTGGCTGCTGTTTTACACAGTGTGTATTTTTTTAGGGAGGGGGGTGTTTTGTAACTAACAGAGCTTAATGTAACGCGTAAGTTTTGGAAAAAGCCTCAGTGCATTGGCAGTGGTGACCTGTGCCACATGCTCCACCGATACACCCTTTACCCTCGCCACGTACTCGCAGGACACCACAATATTGCTGGGTTCATTTCTTGTCTGCAAAAGATGAAAGTGACAGTACAGTCGCAATGCGTCATTCATTCATTTATATATATAAAAGGGAAATGTGTGATTATGTGTGTTTGTAAAAAATGTTTAGCGTACTTCACGACATGCAACAAACTTGAAATTTTCCATGTGGGTACTGTCCAGACAGTACACCATACAAAAATTATAAAAATAGACTTTGGTATTTTTTTGGGGGTGGGGGGGACACAATAATGCATATGTTTTGCACGGCAAGTGAGCTGTGAGGTCAAATCTGTCATGTGACCCGTATGCGAAAGCGTAACAGTGTGCCTGCTGATGTTACGCGTGTATGTGTACCTATGGACGCGCATGCGTGTGTGTGGGGGGAGCGGTAGTGTAGTGGTTAGCGCACTGCGCTACGAACCCGGCGACCCGAGTTCGATTCCCGCTCACGGCCACCACCGGTGATGATTATTTGAACCGGTCCTGGGCCTCCCCTAGGTCGACTCAGCCTCAAACGAGTAACTGGTGTGGTGTGTGAACATCACCACTGGGGAGACATCACCACTGGGGAGACAAAGGCGGCCAGGCCTGGTGAATCCAAGTCCCAGGCGAAGCCGGGTAGTAAAGCCGTTTTATATAGCACACTAAATTTTTCCACAACCCTCATTAAAATTAAAGCGCTTGCCATTTCCATTGTGAACGGAAGTGTTTTTGCTGATATACCTGTTTGATAGGCCCAAGGGCCGGGGAGTCTGTCTCCAGCACCAGGTACTCCAGAGGCAACTGCTTCACGAGTTTCTCCTTCTTGAGAGAAACAAAACTCACGTTAGCTCCAGATAGATGGGCAGCTCATTATATCGATTAATATTATACAGTGCCTTGTCAATCCCCTGCCGGATGAGGGTCTGTCCACATCATGTCGGTCATGAGGGTTGTTTGACCACACTTTAGCTCAATGCGGAGCTCCAAATGGGAAATGTATTCAACAAAACATAATCAATTCTAGATTTGAAGCTTTCGTGACTGCAAGGATTCATACTCTTTGGGTTTTTTCGGTAAAGTCACGTAGGTAAAAAATAAAATAAATGAAAACTAAATTAAATCGTTACGGTTTCACCTGAAGACGGAAGCTTGTGTTGCCTCCGAAACGTCGTGATTTAATTTAGTTGTTTTCATTTATTTTATTTTAATTTTTACCTACGTGACTTTACCGAAAAAAAACAAAGAGTATAAAACATAATCAGTTTCTGTTGCTTTATGGCATGAGAAACACATACTAGCCTGGGTTTGCAATAACAAATTAGATAATTATCTCAGATTATTTTAATTAAATGTATGCCTTGGCTGAGTAACTTTGCATTTACCAAAAATGTGTTTTTTCTATGCTGTGGCCATTAGACTTCACTTACCGTACTGCGATGTATGTGGTGTTTACAGTCTTATCCTGATTATAACTGTGAGTCGACTCCATCATACGGCGTATTTAAACCTAAAATGTATGCACTGCCTCCTGAACGCATTTATTTAGCAAAACGTAAATTATAATGTAGTGTTAACCTGTTCGTGAGTAGGATTCGTTTTTTTTTAAATGAAAACATTTCTATCCCTCCTGTTAAATTTCCAAATGACCATTATTCACGATACTAATTTGAATTAAAAGGTGAAATGGAATGACAAATAATATCTTTATCAGAGAAACTCAATTGTTTACTTTTTCTTCTCACAATTATATCCTGCTTGTAGTTTAGACATTCCGTTAAACTTAGTACATTTGGAGCTCTCACAGTGAGCACATCCATCGCCTTATGTTACAGAAGAGTCTGCAGAAGGAGACATCAAATTGTTTTTGACACCTCAAGAAACCCCCTTATTCACATCAGGGAGCAAACCCTTCCCACCTGCTCTGCTACAGAGTATTCTTTATTGCTTGGAAGTGAAACAAATATTTAAAATGTTCATAACTGGCAATTTAACAAAATTCAGTGAAAACACAATTGTAAAAATAGTTTTTTTTGTGTACAGGAATTCAACTATTTTAGTGTACCAGGTAAAGCCCACTGAGCTATTAGCTCATTTTCAAAGATGACCTGGCCACACATAATAGCTCACCGATGTTGCTTACATCACACGCGGGAATGTATAGCAGTAGCCAAATGATCTAAATGCATGTTTCTAAATATGGAGGGAAAAACTGGAGGAACTTATATATATACATATAAAACAAAAATCCACATTACCACAGGAAAAGAATATGCAAACTCCAAATATACAGGCATCGTCAGGGTCAGAATCAAAGCCAAGACCCGTGTACCAGGCAAGGGATACAGTTTAGAAACTATTTTGATTGCCGCCAGCTGAAAGCTGAATTCAAACCCAGTATCTCAGCAGTGCCAGCTCCGTGTCTGACCTCTGAGTCAGCCGACAGCCTGTTTGGAAAATCCACTTCAACAAACCTGTTCACTGCGGACGATGGAAGGCGGAATGGAGAAGAAGTATCCAGCCTGAACGCCCTCCATTGCCACAGAAGGCCTCCCATCAAAGGCATGCAGCAACACATTCTGGGCTCCTGGATCATGTGAGCAAAGCACAGACAGTCCCGGCGATTAACCGATACTTAACCACTCTATACAAGATTTCTGACCGGGTGACTCCGCAATAGAGCGGCTTGCGATCGAAAGGTTACGAGTCCAAATCCGGGTTGGGGATTGACACAGTCCACCATACCTCCAAGGTTGATAAAATTAGTGCCACTTCATGGGGAAGTAAACAGCTGATGTTCTATGAGTAGACTAGATCTCATCATAGGAATGTGGAATTTCCACCATTGGCTGAGGACTTTAAACAGGAGATGAACACTGTCTCAATGCGCATTTCAGCAATAAATAATTGTGACCTGTACAATATTTAACAGGCATTTAATCATATGAAAATAACATAGGCAATGCAAAAATAAGTTACTGATGACTATTGCAATAAAGTAATATATAAAGGGGCCAAGTTACATTTGGAACTTTCTCTCAATGTAAGGATACTCAACTGGGCAGTTATTTTTTTAAGTAATTTGAACATTCCTTTAAAAAGTGTGCTATCTATAAGTTTATTCTTTGTAAAAATGCTATCTCAATTTGAATGTCACTTGTTATTTCCGAACCTTGCTCTTTGAGAAGTTGAATAGTTGGTCTACCAGCGGACCTCGAGTGCACATTCCTGCAGAACAAACACCACCATGCAAGATCCTACATCAGTTGAATCAAACCAAGCAAGCATAACATCATCGTGTTCTCCAGCTGATTGGGTGCTCACGCAACTATGTGCATTTAAGTCAAATCTAGAAACTTTTTTTGGAACAAGGGCACTACGCAGACTCTGGAGCGATTCCAGGTGTGCATTAAGGATCCTGTATCAATCTACTATATTTAAAAGCCGGCCAATTGTCTCGTGACATTTTATTTTGGTGATTTTCGAAAAGTTTTTTGGTTTGGCCATGTTTGTTTGTTGTAGTACAGAGTTAGACTGATGGTCTTAATCTAAGTTGTCTTGTGGTTGTTGTTGGTTGACTTGCATCCCACTGGGATATTTGCACAGGGTTGGTGTACGGTGATTTTCTGCAATATTTTGCTGTCTCTTCTTGGATTTTCTGTTTGCACATAGTCACTTTAAGATGTTTTCTTGTTCATGTTTTTATTTTTTGTTTGTTGCGGTTGCACCCGATTCAAGAGCCGAATGGCTCACAGGGCTATACCTAATAAATGAACTTTGAACTTTGACATGATTCCACGTATATAAAGGATCCTGCATTAATTTTCGATGTGTGATATCCAGTAATACCCCGATCTACGCCCTCCCGTGTTACGTACTTTTGTTATAACGTACTCAACTGAGTTATACCCAATCCGTGTTTACGTTCTTTGCTCCCTCGGCAGCATAATGTACTCGAGATTTACGAACTTTACCATGAACACCCAAATAGTTTACGCTGCACAGTGACAATCATCCACCAGATGGCTCCCAAGCGCAGTTGATTTGATGTCTACACGTACTCTCTTAAGTTTTCACCCACATACTACATTTATGGCGACTATGTACATATAAGTGTAAAAATGTGTTTATGATAAGCTAATAATACCTCTAGTATAATATACAAGGTAATATATCTTAATATATCAATAATATACACTTATTTTTCATACTGATGGTCGTACAGTAGAGGCAGTCCAATATTTATGAACGCACCGACTTACAAACACCCGTGCTTACGAACCAGCTTCCATGAAATACAAAAAATAAGTAATGTTAAAAAAACCTTTTTTTTAAACACGCTTTAATGAAATGTGCCCTACAAGCAATGGAAGAACTCCACGACTCCTAGAAGTGGCCCCGAAGCTTGCCATAACGTAAAGAGACCGTGGCCATTTACAGCCAACGTCAGTTGAGCGTGGACAATTAGAGCCAAGCCGAAACATAACATATAAAGAAGAATGTTTTAAAATACGTTTTTTTTTTAATGATAGAATATAGTATTGTCATCAGTATAACATAAGTATACCAAGTTTGCAGTCGATACCACATTGGGAAGTGGGTAAAAATTTTGTTAGAAGAGGATACAACAGAGTTAATCAAAAGCGTGTAAAAGAAAAAATACTTAAAACGTGACCTGCCAATTGCAAACTGAACTGTTTTAAGAGGAGCGATCCTCCGCGAGATGTAACGAGTGGACCTAGCGCTGGGAGTGTTTGTGTGCACGCGTGGACAAAGGCGGCCGGGAGGTGGTGCTGCCCATCCATCCTCTCGTGTACCGTTCCGGCCTTCATAGGTGCTCGCTAACAGCACTTGCCCCTACAGCCTGTTAAGGCTACACAGGGGATCTTTGTCTTTGTGTGGGGAGCAGTGGCGCAGCGGTCAGCGCGCTGCGCTACGAAAGCGGTGACCCAAGTTCGATTCTTGCTCACGGACAACACCAGTGCCTTCGTGTGTAAACATCACCACCGGGGACACAAAGGCGGCCGGGCGTGGTGTTGGCCATCCACCCCCTCGTGTACTGAACCAGCCTTCATAAGTGTCACTCACAGCACTTGCCCCTTTAGTCTGTTAAGGCTACACGGGGGGATCGTTGTTGTTGGTCGTCTGTGTGTGTGTGTGCATGCCCCGTGTGTGTGCAATTGTGGTGAATCATTGTCCCACTTCCGACTACAAACTAGCAGCAGGACTGTGTTATTTTTTCTGTTACTTTATTTTGCTTAATTTACTGAAGTATTTTTTTACAGTGTTACGTGCAAATGTACAATATCTCGTCTCAATGATGAATTTGACAATGCTTCCCTTTTTGGTGACCCATATTGAGACATCGAGTGGACTCTCCGAAACCCATTTGGCAACCGAGCGTGCCCTAAAAGAAGTTGGCAACACTTGGCCGCATTCGATGTGGGCCATGTGGGCTTGGGTAGAGAGGGGAGAGAGAGGGTTTTGTTGGTCGTTGCCAAGACACTCACAGGGGCAGGTCGAGCCGTAGGGCGAGCGCCACCTGGCGAGAGAGCACCTCCCTCTGGCCCTGCTTGTCCTGCTCCGTCTTGGCCACACGGGGGCTGAAGTCCAGCCCCACCTGCAAGCAACGCAAGAGCCCCCTCTGGTGGTTCGCGCACAACTCGGGCAACGTGGACATTTATAAAGGTTGAGGATTCTTAAAAAGACTCAACGAAGTGAATGGAAGCACGGCAGCAGCAAGGGAGGAGGGGGTGGGGTGGGGGGAAACTAGATTCGAAGCTTTCGTGACTGCAGGAATTACTCTTTGGTTCTTTCGGTAAAGTCACCGAGAAAATTTTATCAAATAATAGAATACAACGTTTCGGTTGCAACACAAGCAACCATCATCAGGTAAGAATGAATAAAACGCAGACACGGGAACAGCATAGGCAGACACATGCAGAGAGACACACACACAAGGACACACATGCAGAGAGAGACACATCGTGTGTGTTGCAAAGCAAGCAGCCATCATCAGGTAAAAATGAATGATAAAATACAGACACGGGACCAGCATAGGCAGACATGCAGAGAAAGACACACACAATGTCTCTCAGCATAGGCAGACATGCAGAGAGAGACACACACAATGTGTCTCTCTCTGCATGTCTGCCTATGCTGGTCCCGTGTCTGTGATTTATCATTCATTCTTACCTGATGATGGTTGCTTGTTTTGCAACCGAAACGTCATATTCTATTATTATTTGATTTTCTACGTGACAGTTTTCCCTGGGCCTCAGATCTGAGGGGATCCACAAAAATGGCCAAGCGGGGGCTTCAGAAAAAGCCCAAAGAACTTCACACGGAGGACCTCATCTGTGATTTTTCCCCAGTGTCCCAAAACACGTTTTGGTGGCCTTACATGGAAGATAACATTTGCTGTTAATAATATCCACTCATAGTCGCTGGCTGTTTTGCCAGTTTTGTATAATTGACGTTGGCATTTCTTATTTTAAGAAATGCTCTTTTAAAAGTTACTCTTCCTTTGCGACGTTTCGCCTCCAACATTGGAGGCATCTTCAGGAAGTACTGCTTGTCAGAGCATTTCTCATTGATCGATCCATAAAAACCAACATCCATTAATGAATATTGTTCTGCGGATGAGACATACTTGATTGTGCTTCAACTAATTAGTTTGAAACACCAACATTTAAATGCCAGCAATGTGGAGACACACTCCCACAATCGTTGTAAGAAAATCCCCCAAAACGCAATGCATACAGGTATTCACAAACGCACAAGAATAAGTAAATACATTAAAACACTTAACCACTATGCTATAGATATGACAATCACTGCAGTGTGTTGTCATGGTACAGTTAGACTGGAATATGCTGAATACACTATTGTGGATGTGTGAATCTTATGCGCAGGAGTTCCCTATCCACGGTATCGCACTCGATTATTGGTGCAAATAAATAGCAGTGATAACACCCATGACGAAGGTTAGACATGTCACAGTAGCTTGACCTTTGAGACATTCCATTGTCTCTGTCATAAGCTTTCACTGCCAGAGCTGCAATAAAAGGTGGCAATGTGCAGTTACATACGTCATAGCAAAGGGTGTGCAAACGATGCCATATATTTTATTGTTTTTAAATATCAGCGTGGTTGGTTTACAACTCAAATGTGTCATTGGAAGATATGCTACGTTGGCAACACTGTTTTTAAAGTAGGTCTTTGCCAGGGAGGGTTTTCAGTGCTTCCAAGTATAATGTTTTCATTATAATAAGATGAAAACTTTCCAATTACTATTGTTAGAAAAACTAAGACCCGTTTTGGTGGCCTTTGTAGTAATAGCCTTTTAGAAATTAAGCTGTAATTTCACAACTTTTCCTTCATTGATGGCCTTTAAAGTTTAACACCAGATGAGAGTCTGTTCCAATCAATCACCTCTTAATTAAGGGAAACCTTGCTCAAACCAAGTACCACTCTGTCCATGTCACATGTGATGAAAGGTCAATGGTATAATTGTACAAAAGTAAAAAAAAAAATGCCCATGGGAACATTAAGCATAACACAAATATATTAACCTTTACATATAACTTAGCATTTCAGTAATATATACTTTAATTAGGTATATGGTATAGTTAAAATACGTTTTAAATGTAAAAGATATACAATGTTATTCCATGTACAAGTGGCATTACGGTAGCAAGATTTCCCTTCTACGTGACTTTACCGAAAGAAGCAAGAAGATGAATCCCTGCAGTCACGAAAGCTTTAAATCGATACTTACAGAAAACTCAATTCCAGTACAGAACTCTCTGAGTAATAGCACAACGCACAGAATTGAGGGAAGCAATTGTGCAATTAGTGGAGTGACTCGAGTTCGATTCCTGGCCACAGCTAACATCGGTGGCAAGTTGGATCTGAACTGGTCCTGGGCTCCCCTTCACCAAGTTTTACTGACGAGTGTGGTGAAATCTTCCCGAAACAACTCTCACGATTGGTACAGTGTGGGAAGGCCTTCATCGAGCAGTCGATTGACAAAGGGCTGTACATTTTATTTCGTGGGAAGTGGTGAGCTTGGAAGTATGTATCAATAACCAATAGATATAGGTATCTCCATTATTTTTTATCTAGAAAGAAAATAAGGCAACTCAAAATAATACATTAACAATAATACATCTAAACAACAACGTGATGTGTCCGATACGTCCCAAAACAGTCATGTCGCACGCTGCTGTTTAATGGTCTTCCACACGGACAGCTTCATAAATTGTCGTGTAATAAAATACAAACTAGAGCATTCTAAATTTAGCCACCTTCTCGTGATAAGTGTAGCCTTGTCTAATGATGTATATTCCTCTATAATCCTTACCCATTACCTTTGATGACGTGTCAAGCCCTGACGCCTACTTAAAGGCCTACTCTAACTTTCCAAAGTGCAGTACACAATAAAAGACACAACTTGTGCATTACCAGCTCTTAACATTGTTTTCACATATTGGTTTTGGCTATGCTCGGCTTGTTGCACTACCCACACGTTATTTTAAAATGTATTCAAGGTAGCCTTTTACAGAATCAAATCTCCATTAACTTGTTTTCCTCCATTTTATATGCATAATTTTATGGACAAACCTCTTAGGACTGCATTTTTAGAATCCATTAGATTAGATAAAATGACAACGGTCATTTGTAATGTGGTCAGCCTTGTATTCTAACCTATTTAGTTACAATACAGATCTGCTAAGATGAATTAAATGCACATTACCAGGAAAGTCTACATATGTAATTCCAGCATTATCAATCCTATTGTTGTACTTTTTTAATTCACGATCGCAACTTATTCACATCGGGAATAGTGTACATTGCTGTACTCCCTCATAATGGTGTCGAAAAAACAATTTGGCACGTTTCAAAACGTATTCACATCACAGGTGTTACCGTAAACTATTCCCCGCACACTGAAAACCACACGAAATGTGTGATCATTGAACAATGCGTCGTGTTTCCACCGACAGCTACATGAGTCCAATTCATGTGAGAGTGTTGCCACCGAGGCACGATTCTTAAAAAGCATAATTTGTCATAAAAAAAGAAAAAAAGGCACAGACCTACCTCTCCCACAGCCATCAAGCGCTCGCACTGCTGCTCTATCACTGGCTGGGCAGACATCAGGTCCTAGCGGAGAAACAAAACAGTCATATCATTTCGATTTAAAGCTTTTGTGACTGCAGGGATTCATCTTCTTGGTTCTTTCGGTAAAGTCACGTAGAATTTTTTTTTATATATATATTTTTCCCTTCTACGTGACTTTACCGAAAGAACCAAGAAGACAGTCATATCATCATAACCTCAAGCCTCGTGGCCCATCGCACTTTTGACTGATCACACCTGCATTAACCATTATTGTAGGTTTCACAGGTCTATGTTTTCATAACTCCTTGTATTCCAAGTGTGTGTACATACGTATGTTGAATATCTTTTGCACCCTATATAGCCAACCGTGCTAATCGAAGGTGTGGGGGAAGGGCAATAAACTGAATACAAAAAAGCATTTCTAAAGAAATTTGTTTTTAATCTAGAGTGTGGTTCTCCACGGGTCAGGCCTGCAGTTTGAGAAATTATTCTCTCGAGTTTTCATCACGCACTGCTGTGGACATCGCCCTTTGTCCCTCCAATGCTGGATGAAGGTCTACCCACTGCCTTTCAAGAGATGCCCTCAGATGTGCGTGGTGAAAGCTCAAGAGAAGAAATGCTTAACACGCAGCCCAACCCGGGAAACTACACTCAATTATTGAAATATTTGTGGAGTCTACACCAGCGCTTTTAAGGCTTCTTCATTGTTAGCAATGGATTTTCTGTTTGCACTCAGTCACATATTCACTTTAAGATGATTTGTGTTCATGTTTTTGTTTTTTGTTTGGTGCGGTTGCACCAGATTCAAGAGCCGAATGGCTCACAGGGCTATACCTAATACATGAACTTGAACTTGATAAGTGGTGAGCAGCGTCAGAATAAAACTCCAGCAAGCCTAAACTATGGCTCGATTAACCAGTGTCTACAAATGCCCATAGCCTGTAGCCTATTGGCCCAAGGAATGCGGTAAAGTTAGCAGGCACGTGCGAAAGGGCCCATAAAACGTGCATAGACATCCGGTAAAATATATTCTTTATCTGGGAATATTGCCGAATAAACTATAGGCTAGTTAAATATAAATATGAAATCACTGTCTATCAGTTTTATACTTTCTCCCTGAAGGAAGCCCTCTGCCACAATACCATGAACAAACCCGCTTGTGAAGTACACTAACATGATTTCCAGACAGTTTATTTAGATTGTGTGCTCGGCTGTATCACGTGATAGTCAAACGAGTTATTTCCTCCTCGGTACTCATCTGTTTACAGCCATGAGCTAGTGATTAGAAATTCCACATTCCTACAAAGGAGATGTATTTCTCGCATCACATGACAATAAGTCACAAAAGTACAAATGTAGTTTTAACTTTTAAAGTTTGTAGAGTTACCGGATTTCAACATGCTATAATAGAGTGAAACTTTTAAAAATAAGACAACTTTAAAGGGAAGAAGGACGGCATGGGTATGCTGAATTCCAGTGCAACAGGGAGCATTGTAACAATTTGTCAGCGGCTGCGTTTTTTTCGTGACGCAAAGGTACAAAGGTATTTTTTTACCGCCCTTTGTCAATCCACTGCTGGATTAAGGCATCCCCACGTCTTTCGCTCATGGGGACTGCTTGCCCACACTTCACCATGCTGGTCAATGCAAAGTTAGTGTTTCGGAGACTCGCTACCGGTTTAGATATCACTCAGTAGCTGATGTTAGGGGTGGACTGGATTCGAAATCAGTTCACCAAATTTTAATTTCCACTTTGATAAGCCACTTCCTCGAGCTATCATTTGTGGCCAGGTCGCTTCTGAAGCTCAGCGGGCCTTACCTGCTAAAACAAAAAGTTAAGTTTAGTATTTATAGCGCAGCTCGCTATAACCACCGCTCTCCCCACCCGGTACAAAGGTTAACGTCCGTTAATGTGAGCCGGGTGTGGCTGTGGACTGCGAGACCCCTGTGGGTACCTCCAGGGTGGCGCTGCGTGGTTGGCAGGGAGATCCCTGCACCGGGTGAACGCCCAGGCAGGGCAACACAAAACCAGGGAACCTGCAGCACACCACACACCACGGCCATTATGGTATTGCCCTCTTGGTAATACCAACAAGGCCGAGTCTGCTGATTCGGTTTCAGTTTCATTTATTACGTATAACCCTGTGAGCCATGCGGCTCTTGACTCGGGTGCAACCGCAACAAAAGAAAAACATGAACAAGAAACATCTTAAAGTGACTATATGCAACAGAAAAAAATCCTGGGTGAAACCCAGAAGGTCGAAACCGCTCCAGAGTTTGCTTGCTTACACAAATGCTGCTTGATAAGATTGGTCTGGAAAGCCAAAAGGCCGGTGGACTAAAGCATATTTTTAATTATATGTGGAGACAAACAGAAGGGTCTCCACTTGATGATATTGTCATGTACATGTGCAAGTCTTTTTGTGAATGCACTGTGGATGATGGGCCTCTCCATGCTGTTCAGGTTGATTGACCATACATCACCATGCTGGTCGGTGAAGGTGAGGCGTGCGCATACGTGGGAGCATAGTACAGTACAACATTAGATTACGCTCCAATGTCTTGTGGTGTCCATAATGTAGCCTCACAGCCTTTTACACCTGCTGTATGCATGGTGGTCAGCCATCCAATCATTGTCAAGGCTCAAACCAACTTGGATTCCGAGATCGGGCGATGCATGAACATTTCTGATTCCTCTTTAAAGCGTTCCATATCAGAGTATATCTTGTAACACAGCATGTCATATAACGTGCATTCAATGACGGTCATATTTGTCACTCATACTCACTCTATATGGCGACTGCTTGTTGCGTTCATGATTGTAACAGTGCTCGACTTTGGTACATCCACGTAAATGATGTATCACTGTTACTGTTGCTACCAACGGAGAAAGTTGTTTGCTAGCCACATTGCACAGCGTCAAATGATTGAAATGATTCAGTGCTAACATACATGGGCTGCAGCCAGGACTGTCGCAATGGGGTGTGACGATGTGCTTCTGAGCAACGTGCTTGTGACCTTTTGGCATTCAAAATTGCAACGTGATTTTTTTACTGGCAATACAAAATTCCTTTTTACCGTGAAAACTGTATAATACAACATGATATAAGTTGGGTGACGTAATCAAGTGTGAGCAGTATACTTTATCAATAGCTTGGGGAGGCCTACATCGAGCAGTAGACTGATCATGGCTGATGATTATATTATGAATTTTGTTTAAATCAGACACCACCAAATTCTTACCACAAAATATAACACCATACTACTATTCTTATTGTTTAATCAATTTGATACTGCCAAAAAGGTCCAATAGATACCACACTACCATTTAGCCAGACACGTTAGACCAACAACGCATGTATATTTGAGATGCCGATTACATGATAGTATGTAAAAAAAAAGCCATCACATGCACACACACACACAGACACACTCGTGTAATGTTTTTGCCTCTCTCGATTGCACCACGTACCGTTCGGACAACTCCAAGATCCTTGCAAACTCTCCATGGTGCTCCGCAACAGACACAAGTGCCACCAGCCCTGCCTGGACACCCAGGTGTCAATACGAGATTTTGTCACATGGCAGAACATCCAGAACATAGGAGTTCTGATCCCAAGAAGAGAACTTCCTTCAGCTTTAATAGTCATGTACACGGCAAACTGAATACAGCTGTAATGGCTGGTGGACTTTTAATAATTAAGGGCTGTTTGCGCTTGTACCTTGTAACTGGACGTGTAATGTATTGTTTGGCAAGCCCATTTCTCCACATTCCCGGCATACAAGCATTATCAGTCAAGCGATGTTTACACAGATGCCTAGCAACGTAGACCTCGCTGCAAAACGCGACATTCCAGGAATCGTTAGGGATTGTATCTTGACATTTCAGGATTGCTTTTTCATCCCGCAGACACAAGCGGTCTTTTGATCTATGCTTATTACTTGGGGTTATGTCTCGTAAGGGATATGGCTTTAACGATGCATGCTCACTCAACCTACCTTCTTTGCTTTCTCGATTACTTCTGCGATGTCCTGTTTCAACAAACACACACAGTTGGCAAATACACAGATAATAAATTGCATTAATAACACGCAATTCATCCGCACAATAGAGACAATTATATTCCCGGACAACAAACAAAATAACAAAAAAATTACGGCATGACTCGTAACCAAGAAAACCTGCAGCCATTCTCGATCCCACCAAGAAATTTCAGTCATGGCGAGTTGTGTGTTTTTTATTTACCATATTCCACACTGGAAGATGTTCTCCTTATATTCCACAAGGTGGCGGCCACAACCAAAATGGCACGTAAATCCCAAACCCCTTCCCACCCCCAAAACCTGTTGCCTTGAGTGACTGGCTCCCGAAGGCCACTCAACAAATTATGTGGCCTTCTTGCAGCTCAATGCACAATTCAATGTCCAAGGCAGACCTGCCACATCTCGTTCCCAACGCAACGAGACAAATATCGTGCTCGTTTCACACCAAAATTGCCCGTGCTGATGCTTGTTTGCGTACACCCTGTCTGGATTTACACTCAGTAGGGGAGAGAAAGAATTCATATTTAAATCAAAGTGTATTTACTCGTATGGTGAATAACTTTTTACAGATATTTTTTCTGATTATAGCCGTCTGTAATTAAATGGAATCCATCATACGTAATTTGTAACATACTGTATTTACAAAGTACAGCATTGTAAATGTGTTCATTGCTTCCAGATGCATTTTTTTCAAAAATCGTATAACGGCCATGTACATTTTATCTGTCTGATAGATTTTACACATTTTAAACGAAAAATTACGATTAATTCCAATAAGTGAATTGGAACCCTGGTAAATGAATTGGGTTCATGCTATTTTTATTTTACCACGTAAGGCCCACTAAGCTATACAGCTCTTTTTCAGAAGCGACCTGGCCACAAATGATAGCTCAACGAAGTGGCTTATCATCATGTGGACAATTATAGCAGCCAAATACTCTAAACGCATGTTTCTAAATGTGGAGGGAAAATCCGGAGGACCCGGAGAAAAATCCACGCGACTACGGGGAGAACATGCAAACTACAAATATACAGGCGTCAGGATCGGGATTGACTCCACAACCTCCTGTATACCAGGCACTGGAGTTAACATTTCACCACCGTGGCGCTACACATGACCGCTTCCATTCAATTATAGTCAATTATTATCAGGAAACTATTCTAAAACAAATGATCGTATATTACGCCGGTGGTATCTGTTAAAGAGAAACAATTCTATACTGGATACCGATACATTACTCAACCTGTAGGATTTTTTTTAAATTCAACTAAGCTTCACCAACTGCACTAACCAGAAAAGTGAAGTATGGTCCAACAACACTCAAAGACTGACAATGTGCTGACATGCCTTCACCCAGCAGTGGATTAACAAAGGGCTGTAAAATATTACTTTGAAGAAATGACAATGGACAGAAAACAGAACGTATCATACATTTTCTTTCAACATGGTGCATTGTACACTCTCGTGACACAATCATCGATGTAGCGCAGGGGTGATTCAGACTCGTAATTTGTTTTTATTCCATAAAAAAACGCAATATTACAAGAGCAGCAATGCACATGAATACGAGTCACGAAGCAGTCCTCAGAGAGGCTCATGCTGCTCCACGGCCGTCATTTGCCGGCCGCTATGTAGCAAATTTGGTGGGGCGGCGTGCAACCCGGCATCGGATGGGTGGGTGCATAATGTTCTATTAGTCGGCAGAGCCATTTCTCCATTTTATTATGGGAAACCCCGGTGCTTCCCGTTGTTGCCGTCGTGCGTTTTGGGGGTAGAGTCCCAACACTGAGCTCCGTGCCACTCCGGGAGGGGGGACCACACGCGCTTGTGGCGCAATGGCAGCGTGATCGTCCACGATGCAGACGTGTGGCTCGGAGTGTGACCCCAGATAACCGGCGCTCCCCCCCCCCCCTCCTTGAAGTTTCGTAAACATCCACCTCCTCTTTCCACTTCATAAATAGCAACCGGGCAATTTAGCAATTGAGTGACGTGGAAGCATATATATATATTTTTGTTATCTTTTGCGCCAAACCATGTGGATAGTACAAGGGAAAAAATCGTGCGGAACTGAAATGATTTATTCTCATGGAACAGCCGTCATGAACGAACCTACTTGCTCGGCTGTATTTTGTGTCACTTTCGAATGAAAATGGTGTGCGTTCACAGGCCTCTTCAAATGCAGTGTATTGATGAAATAGGTAGAATTTTCAGACAATCTATGCCTGTAGACAAAAAATTATGGAAGTATTCCTATGACAAATCGAAACATTGACAGCCCATCTTCTTGGTTCTTTCGGTAAAGTCACGTAGAAGGGAAATAATAAAATACTAAAAATAAAACATGAAAATAATTGTATGTTTAACTTTTATTATTTTATTATTTCCCTTCTACGTGACTTTACCGAAAGAACCAAGAAGATGAATCCCTGCAGTCACGAAAGCTTTAAATCGAAAATGACAGCCAGTTCGCTTTCAGGACGCTGGTCACAGTTAAGGACACTGCCACTGACTCAGTGCTGGTCTAATTGAATGCTTCTCACGCCTATTTGTACCCTGACTCTAACGTTTATATCTTTCCTTTGACAGTATGCTATCTATACGCTCTCATTCCAGTCGTGATTGGATCTCATTTCGATTACTGTGCCGCTGTCACTTCTAAAAAAGAGCATCTCTGCAACAAGTGTGTATACAGTTACACTTTCCGCCGCTCCCCTCTCTCGCCACTCTACCCCCGGCCACCCAGTTCCTGGCTCCAGAATCCAATGCCTTCTGACGAAGCTCCCCAGGCCTCTTCTTGATTCTTTCGGTAAAGTCACGTAGAAGGGAAGTAATACAATAATACAAACAAAACATAATAAAATAATTCTCACGACGTTTCGGCCACAACGCAAGCAGCCGTCCTCTTCACCTGAGAACGGCTGCTTGCGTTGTGGCCGAAACGTCGTGATAATTATTTTATTATGTTTTGTTTGTATTATTTTATTACTTCCCTTCTACGTGACTTTACCGAAAGAACCAAGAAGATGAATCCCTGCAGTCACGAAAGCTTTAATTCGAAACTCCCCAGGCCTCTTTTGCTGATTGGGAGGTCGCTCATTCTGCTCCGCTACCCCTATTATCTGGAACTCCCTTGCCCCAGCCATTAGTGCTGTCGGCTCCCTGTCCCTGTTTAAGTTGAAGCTCAAGAGCTTCCTCTTCTCCTCTGCCTATAACTGTCTTGATAATTGTTTTTTTACCCTTCTATCTGGCATCAAAACTGACACCTTTTTACAAGGAGTGCGCCTTTTGGCGTCATCTGGTACAACCCATGTGAGACTAGGCTCTAAGGAAAGCTGTCTCGGGTGTGGACCAATCAACTTCAAGGACAGTGCACATTATCAGAGTTATGTCTTTTGTTTGTATTATGACTGCAGGTATTGCGGTCTATGCAAACATGACTCCTTGTAAAAAGGTGTCAGTTTTGTTGCCAGATAGAAGGGTAAAAAACCTATTATCATATTTTTACTGGCAAATGAGGTTCCCATAGTAGTAACTGTCTTGTGCTAATAAAATAAATATGCCCCACTAATAAATAGCAATTGTACATTAGAAAAAAAAATGTTAAAATAATACACGTTACATAACACACATGTATACGTAACAGCACAAATCCAGTTCGTGGACCCACTTTTAGAACAAGCGAGAATGATCTCAAGTGACTATGAACTAAGGCCATGTGAGGTTAGATAACATTAAATAATCTATCCCACTAGAATAAAACTTCAGCATGTGTTGATCCACTCCCATCCTCCCAGAGATTTAATACATTGGCATGATCTTTCAAAGCTATAAGACTCAGATATGGATTATTTTAGCCCAGATGCAAAATTCGCAAATATTTTTCACATTAATCGATGAATCGAAAGACACATCAGCCAAACGCCCGGTACAGAATTAATCCACGTCAAGCTGTTGCACGTTCAACAGTTGCAACAGAAAGTCTGCAATACCCAGGCCACCCAGTTTCTGCGTCTGAAACAAAGGTCAATCCAATAGATCACTGCAAGACACCGTCTCTTCCCCTTGGCCTTATGAAAAAAGCTCCAACCCAAAACCGCGGTCAACGTTGGTTAAGCCGTGAGCAGCAGCATATGCCGGCAGCACCGCTACCAACGCCGAATGTGGAGAATGTGAACGGCAATTGGGAAGTTCCTTCCTTGCCCCACACCCCACGCAAGCTGTGGCCTCCCACACAGTTTCAGAACCTTTACAATCTAGAAGACACTTTCACAACAATGCCGGGAAGAAAGATAGGGTCAACCATCGGTAAAACAAGCATGGCAATGGCATGGTATTTGTTGTGCCATGTTAAGGCAGCTAGACAGATCTAAACCCAAAAACGTTGATTATGAAACAATTGATTTACACATACCATGATACGTACGTATTTACGCAGGGATGAAGTGTTAAATACTCATGAAAATATTCAAGCACGTCAATGGATTATTTAACCAAATGTCAATGACTTTTGTGTCCACACTTAAAAATAGGTAAATTTGACTACAAGCGTGGTGTTTACATACTTTGGGACAAATGTCAAACTGTGTGTTAGGATAATGGACACAGTATAACACAGTGATTATGATTATCGTTGCCTTTATATATCCAACAATTAGAACAGCACTCGGGGTGTATACAAGACCGTTACGTTTTTTGTAACAACCCTAATCTGAATGCTAACCGTAGACACGCATGTGGAATTCCACGTGGCTAGAGTCTTACACACAAACTGCCTCTTCCATTTCCCCACCACCTCGCCGCCTCCTTGATGCCTAATTAATCCCATTGGGTGATGGTGGGGAATAATTTCAGATCAATGATGATAGCTGCCATCTCTTTGTTGTTGTTGTTGTTGTTTAAACATCGCACTCGTGTTGGGGGTGGTTGGGGTAATTGGGGGGCTGCTGTTCCCCGCGGCCCGTCTGTGCTCGCCTGGTATTGCGTGTATGGTTACGGGTGATAGATTTCGTTTTTGCCATGATGATGCATTTAATTACAAGGACGTTGGCAGTCGCTTGCGTTCACGCCTTAAGCAACGCGCAGGGCAGCACGTAGGCAGCGACACTGCTGCGGACGATGATATTTCAGCCCAGAGATGGGTGCCCAACGAAAATGTTTAGCTCTGTCCAGTAAGCCACCAGAAAGTTTAGGGGGCTATGGCAATTCAAACCTCATCACCATCTTGTGTCGATTTTGTTATGAACGTGCAAAAGGGAGTTTGTGTGTGTGTCGAGAGATGAAAATGGTACTGTATAGGAAGGAGGAGTTGTCTCTTCATTTGGTTATGTTCTCAGCAACGTTGACGCTCAATGATCATTGTGTGGTTCCAATAACAAGTGTCATTAGCATTATTTCAATTCTATAATACAACTAACGACAATTTATCACGGTCGTTTGTCACTTCACTGCTGGATGACAAGTTTCATTTATTAGGTATAGCCCTGTGAGCCATGCGGCTCTGAAGTTGGGTGCAACAGCAACAAACAAAATATGAACACAGAACATCCCAAGGCGACGACGCGCAACAGAAACATCCTGGAATAAACCAGCAAATCTTCAAAAAAAAAACGAATTACAACGCTGTGTGCAAAGATCACATGAAAATATCAGGAATGTGGGTTGTTTCACCCTACATTCACCACGCTGGCCAGTGCAAGTTGTACAGGACTGATTCAGATATCACTTGCCACTGATGTTAGCCATGGCCGGGAATCAAACTGAGGTTGCCGGGAATCATACAACAGTGATTGAACCACTGCGCATCACAAATTATAATGTGAATTGTAAGAGTGTGTATTTTTCGGGTGCAATGTATACTGCATAACAAGGTTAATAGCAACTCATGTGTCAGTACCATGAGAGCCAATGTCGTAATGCACAACTGATCGTGACATTCAGATTAGTTTTCGTAATATTCCCGAAACCAGAAGTTTGCACCAACCGATAAACCTCTCTATGGCTGCAATTGCTGTTGGCATATAATGTATTCAAATCTTGGGGACAGCTTTTAGTTCAACACGTAAGCTTTTGTGACCAATATTATTCATAATAACGTTTATTGGGGTTAGATTGCATCAATGTAAATGTGTCGTAAACCCACCCCCACCCAACAGAGCCAATGTGTCAGGTTTGTCACATGAACAAAAGTGCCAATTAGTTACTTCAGCACACCTGTGTTGGAGAGCAAACCCACATTTACAATTTAAGTATGCCAGTTTGCTGATTACAACCACCATTATTAGGCAACACCAGAATTGTGCACAAGTCTTCCTGTTTTCGGTCTTAAATAGAGTAAGGTAATGTCATCACTGTACGCCTACAAGTGCAAAGGGGCCAATACATTACAATGTATTATGTCAATATGCAAGTATGCAGAATGTCACCAGTTGCGTAAATCACAGTTAATCAATATACTGCCATGAATAGCCATGCAATGAACGGTGTTTATGTTGTGTGCAGGAACTGGAGTGTGCATGTTGGTGTGGTTTTGTGTTTTGTGCAGGGCACATTTATTCTATGTTTTGTGTTAATTTCAGTGTAGTATTGTGTGCATGGCACGTGGTGCGTGTTGTGTGTAATAAGATACTAAATGTGTAGTGGTGTTATTTCTATTACAACTATGTCCATTTCAAATAAGTTGCATTAACTATTCTGTTGCTGTTATTACTTAGTCTTCTTCTACTTTGTATGGCTGATGTAGATGCAAAGCAACAACTACATTTATGTGGCAGAGCCCATTGTACTCTGGGTCATATTGTATTATGGCAAACCGATGTGGTTTTGACTTTATGGTTTGTCAAAGATTCACAAACTTGGTGTCCCATTAAGATCCATAGTGTGTACAATAGGCTCTGCCACATATAAATGAGCACAACTATGTAGCAAAACAAAGACAGCCCCACATTGGCAGGACAGCTTAATTCGTTAAAAACTAACATTATAGCACGTTTGGTTACGTACGGTGCGAAAGAAGTTCAACATACATACATCTTGTGAATATAAGTAAAGATATTAAACGTAACCTTCAAAGATATTCCGAAAACAACTCGACACATTCGTCAACAACACTTTCGCCTTAAATGAAAAAATATATATAATCGTTGACATTTCAGGGAAATTGTCCTTCACAGTAGAGAGAGTTCAATGATGGATGAAGTGGACAACAGCGGTTGGAGACTGCACTTTACTCCATGGGGCCTGATGAGAGCCCAATTGTTAACATGCTTTCTGATGAGACCTCAATTGTTAACATGCTTTCTGATGAGACCTCAATTGTTAACATGTTTTCTGATGAGCAGTTTTTAAATTGGCGTAGATGAATGATCCACTCTCTCTCTCTCTCTCGCTGGCCTCTCTGTATGCTATGAAGGGCCATTGCTCGAAATCTCGCCAATTATATTTCTCCATTTTTTAGGTCAGTGTTATTGACGGAGTTGAGGGGATTTTGTTGTGTTTTTGCACCACCGCCAACGCAGCAGCGGCATCACCAAATCATTTCTTGCCGTTTCAGACAGCTCGTGTCAACATCCTACTCGAACGAGCGGTGAGCTGTAACCATCTCCGTTTGCGGCTATAAGTCAATGGTGGTAATTCCACATTTCTATGGCAGTTACCAAAACCTAACGATATGACCTTTAACACAGAGGCTTTCGCGACCAATATTATCCATGCTTTTTTGGGGTTAGATCGCGTAAATATAAATGTGTCGTTTAACCCGCCACCACCCGATACAGCCACTTCATAAGGTTTGTCACGTAAACATAACGTCCCAATGTGTTACTAGTACAGCACAGTGGTGTGTTGGAAAGCAAATCCACAACATTTACAATCTGAGTTTGCTCTCCAACACACCGGTGGGCTGCAACGAGTAACGAATTGGCACGTTCTGTCTGACGTGACAAACATTACTAATTGGCTGCCGGGTGGTAGCGGGTTTAACGACACATGTATACGTACGCGATCTAAACCAAAAGAACCTACATTATGGATAAGACCTTTGTTAACCAGATCGCTCTTGAAAATGAGACATCTGCGAGTCTCCATGGGCTCCTGCATGGCTCTAAATTAAAGTCAGCGATCTCTCCAAAGCACTGAAGACTTCCTGCAAGTACCATTGGAACCTCATTTGCCAGTAACAAAATATGATAATTGTTTTTTTACCCTTTTATCTGGCAACAAAACTGACACCTTTTTTTTCCCTGCAAGTAGTTACCTTACAACAGTTTATCTGCCGCTTTAGGATGGATGACCGAGTCGAACCACCGAGCATGAATTCAAACTCACGCAGTTCCAAAATGCGCTCCGGAATACGAACCGAGACGTCTCTGTGCATCACCTGAATCTCGTGTGTGGCAGGCAATCGTGGGACACAACACTCACGGCATCAAAATCCTCCGCAGTCATGTGGCAATGGCAGTCGACAAGGGCCGGCATGATAGCACGGGTGTGCGTTTAACGCAGGTGTTTGTATACAATGCGATCACTATTCGAATACGAAGTGTTACGACTACAGCGGCCTTGTTGTTGTTGTTGATGACAGCGACTCAACCAACTCCACGTGTCGCCACATGCCGCGTGGGCTGTGTCCGCTCCGGGTGAAAACATCGAATTTCGCGCCCCAGCTCAAAGTTTCCGCTCAGCAGTTTTCGTTCCGGCTTGAACTCAGTGGGCCTTCGTCAAGCATGTCTTTGCTGACACAAATCACACTCGCAGCCTTGAAGATCTATCATCTTCAATGTCGGGAGGGGTCGTGGTTAAAGAGGCGCTGTCACATTCATACTCATGTTGAAGCGTGTACACGTGCGTGTGCCAGCCGGCAATGAGCATGCTGAAGTGGATCCATAACAAACCTGGGGGCACATGTAACCTTTATTTGTATAAACTATGTGTTTTCATCACAGTAAGATGTCATTTGTCACCACACAAAATTATTTAAGATACAATGCCCCACCTAAGCATCATGGGATTGTCACTCAGCTGGAAATTTCAAGACAATGATGGCCTTCACAACAAAGTGACCTTCATCCTCAGCTTTAATAAACCTCTTTGGAGCACGTCACCCCTTCAACCAGTTGAACAGCAATCTGTTTTGATTGTGCTAATATCAAAGTGGACGACTATGCATTCACCCTTATGAAAACAATCATCAACCCACAGGGAATGATTCGGACACATGTGGAGGGTGGCATGGGAGGGTGCGTGAAGATAGTTAGAGACAAGGATGTCAGAATGAGCAGACCTGGCAGAAGGTCGTACTCATTACACATAAAGTGCATTTTCACAAATGAACAACAATACCTTGCTGATCTCGTTAAGGAGTATAAACCATCAAGCGAACTCCGGTCATCCTTGCAGCGGCTTTAGGATAACCATCGAACAAAGACGGTCACTGCATCGCGAGCTTTCAGATGCACTTCGAGGCCGTCTGGAATGCTCTTCTTTCCGATATTCGGAAGCCATTAGAGCTATGCGCTTTTAAATCTAGACTGAAAATAATTTATTGAGTAGTTTTTGTATTTAGTTTGTTGTCCTTCCCCGCACCTCCAATTACGACAGTTGGCTAAATACGGTGTGAAAGAAGTTCAACATACATAACAATGAACTGTAACAACTGTAAGACTGGAGTTTGTAATGTCCTATATTTAAGGTTTTCACAAGGGTCTTCTTGCACTGATGTTTGAGCTGATCCTTTTTAAGTAGCGTTTCACATGTTCGGAAAGAAACCGCAGTATATTGAGAAACCCCACAAACGTTCAAAGATCCGGAGATATTGTTTTATGGAACTACTTGTTATACTGCCATATGCTGGTCTCCTCGCAGTCCAAGTGGGTTTTAGAGTTTCACAAATACCGTATGCAAATTCACCAAACCATGCCTCCAAAGTGCTCCATTGCAGGCATGTACCACCCCACACTCAGCATTTATTTGTATGGATGCTCATACATCATGCATATGGCAGTGGTTGCCAACCTTTCTGGACCCCGCCAGACCACTGTTGTTCCTCAAAAACTGTTCGTGGACCACCATTCAGTAAAAAACAATTTTTTGTGAGAGAACAAAATCTATCTGCAACCGTTCCACAGACCACAATGCTTTGCAAACCACAAGTAGACTACACCGAGGGGACTATTGGCATATAGCATACTCCTGCCCATATTATGCATGACGTTCCCATTGAAAAATATAACGTGCTGTTGGTTTTATTTTATCCATTGTTCTAATCATGTGCTGCCAATACTGTTGCCACTGCAATAACCATCACCAAATGTAATGATATTTTATGACAAACTGAACAGACAGGCAATAACGACTTCTAATTTTAAATGTCACTGTCATTCACTTTCTCCCCCTGCTCTCATTTCATCGGAACGCATAAATTAATAAAAGGTGTATTATCCGGATTATTAGATGCTCTGAAAAGTAAGATGCACCCCACATGTGTGCCCATTGTCAAAATAATCATACAAAATTGGTCACACAACCACCTTCTAGATATTAACTTTGGTTTAAAAAAACCACAAGGGGGAATTGTGCATCTGATAATCCGAAGAATATGGTATGCTGTACATAATGTCCGACACATTTCCTCTGTGCAGGAAATGTCTAATAGCATTTCGCATATATGTCAATGTCTTTTATATTTATAATAAAAAAAACACCATCTTTAAAAGTGCCACTATTTAAATCAACGACACAAACACCAAACGTAGCTATATTTTAAAAAGTATATATTTTTGACGTATTTATATATACATTAAATGCAGTACCTATTGTGTAACAATGTGAATAAGTACGTTGACTCGTTGGCGGCGTATACAATGCTATTTCTTTTGATACAAAATGTAATAGTGAATGTAATTGACAAATTAACGATAAAAAAATGTATAGCCATAAACAATCCTATGTTTGTTTCAATAGAATGCTATGCATGCCATGTTATACAAATCTGACAATGTCTAGACTTAATACTGTACACAATTATGAAACACCTATATGTAATACTTAAACATTAGCCAAGGTCATGTATTTTAAAAAAGTTTAGAATAAAAACCTTTCAATTGGCTTTAGCGCATACATTCTTAGCTGAATACAGGTGTGTGATGTGCTGCGTGTTTCTCGATTTCTAAATGCATTTTCCCGTTTAATTGGGCAAAGTCTATTAAGACGGACAGATAAAGTAGAGGGCTTCTTGGTACTTGTGACGTTTTGAAATCCGCACACATGGCAGCTTGATGAACAAGACACCACAAACAGGAAACAACCTACGGCTACAGTATGCACGCAGCACTACATTCTTGACGGAGCACGATAACTGTGTGAAATCATAATTAGTGCAAATTCTCATGGCTGGATTGCTTCTTCACAAAGCAGAGTTCTTTCTACATTTCGACAAATTGGACTTTGCTTTTCAGCTAAATTTCATAGTTGTCTTCTTTTTTTCTTCTTCACTTCTGCGATAGGTCAACACCACACAGCTTTTCACAGAATCGTGGTGTCAAATATTAATATGTTGACGCCGGGTTAGCAGTGGGTGTAGTATTGGCCAGAGGCAATTTAACAGTCCAAAGCAGGGATTAAATTGGGTTGATACACTCCCCAATGCCATTTCAGTGCCACACTTTGCATCAGGGCACAATGGAGAGTAGCTGCTGATAATTATTCTTGTAAAGGCAAAGAGGAAGAGGACCCTTTTCTTTTTCCTGTTCAAAAATGTTGGCTTAAGTTCCATTTCCCCTAATTTCAAAATTGCAATTTAGCCATTATTGTCTCGAGTCTCTGTTTTGTCCCACGGCATCTTCTCGTGGCCGCATGGTGTGGCGTTGTCACGGAGCATTGCTGTGGTGCGTTGGCTCAACGCCAGGGGACGTGCTGCTTGCATGCACAATGCATGATGGCCGGTGCATGTTGATGAGCTGCACCAGGCGCTGCTTCTCCCCGAGCATCGCTTCGAACTGCGACCGCAGGTTCGAGTTGTAACCTTCCAATCGCTGCGACTCCTGCAAGTATGGAGACCATGAATTAAAACACCATTAAATGTATAAGTAACAATGGACAAGTTTGTTAAATTCCTGACACATTTCTGGCCACTGAGCAGTTAGTCGATTGACAGTTTGTGTGTGGCAGGGTAAAGTTTGGGTACTCTCATCTCTTCCAAGATGTCTGGGCAAATTGGAAAAGGGAAGTACCTTCTAGAGGGGCTCTCTAGAGCTCCCTCTAGTGAAGTCCCTGTACTGGCACACAACAAAAATCTGTTTCCTACACTTACTCCATTAATTATAATGTATTACCGAGGATCTCACCTTGAAAAATGCTATTGTCTCAATTATCCCTCAACTGAATGTAAGACAAGTTTGTGCCTGTGTGTCAGGCTTAGGGTCGATTACAGTTGAAATTGTGTCATTTGGAATTCATTTCAGTCACACAGCGTAAATGTAATTTAAACTACCAATACTGTTTTAGGTATAATGATAGTTAATCCCAGGTTTGGTGTACATGTACGAGGTTTTTATGGCCTTCTGCTGACCTGAGCCAATGTCTCCGTCTTTTCCTTCTTTTTACTGCGGCATTTCGCAGCCGCGATTTTGTTCCTCTCCCGCCGCCGCTTCTTCCGATCGTCCTCATTCGCGAGACCCTGAAAAAACCCAACGAGAGAAAGTGGCGGTCATTGCTCGATCTGTTGCATATAAAACATCACTGGAGGAATTTTCTATGTTTTATGAAGCAACATGGGACGATCTTTAAAAGCAAATTAAAGCAAATAAATAGTAGGATTCATTGCACCTCCTGACAAGGTAACTGCCCACCCTGGAAAATGTCTTTGTCACCACAGCTGCCTGTCACTGGAGATTTCACCAGCACACTCTGGAGAGAAGATGTGTCCTTACTAGCATTACACATTAAAAGCCTACCTTACTTGTGCCCTCATGTAGCACTTGGCATTCAACCTTAGCAGCCCCAAAGCACGCATTGTCTTGCAGTGCTCTTTAATACTCATTACACACTGCAAGTTATCGGCTGGCTTGTGGTAATGTCACGTTAGCCATTGCCGGCGTGTAGCATTATTCCCACAGCTCTTGTGAGGCGTGCAAACACGCCATTGCACAGTTACGTGCAAGCTAAATAAAGCATACATTCACAGGGTGTGCAGGCACGCAGGCAGGGAGGCAAGCACACAATCAAAGAGGGCAAAAGGCGACATTGTAAAACTAGGCTGGGAAATCGCATCCCCGGCGTGTCACGCACCTTGCTTTTGCCAGGCTTCTTGAAGTCGACGGGGCTCTGTGGGGACATCGGCTCCACGTCCCGTACATCTCCGACAGACAGTTGCCCGTAATACGAAAGGCTCCCAACTGGACTCAGCTGTCCGTACGTGGCGGTGTACGGCACGGAGTCTGATGCTGCTGCACCTGTGGTGCCGCTGTTCGTGCTGTAGCTACCGTTGAACTGCTGATGGTGCTGTTGCTGGTGGTGCTGCTGGTGATGAGAATGAGGAAGATGGGATAGCGTGGACTCGCCACTCGTGGAGAAATGAAGCACTGGTCCCGTGAATAGTCCGGCGATGTCGTCCACGCCGAAGGCAGCATCAGGCGAGGTGCAGGGCCGGCCGGCCAGCGCGCCGTCCCCGCACACGGGCACGTGCAAACCGAACGGCTGCAGCATCATCAGCATGGTCAGGCAGAGCAGGACGCACGGCAGCAGCCTCTCTGTCTGGCGAGTCAATGGGGTCACTCGGTCAATTACTGCTCTGTGGAGCAGGCGAGAGCCCGCACAGACAAACACGTGCATCTCTTTCGCAGCTGGAGAGATGATGCGGAATACATTTAGCATTGAGAATAATTCATTGCTGTGTGGGCAACTGTATTGCAATTAGTGTTGGAATTAATGTTGGCGTTAAAAAGTAGTTTTTGGAAAGCACATTGCACACGATTGGCAAAAAGGGTGCAATGGAACACACTCAATGTAACCCCGTGACACACGCTTTATAAACGTATTGCACACTTCGTCTTGGTAACACCAGCCTAAAAGTTAAAACAGTGGAGCGTGTCTCAAACTCTCATTTACTTGATACAGCAAGCGTGCTGTGACGGTTCCACCTGAAGCTTGTGTTGCCTCCGAAACGTCGTGATTTTTATTTTATTTTTATTTTACTTTTATTAATTTTATTTTTTACCTACGTGACTTTACCGAAAAAAACCTAAGAATATGAATCCTTGCAGTCACGAAAGCTTCAAATCTAGAAGTATTCTAACGTGTTTAGAGTAGAGCGCTAATTCAGAAGCATTGCCTCATCACGTGCTCATTGTGATGAATGAGCACTAATAATACTGATGATGATGCAATGACACGACATGCATCACTCACGCTCTCAACTAAGAGCTCTCATTATTATCAGTAGCTGACACCCCACACGTGGGCCAAGCACACCCCACCAGTGTAATGAACACTCGCGACCGCAGCTGCGAGCCCGAAGGCCCCTCTCTTCCACGCATTCCCGTCGCTGGAGCGCAGTATCTATTTATTCCTCTATTTTCTCAGCCCTTTGTCAATCCACCGCTCAACGTTAGCAATAGCCTCGTACAGCAGCACTGGGGTTGTCAAAGGCTGCTTGCTTGGCTGCGGCTCCTGCTCATGCCGACACGGGCGCTGTCGTTTGTACGAATGAATCAAGCGCGCATGACGAGTGCGTGCGGTCACGCTACCGGCGGCTTGTGTTACAGCCTAAGCCTTTGCCCGGCTACTGCACGTACCGTACAAGTTCACAACGTGCATAAAGCGCACACGCATGGAACATAAGTGTTAGCACGTGTGTAAAACACAAACTCGAACGCATACATTGGACGTAAGCTGGTAAAACACTCACAAGCCATACAGCGCAGCACACGATATAGGACACACGCACGCTCATAGCACATGCTATATACAAGACGTACACAAACACACAACACCAGCTAGCCATAACATACATAGGACACACACACATCATCGTCATACAGGCAATGCAAACTACATAACATCCGTACATCGAGGATTCAGCGCGCACAGGCAGACACACAAGACGCAGACACGCACACACAAGGCGAAGCACACTGCCTGTGCAATATAAAATTGACGTGCGATTGGGAAACGCCGTAGCATGAGAGAGATCGGAACGCTGTTGTTATAACTCGTGTCAAGGCTGGAGCACTGCGGGCCAAGAGTTCGTACGCTGCCGCATTCGCCTGCAGTTACATGCACGTACACTCAATGCCACTACGAGATAGCAGCATCAGCAGCACATCGGACGCCTCACAATGCCTGCATTGTACGTGTCGATAACAACCGAAGCCCGTCTGAGGCCTGTGGGTGTTGTTGTTTACGTACGTGGAGCCACCAGAGTTAAAGAAGCGTACAACCCCGACGACTAACGTAGGGGTTGAGGCTTATAGCATTCTATTCAGCTCAATGAACAGCGCTGGCATACAGCGCAAACACGTGTCCATCAATGGCATTCCCATACGGTCCTTACACAAGATACGAACACACACACACACACACCGTACAAGAACACACGCGAACGCATCCAAATACACACCTGCTTGGGCCGATGTAACAATCCCCGTAAAACTTCTCGTTGGAGCGAAGAAAGCCTTCGGTTGCCTGCGGCCGCCGACGACAGAGAGGCTTGGTAGGACGACGACTAAATCGAGGGACGTATAATAAACTCTAGAAAATAGAGTCTGGCAAATCGATCAGAATGGTCCTGGCGATAGCAAACGAGAGACTCAGAGCGAGAGGCGAGAAGCCGCGATGTGGTTCATCATCATCATCAGCGGCGGCGGCGGCGGCGGCGCAACGCGAACTGCTGCCGGCTTTCGGATGTGGAGCGCGCGCCCCTTGCGTCACCCTTTTATATACGCGGCGCGTGACTCCCCCCCACCCCCACCCGCCCCTCCCCCTCGCGCGCGCGTCACGCGTGTTTACCCCGCGCGCCCAGGGAAACCCTCGCTACACCAACGATACGTCACCGCGCGCGCGCGGGGTCCCCCGGCAACCGCGGCAACCCCCCCCCCACCCTCGCTCGGCCGCACCCGCCTCGGGGCAGGTGTCCCCCTCCCCCTTTCACCCCTCCCCTCTCACCCTCCCCCTTTCCCCCACCCCCTTTCCCCCACCCCCTCACCCCCACCGGCCCCCACCCCCCCAGCATACCAACCAAGCTTTAGGCTGACAAGCGATGTTTTATTGGAGGTTTTTTTTGGTTTGCTGTCTCTTAAAGCGGTGGTGGTTGTGGTGGTGACTATAAATATATGTTTATGGCAGGAAGTAACAAATAAGTCCGTCACCAAGCAATAAAAAGGGGAGGGGAGATGCAAGTGGCACTCGCCTTGTGGCATGTGTGTGCAACGTTGTATTTATTGTAGGTTTTATGCAGCATGTAAAGATGCATCGGTTGGGGTGTTTCACTTTTAATAAATGGATTTGTAAAGGCTGGTATGCAAATACATCGTTGCTTTTATATGTCCTCATGCCAGTACAGACGTTTTGTCCGCCTGTATATATATTCATGTTAATGTCAAACGTGACTTTTTTTTAGCTTGTGGTCGTGGACCACTGCCAACACAATCCATTTTAGAAAATCTAAGTTTACAAGTTAACACCAATCGTCGCCGAGTCTCTCAAGGCAGCAGTTTTGAAAATGTTTTAAACCACTGTTTCTGTTCTGAAGAATGTCCATTGCCACAAATGTTAAACTGGTACTGTATTTGTATTTTTAGTTATTAGGCATTGTCAATGGCGAGTGTGTTATTTTCAGCCCATGCGCAGCTGCTAAAGCAGTCCCCTAGGACGAAAGTCATACCCTATATATGAAATACATTCACTGGATGTATTCAAGGACGTTAACTATCCATTGGCACGCGGTTCTTTCCTGCAAAGAAAATATAGATACTCGTAATAACCTACGAACAGTTTTAAATATGTTTTCAACTACTGTATAGGACAGATAATAGTTGCAAGGGAGGCTTGACGGATCGTAGGCACGTGTCAGTTTGCTTCCGCCCAATTAATTCAAAGTTTTAATTTGAACTGTATCACCCTCGTCTTCAAGAAACATGTCACCATGATTTATGGCATCTGTTAATTGTGATATTCAATGTAACCAGGATGATACTTAAGTTAATGTATATTTCCTTAATGTACATGGATCCCATTAGGTTATACTGTAATAGTTATGCTTTCGGGCATTTCCAGGTTATATGCGAGAAGGAAAAAAAAGGCTTCTGGAAGTCTCTGAAAGCGATGAGAACTGCATTCCTCCTTAATCCGTATGACGAATGCAGATCGAGGTTTCTAAGCCCTTCCCATATGAGCTAACAGCATAGCATGCATTTGAGAATTAATTACAGCATGCCTCCCCACCCTCCAACCGCATTACCCACATCCCAAAACACTGACAAGTGAATGAACATCGATTATGAAACTAGACTGGAACACGATGGAGTAATGGGGTCAGTGACCAGTGCACGTCATAATCCTCGTCTCGACGATTAGTTGATTATATTGGGCACTGCTCCTTGCTACTGAGTCGTTTTCATGAATGTGTAAGTTCTCTGAAAGGGCAACGTTTAACTCATTGTACACTGGAGTTCACCTAGGGGGTGAATAATGCGATCTACGGATGAAATGCGATTTACAATTGTAAACTATAATTAAACATTTTGATTTAAAGCTTTCGTGACTGCAGGGATTCATATTATTGGTTATTTCGGTAAAGTCACGTAGAAAGGAAACAATAAAATAATATAAAAGCTGTGGATTTCACACCTGATGATGATTGCTTGTGTTGCAGTCGAAACGTCGTGAGAATTTTTATTGTTTTATATTTATATTATTTTATTATTTCCCTTCTACGTGACTTTACCGAAAGAACCAAGAATATATTTAAATACTAAATCGTATTTAATAATGATAGGCAAACACAAGACGATTTCTACCAATGGCGAGAGACATCGACAATCGTTCGCGGGCATTCCCACACGCGTAGACTTTCGCCAGGAAGAAAATAAAGAAAAGCACGTGGCAATTGCAAGCGAAATCCATCAGGGTGGGCCCTCTCGCCAACCACCGTGGCACGGTACAGAGCAAGCGAATGGCAAACCAAGGTAGGAGCCGGCCTGAGTGGCGTGTTACATCACGCAGGGGAATCGTGGGAGCCGTACAGGGGGTATCCCTGCCACGCACCCACCACACAAACCCCTCTCGCCATGACTACGGCCCTCAACAAAATAGCCGGCGCTGGGAAATCCTTTCGCTTGTGTAACTAAAGAAAGCTCAGCACCCCCGTGGCCAAACCAATCCGGGCTGCCTCGCCATAGCGACGGGTTTATAAAAAAAAATAACACACACGGCGTCCTGTGTGTGTGTGGTGTTTTTTTTTTGTCGAGCCGCGTCTTTTTTTATTTAAAACCAAAAAGTTAAATAAATAACTTATCGAAGCGCCGCCGAGATCCGCCTGCTGCTGCTGCTGCTGCCGCCGCCGCTGTTGTTGTTGTTGTCCTCGCGGTTGCCGCGGCGACCACCGTGACGTCACGCGCGGGGCGGGGGCACGTGGGGGTAGCGGGGTAGGCGGTGGGAGGAGCACCCCCCCACCCCCCACACCCGCTCGGTCACGTGGGGCGCTGTCGCCTAGCGACGGGGCCCACCCCCGCCCTCTCCCTGTTTACTTCCGCCCGCCTCGGCCGCGTGACGCGGCGGTCACGTGCGCGGCGTTGCTATGGGGGGGGCCAGTGTTGACACGTGTTATGGGCGCGGTCGCCTTGGCAACGCGTAAACATCGGAGGGGCGCGCGCCCGCGGTCCCCACGTGGCCCCACGTGGCGGAAGCGGCGGCCAAAGGGAGCGGCCTCGTTCCACGGCGTTCTTGGGCAGTTTTCGCCACTCTTGCTTCAGCAAACATTCTCAAACTCGAGCAGCAAATTCGCTTCTTCTCCCCAGTTTCTTCTTTTGACCAACGTGCATTCTCACTCACCCCCCCCCCCCCCCCGGTCTAATTTATTTTCTAAGAAGAACTTTTGAAGCGAGTTAATTTTATAATAATTAGGCGTTTATAATGTCACGCGATGTGGTATTAAGTGAATCAAATTCGGGGTAGGGGGGGGGGGTGGACCCTTTTGTAGAGTTACATGAACAAGGCCGTGAACAAGCCCATGAACTTAGTATCTGTTACACGCCTAACTGGGGGTTGTTTTCTACCGACTTGTAAGCTGGAGGTGCCGATGCAGTTGGGATAAATCGCGGAGCTCACGAATGGATCGTACGGCAGAACTTTGCAACCTTCTGCAGTGAGTACTCGCACGGGTTGGGGTGGATTTGCTTGAACGGTACGCGGGGATGGACGGTGAGATGCATTACACTCAATACTTGACCGATAGGTGCCTTCAATGTTGGATTTTATATGGGTTTGTATGCGCGGATAACATATTTTAGGGAGGCTTACACGGAGCGAAGAGCCACCATCTGTTAAGTTTTTTTTACTTTTACATTACTTTAATACAGCGCTTGCCGTGTTGTTAATCGTAAAAACACAACATATTGCACAAATAGAACAAAGTCAACACGGATCGTGTTGCGTAGGTCATGTATCAAAATACGTTATTTATCAAGGCCGCTGCGTTAATATGTAGCTAGAAGACTCAAGGGTTTAGTCCAGTCATAAAATATTGCAATGTGCTAGTAACGAATTTAGTATGATACCCTGGCTGTACAGACACGAGATGTACAGAACGTACGTGCGTGTTCTTCAATACAATTTTATTAACCGTAATACATATTTCCACGTGCGTTGTACGTGATGATATTTTGTTGCTCTGCCTGATGGTATAGCCGTGAAATAAATTGTATCGAAAGGAGATTGCATTGCTCATTTATTTATAATCCCCTACATAATGTTTGCCTTGCGCTGTGCACTTAATAGTGTGTATGTAATCAGGTTGACTTCACGGCTGCTATCGTTTTATGCCTTCAGATAACATTACGTTTGTTTGCATCCCAGCACTTGCTTCCTGTTTTGAATAAGATTCAGTTTAAAATTCGATTCAGTTTAAAATTCGACTGCCTACATCCGAGACATGCTGAACACAAATGTCTCAAGGCCTCTAAGGTTTAGGGATGCAGATCTTCTCTGCATTCCCAGATCATAGAGGCTTCTTCGGTCGATGGGTGACCAAGCTTTTTCCTGCATAGCGCCCCCAGGATATGGAACTCTCTCACCCACGAGATATCTGATCGTTGAGTCTCCTAATATTTGTAAATCTTGTCTTAAATATTACCAATACAGTACTGTACACTTCTTTTCAACCTTTAATCAATGAAGGACATTGATTTTGGTATTTATTTTGGTATTTTACCATTTCTCAGTTTTTTTGATTCCCGAGTTATTGTCATGCTGGAGGTCTGCTGTGTCTTGCACAGGCTTGAAGATATTTGATGAAAGGCACTTTATAAATGACATTCTTATTATTAGTGTTATGCACATGTAGATTCTCTATGATGTACCTGGTTTTATAATGGTCAGTGGTCACTGTTCGGTGTACGAAAAATAGGTAAACTGTATTGGATAAAAAAAAAGATGCAAGGAACGCTCAACGACCTGTACAGAGGCATTTATAGCAATACGGGTATTTTAAATTAAACAATGAATTTTTAAATCAGCACATCTGTAGGCTATTTTCATGATGTGCTACCGCAAATACCTTGTGTTCAAAGATGTAAACAGTTGTCTCAAATGTGTTGACGTGTTTCAAATGCTGCACTGTGTTTGTTCACTTTGATGTCGGTACCCCACTGAAACCAGCACAGCATGTTCGATGCTTCATTCAAAGTAGCAGTGACAGATACACTGCCAGTAGGATGCGCTTCAGCATGTATCTAAGTGCATTCATCTATCGGACTAAAATAAGGTACAATCGCCAGCATTGATGTGTTTACATTCACCTCTATGCATTGTGTGCGCGCCTATGGCCAAAACAACCCGAATGTGCATGAGATTCCG